TATTTCTTCGGACGAATTAATATTTGTTTGAACAAAATAACTACATGTGTAATTTTTCCGAGCGAATTTCTAATTCGTGTAGTAAATAAATATATTTAATCTGACCCTCCATCGTAGTATACAAGTACATTGTGATCATCAATAGAAAAAAATATTAATGAGTTATTTGTCAAACTACAAAGGGCCTTGATTAGTCAAATGAGAAGGGATATATCCTTTGGAAGTGTAGACTCATCTTTTTTAAGAAAGGTTAAAAGGGTAGGATATGTTATTTGAATTAAAGTTTACAAGGGAATATTTTAAGGGAAAAGGTTTAATTCTTCATCTCAAGAACAGCAACACAAATATCAGTCATTTTGAAATACAAGCATTTAATTAACAATAAGAAAAAGCAATCATTTACAATCTACTCTAAAAACAGGAGGGCTACAGCTAGTTTTAATAAAATGTAAACATCTATTGCAATGTAATGTCAATTAAAGTGGTAGGGCGTTCTTTTTGTGATCGGGAGGCCCGGGTTCGATTCTCGTTCGCCACGCCGCGTCAAATCTAAGATGTAAACATAGGTAGTGACTGTTCCTTCGCCAAGCGCAATAGAAGTGAAAGCCACGGGTCTTTCGGATGAGACCTTAAAAACTGAGGTCCGCTGTCAGGGTAAATGTTGGCATTATAAAGAGCCCTCACTCCTTAGTGCCGACTAAAAGTCTACATTTGAAGCTTTTCAGCGATATATGGTGACATCTTTATAAGAGTGAAACAACATATAATCAATCAATCAATAAATCAAAATTTGTTTTTAGTATGGCCTCTGGGTCTAAGCTGCAACCATACTAGGGGTCCAAAATTTTAGATAAAAATATATAAAATCCTGAACCTATATAAAAACAGAGATATATAATTTGTAAACATAACTTTAAGCTTCATTATAATGCAGTGTAGGAGAAAATTACAATCATGGGATCAAACGTTAATTTCAACAATACGGGGTTCAAGTATCTGCAGGTTTGTTTTAAGACTCAGGCGAGAACTTTGATCCAAATGCCTCTATATTTTTAACAATTATAATTATCATTATTCTGATTTTTCTTAATTATGAGTATAATTACTATATATATATATATATATATATATATATATATATATATATATATATATATATATATATATATATATATATATATATATATATATATACCTTATGACTTCCATCTATATTTGCAAATAAGATTAGGTTGTGGAAGCGTTTATTATGAAAAATCATTATTATTCCGATGGTGCAAAATTAAAAAATTCTGCATTCCTTTCATACTTTCAGTGGCAAATCACTGTTAATCCAGCACAATAGATTTATCCCAATCCATAGACACCTGATATTAAAAACATAATTCAGCTCTAATTCATTTTTTTAATGTTCCTCTTTCTTTACTTTTTTATAAGAATATTTTTTATCTTTTGGCCATTCCCAAGGTTGGTGATAATAAATTGAACGAACGGATTCTTTCAATTGGGTCACATACCGATGGGATCAGATGCCATGAAGGAGTAAACATTCCCTGTTGACCATTCACACCTGCCGTGACCCCTTGTCATGATCGGGTAAACGGAAAAATCCGTAGTCAATTTAGTGGGAAAATATGGCCTAATGTTGTTTGAAAAACGTCGAAAATCATTCGACCTAACGATATATTGTTTTTTCAAACAAGGTCATTGCATTGACCGTAGAATTTGAGAAACATTAGTTTTAAACGAAATTTACGAAAATTGTGTTGTGTGTGTTCTCATTGCAACATATGATTACCCATTTCTCTATGCCTAGTATAATGAATATGTCATTATATAATTTACTATTTTACCATTTCACAAACTTTATTTTTCTCTCACAAATCCAAAGATGCCAAATTATTTCTTTAACAATTTTAAATTCATGCATAATGTATGTTTGTATTTGTATATTTATCAAATATTGTAACATTTACTTTCCTATCTAGGGAGCCCCTGGCGCCCCTAGTGAGGACTATTGCAGAAGGACATCTGCGGATGTCATTGTCCCCATGTTATCTTGTACTATTGCTTTTAAAAAAAAAAAAGAAGATAAAGTTATATTTCTCAACTTGAAATTTTCGTTAAAAAGATTTACGAAAATTGCATGCTGAGAAATATTCTTGCAAACATTAATATTTTGTATATACAGTTTATTTCGAATGAATATAGATTTGTTCATGGTCTGTCTTTTTTCGTAACTGTCGTGTCTTAAATTGACATTTATCAAAGTTTTTTTCATTAAAAAATTAAAAGATATTAAACATGAAATGTCTATATCACTGGTTCAATATTATTCTTAATTTCTAATAAATCTTAGGATAATTATGATACATACGTTATCTTATAATAGTTTGATCCCAATCGTAATTCTAAGACTTTATATCTCACATGAGTGGGTTTTACTAGATTTTAAATGAAAAAGATTTGCTTATATTTGGAATGGAATATTTTATCATGTACATATATCACATTGTATACTCTATGTGGATTGCAAAAAAAATTTAATTAGAGAATAAAATACATATATTCTTCATATTCAAAAAAGGAGATCTACAAGAGATGCCCAAATTTATTTGCCTCTTCCCTAGATAATCGCATGTTCAATCTTAATAGATAAAAGATGTCAGAAATTCCAGAATTGATTCCATAAACAGTTCAGAAACTAGGTCTAATTCTCTTTCATCTTCTTGTCAAGTGTATGTGTATTTTTCATGCCCATCAGAATAAACTGAATTTCTCATACTCTAAGATCCTTGAAGTGCCAAACTTCGATTTCAGCTGTAGTGCATTCCGTACTCTTATGCAAGGAACAAAATAAAAACTAGGGCGTTCTCGGATCATATTTTTAGATTAGACAATTTGCAGGCTCATCTAAGCCTTTTTAATGCGATTGTTAATATAATTATTAGTCTGCTGTCCTGTTAACCTTTTCCATTTTCAATTAAAATAATAATATAATAATTTAACCTGAAATAACGTCACGTTTGACACAAAAAGAAAATTTCCCCTGCTTTGAAATGAAAAAAAAATCAAAATAGCGTAAGGTTATTCGAAATTGTCAGAGTCTTGAAAACAAGTAAGTATATGCAGAAAAATTGTCCTCAAAGATAATTGTACCATAAAGTATAAACTGTGTGGGATGCATCTTCTTATGCAATGAAAAATTCCTTTGGGAGGATTGGGTCACAATAGAGGCCAAACCTTTACAAGAGAATCAATAGCATTTTTTTTTTCATTGAAATATTCCATCTCCAGAACAGTGCGTATATTTGTTTTATAAGAATTCAGTCAGTTAAGTTTATTTCTAATTAAAATTTGTCAAATCAAGTCTCCGTGCTCAGTATCAGAAAAATTACGGTTTACAGAAAATTTTAGGGATCTTTTTTTTTTATAAAAATAAAAAAGAGAGAGCAAAAGTTTGTTTTATCAATATGCAATTATCCAAATGGTAGTCAAAGTTTCATGAAAATTGGCAAAAATTAAAATAAATTATTCTAATATACAATTTCCCGATATATCTTATTTTTCTTTTCATTGACTTTTCACATGGAAAACTTTTCATTTCCAAAACATATGGGGTATTTTTCTTCCCACAATTTTTTTAACAAGATATGTGCAAAAAACGGATGACGAGATAAAACGTTAGAGTGTAAGAGACAGGGTTAGGGTTAGTCACTAGTACATTGGTAGGCAACACCATAAAAGTACGATGGCCGATATGAGCCGTCAAATTACAAGTAAGAGTAACTCTATTATGTACGCAGAATTAATTGACTTTAACAGTAATACCTGTATCATTTTGTACATGTACATCTTTGTCAATGACAAAACGTATTTGTACTTGTAATATGAATTTGTACATGTACAAATCTTGAGACAAAATACATTTGAAACTACTTAACATTCCTCGGATTATTGGGGAGATTATCTGTAAATCTGTAAAGGGTTTAAAACAAAAACACGTGTGTGTGTGGTTTTTTTTTTTTTTTTTTTTTTGGGGGGGGGGGGTGTTAAATAAATACTTATTTTTAATGATATTAAAAAGAGCAAGACTGTTTGTACTTTCACATACGTCGTCTGAGATCACGACGCTCGGATATTCCATCAAAGAATATTTTGTAAGTGTCTTTATTCAGATTCCTCGTGGTTTTGTTTTATTTAAACCTCTTTCAGGACAACGCAATGTAGAAAATTCATTTTTAGGGCTTAAATACTAGTTAAAGATTCCAGAGAAGGAGAAGTATTTTGGGACCTACGAATGAATTTTAATATTGTGTATAGTCGATAAGGAAATTAAAATCAAGCCAAAACACGAGGAATCTGAAAAAAGACACTAACAAAATATTCTTTGAAGGAAAAATTTGAATGTTGAGGTCTCAGACGACGTATGTGAAAGTAAAAATAATCTCGCTGCATTTTATGATTATTAAGAATTAGGAATACAGCATTTATTCAACAACAAAAAAGGGGGAAGAAAAGGGAAGAAAACCAGATACACGTGTTTTGTTTTAGTCCCTGTCTTAGTTTACAGATAATCTCCCCAATAAATCTGAGGAATGTTTAAAAGTAGCTTCAAATGTATTTTGTCTTAAGATTTGTGAATGTACAAATATATATTACAATTACAAGCGTTTTGTCATTGACAAAGATGTACATGTACAAAATGATACAGGTATTACTGCTAAAGTCAATTAATTCTGCGTACATAATAGAGTTACTCTTACTTGTAATTTGACGGCTCATATCGGCCATCGTATAAAAGACTATATACATAACCCCTCCGATTATCTTTGTCGTGCCCACAACTAAAATATTTAGTGATATCTAATCAAAGTTTCATGAACAACCAAATACAAAAAATGTAAATAACTTTTAATTACAACAATTCATAAATAACAAACAAATGAATATCAATCAACCAAGAAATGAGAGAAAAATAATTTAATATTGTTTCAGAAAATAATATTAGGTTTAAGACAGGTTCGAACAAAGCTAGTAGAAATAGGATGATCAGAAGCAACGAAATAATTAGTCTGGTATTCAGTATCAACTCATACATTAAGTTCAAATCTGTCCCCAATATATCACTATAACCAAGCAGACTATTAACAAACTATAAGTGCTTCTGTACTATTTTTAATTCCATATCATAATCTTTCACATTGGCCTCTCTTGGTCTTTGATTGATTGATTGATTGATTGACTGATTTATGTTGTTTTACGTCCCGTTTGAGAATTTTTCACTCATACAGAGACGTCACCATATACCGGTGAAGGGCTTCAAATTGAGACCTTTACTCGGCACTCAGGACCATTGATCAGCGAGGGTTCTTTATCGTGCCAACACCTACCGTGACACGGATCCTCGGTTTTTAAGGTCTCATCCGAAAGACCCGCAACTTTCACTTCAAGAAGATTTTCAAAGAATTAATGCATAGACATTATATGATCAATATAGCCCCGCCTTAGCACTAGAACCCCTGACTCTGGGTCAAAATTGTGGTAGAGGACTCAATTCTTATTACAATCATGACAACAGTTCAACTGCTTGATGTCTAGGAGTAAAGAAGAAGATTTTTTAAAAATAGCACTAATTTTGATGGTTTTAGCCCCATCCCTCAAGCCCTAGGTGGACAGGGACCATGAAATTCACAAACTTTGTTCCTTTCATTCATACATGTTGGTTGGAGTTGGTTCAGCGGTTCCAGATGGGAAGCTGAAAATGTTCAAATGTTAACGGACGACATACACATCGCACGACGACGAACGAAAATATAGATAGCAGTAGGTCACTTGAGTGACTCAGATGACTTAAAAACACATTAATCAGATATAGCTCGCAACAGATAATTGTTTGCTTCAAAAAGCACTGCCTGTATATAGTCACTACCAAGTGGTCAAGATCAGTTGCTAATCCTGCAGACAGTTTCAAACAAATTCACACACGGGAACACACGGGATTCATGGTGATAGAAAACAACTGACAAAAAGTCCTCCTTGTTGCTAAATGCTGAAAAAAATGTATTTAATCCCATGATGTACCACAGCATCTTCCTTTCCAATCTGGGTGCAGAACTCGTCTCTTTCTATTATGAATTCCAATAGAAAAGATGCCTACCACATAAAGGAAAAAGATAATTCCAATCAGAACTCCTCGGAGAGCAGCCTTGGCATCAGCGTTTGATCCACATTTTTCACTGCCATTGCTGCATTCTATCACACCCTGTATAGCAGTAGCGAAGGCGTAACCCTGTGACATCAGGAGAATGCTCGTGACGTAATGTCCGGTCAACTGAAATAGAATTAGTCGTTCTCATTCTCCTACCCTAAAATATTTTTAAAGACTAAGGGCGTGTTTGATGTCTATAAATTTTTGAATTCCAGTGGAAGTTTTAAGTTGGAAGGCCGTTCAAATATTGAAATTGTAATTTCAATTAAGGTATATACAGATCTAAGAACTATGAAATACTGTATTTGAGAAATTTTTCTCATATGGTATGTATCATACGCACTAATATTATCTTTCAATTTCAGTGCTTAGTATTTTACTTTTTTGCAATACTGTACCTATTTTTAAGAGTAGCTTTAACTAATACTAAATACAAACATTCAAACTTATAAAATATTTGTTTACATATTTCTAAATGATTTTCAGAACTCTGCTCTAAAAGAACTTTACAGAAGGTGAAAGGGTGAATAATAAAGCCGTTTTATCTTACCAATCTCTTTCGTGTGTTTTCATTTGTTGATAGAGCAGCAGCGATTCCTACTATCCCAAATGCTATTGGCTGAAATACAATTTAATACATATTTTAAAAAAAAAAATCAAAAGTATTGACTTTTGAAATCATTTTAATATTTAAAATATCTTTTTTAAAAAGATGTCTACTTCCGGTTAGATACCAGGAATGAGATTAAATCCTTTCATTAATATCTACCTTGTATTTTATGTTTGTAATGGCAACTTCAATGAATGCTTACCTTTTTTTAAATAGTACGTCGATCATCTTTAAAGAATAATCTTAAATGCATTATTTAGCTAAAAAAACAAAACAAAAAAAAAAAAAAACAACAAACAAACAAACAAAGACCAAAAACGTTATTCCTGTACAACATAACATAATCATTGCTCATGAAATTTAAGGGTTATAACTGCATATATCAACACTTACATTGGCTGCAAACCAAATACCGGTTCCTGTTGTAAGTGGGTAACTGGCACCGTCCAGTAATGAAAGCACAGCAATACCGATTCCTACACTGCAGATTCCAAGAAAGAGGCCTATAGCGGAGAGGATTTTGATGTGAGACAGGGCACGTTCTTGCTCTAAAATTAAATATAACAAATTATCATCATGGCATAATTGAATCATCCTGAAGATAATTAATATATATTCCAAAATTTGAAAGAATATTTTTAGACAGTCTCTATAGAGTGCACTCAAATATATGGTTTCTTGGGCTTTGTGTGTGTGTGTGTGTGTGTGTGTGTGTGTAAGGGGGGGGGGGGTGTTTGTTCAAGAAAGTAAAGAAAATGCCAGGAATGCGTTGATTATGGAAAGTAGAATATTCTAAAAGAAGTAATTTTTTTATTTGAAGGACAGACGAGACGTCCCTCAATAATATATATTTTTTTCAAAATAAGTTGTGATTGAAGTATTGCTTCTTTAAAAAGTTCCCTCCCAAAAAATTGAGATATATTACCATGCAGACATTTGTGCAAGATACCAGGGGATGGTATTTCCTTTAGGAAATGGATAATGGATATCATGGATATCATGGATATCACTTGATTTGCTAACATGACAACAAGAATATATCTGCTTTAAGGGTTGGAATCTCAACCATTCTTATACCCGTGCTTTCTAAAGAAAGTTCGGGTTTATTGTTGTTATCTTTGTCCGTTCGTCTGTCACACTTCTTCCTCAAACTTCTCTTACCAATTCATCTTTTGGAATATGATAGTAAGTGCGCTGTATATGTGCAGTAAGGTTTCGGAATTTTCATTTCACCCTAGGGGTCAAATGGGGGTCGTAAACGACGTTTTTACAAAAATAACTCCACATACACTTAACCAGTATAGTAAAATCATCTTTTGGAAGGGAATTAGTGATGTTTTCCAAATTTTTCAAGGAGGGGATAGTTGAGGCAAATATCGCAGGAAAACAAATGGCTTGATAATTAGAGAGAAAGGTACCTTTGGTTCATTCCAAAGTCAATCGAGGTCATCTGGGTTCGTCTGAAAAGCTAACCCAACCCCCCAACTCCCAAAAACATACTGAGGTAAGTTTGACTACATGTAATTCATTTTCAAAAAAATTACATTTCGATATTTAAAATTTTCAATTTCATCAAAATTGCCATGCATTGAAAAAATATTATGTATCATCTGGTTGAACAACAAATTCATCAAGTGCCAATTTAGGGCTGATTTTTTTTAATACAGAAAAGCATTTTTTCTGAATCTCCTTTTCTCTTTAAGAATCAGAATTTACTTCTTCCAATCTTTAATTTCAGACCGGTTATGAATTTATTATTTGAAATACTAAGAGTCCAGTGGACCATATGATCACCTGTGAATTTTATGCTCATTTTGATACATGTATACATATTTCATGTAAATTATAGAAGAACTATTGTGGCTTCTTCGCTACCCCGTTACAAGGGAGCTATAGCTTACATTAAGAGGCAACCACTTGCATGCGGGTATTTCTGTCAAGTATGACAGCATCTATTATTATTTATTCATTTTTTTTTATCAAGGAACAACATTCTCTAAAACTATTTTGCATACATAACGCTCTCTTCTAACTTAAAAACTTTCATCGTTAATTAATAACAATTTAATATCTTGACAAATTTCTGTTTTTGAAAAATAAATCCTATATAATCTCAAGATACTAAAATATAGCCAAGCGTCATCTTAGTGACGCGTCAGATGTATTATATGTAGAGGATCGATCAGGAATATTATTCTGTTTTAAAAAAGTTTTCTCTCAAATCCCCTTTCCTTTTATAATTCAATATCGAAATAAAAAATCAGAGTGATGTAGAAAAGAACTAATAGAAATAAATAACATTAAATCTAACCTTGTAAATCTACTTTCTCTGGTTGTTTCTCCATTTTCTTGAAAGTCAGTAAATTTCACACAAAATAGACGGGTATACTTCAGGAATCATAATATTTAAATAATGCACTGCGTCCTTATATACCCTTGTCTACACGTAAATCCAGAATTTCGAAATACTATGTATACCTGTAGAAATAGAGAAATAGTATACAGCGTAAATACGTCTCCACTATTGATCTTGTTTGTGTTTACTGAATTAAATGCAGGGTGAATATTAAGCACGACTGTTCTATTCGTAGTACATGCTTAAATTCAGCGTTAATATTTAGCACACTGTCACATTTATAGTAGAGGAAGAGGGTGTTCTTAAGGATTGTATGTTGTTTTATGTCCCGTTGGAGAATTTTTCATTCATATAGAGATGTCACCTATACCGGTGAAGGACCTTTACTCGGCACTCAGGGCCAATGAGCAATGAGGGTTCTTTATCGAGCAGGGATGGGGTAATTGAAAAAAGTAATTGTAATTGACTGTAATTAATTACATTTTTTGAAGTAATTGGAAGTAATTTGTAATTGAACATTTTTTCAATTACTTGTAATTGTAATTTAATTAATTACACTGAAAAAATACCATGTAATTTCAATTACTTTTTCAATTACATTCAATTACTTTATATAATACACATTCATGATATATTCATGATATATAGTCACCACTACCTCCCCATTTTACTGGTTTATTTTATTGTTAAACATATCCTCAATCTTTCAGTTATACAAAATTTTAGGTTAATGCTTACAAAAAAATAATTAAATGATTGGCTTGATAATAATAAACTAGTTTCTTTCTTATCATTATGTAAATTTTGAATTTTTTGATCTATGTTTATAAATATGAATTTTGAACCACCTTTCTTAGGTCTATTCAGCTATGAAACACACATTTATTATATTTCAATCTTTGCTGTTTGATCAATAATAAAGAAAAAGAAGGTGTGTGTCATTAATTAAGTTCTCTCTTGTTGGGAAGAGATAATTGCCCTCCAGATCACAGCTTTAAATTGCAATCAAAACAAATCAACTCCTCTAGAGAGATATTCATTCCATGATTAAGAAGACAAAGTCAATGGAGATAACTATTTCAATTTAAAATGCTCCACTAGCTTAAGAAAAGAAAAACTTTCAATTTGATAATTATTTTTACATATAAACAGATTTTTATGAATGAATTTTCTATCTGTACAATTCTGATTTATGAAGTAAAATTGTTCAACGAAAATAGCAATTTAGGATGTTCAGGTTACCTTCAAAGGAAATATTCAATTTGAAGGGTTACAGTTGCGACTCATTTCACTCTGTTAAAATACTCACTTTTAATCAAATATCATAAGCCATGCAATTTGTGTACATGTAGGTTTTGTGTGGTGGAAACTGCATCAAACTGATCTTGGATAGTTCTTTAAGAGATTCTTTAATGTTTATAAATTATACCACACTGATACACAATGCCTGTAGCATATTATTTCTTGTATTGTTTGTGCAGAGGCTGGGCCTATATACAAATAAATGATGTTCTGTATATTCATTGACAAGGATTATAAAAATTTTCAAAAAAAATAAAAAATATAATTTGTAATTTAATTAATTACTTTTGCAAAGTAATTGTAATTTAATTAATTACATGTCTTAGAAAGCCTGTAATTTAATTGTAATTTAATTGAAGAAAAAGTCAAAGTAATTGTAATTTAATTAATTACTTTTTAAAGTAATTGAACCCATCCCTGTTATCGAGCCAACGCCTACCGTGACACTTTTAACGTATCATCAGAAGGACCCGCAATTTTCAGTTCAAAGGGCCGAGGGCTTGGCAAAGGAACAGTTGCTACCTATTTTTATCGACTAAGGTAAGTCGCGGCCGTGATTCGAACACACGACCTTCCGATCACGGTGCGAGCGCTCTACCGACTGAGCTATGACGGCTGTTCTTGAGGAAGAAGAGAATACATTATAGTGTCAATTCGTAAACTGTGTACAATATGATGCATCCACCACCACCAGCTCAATTATATGTAGGAAAACAATCTAAAAGGGAAGGGCAATAACGTCAATAATATTCGGGGGAGGGAGATTTCCAGATAGATATAAACTTTATATAAATGAAATCAGGTAAGGCAGACTTGTCAATTTTTATGTCAAGAAATATGCATGTATTTCACGAAATAATTATCATAATATTTTTAAGAGCCCGAAAACAAATGTTTCAAAACTTTTCATCAAAACTGGAATTTCTTAAAATTCAATGCTGAAGTTAAGAAAATAATTATAATTATTTGTATGCTTGCACTGATAATCGTCGGAAAATTTTGCAATCGTGCAGATAAAGTGGATTTTAACTTGTATAAAAATCAGAAAGAGAAATAATAAATATGATGTCATGAAATAAGACACATCCAAAACAATTATAGTGGTTCTATATAAAAACAATGATTTTCCACAAAATCTGGTACTTTGTCTTTGGATTCTTTCGGGGTTTCTTTTTACTTTATAGGTAAATTACGTTTTCTCACAATGTTTTTGTGCTTATTAGATAATTGAGACTTTATCTCTATTTTAAATGTAAAATGATGCGTCTCGGAATATTTCAAACACTGGACATTGTCTTCTGTAGCAGTCAGTATATTAAGCTGCTAGATGTTGTAGGGTTGGAGAAAGCATTACTTTTTAAAAAAAAATCAATCTCAGATATTTGTTATAAATCTGTATGATCTTCATTTCGTGGAATTCTTATTGTATCTGAAAACAGACAAAATCGTAATCTTTCTTCGATGCCTAACTAAGATATTCTATATTGTTTTTATGAATCATAATTTTGCACCCTTTTGCTAAGCTAATTTTTAAGATCCCTTGGGCTTCTCTCCACAGTTTCTTGGCAAGATAGTAAGAGCCATTTCGATCAAATTGCCAGAATTATCAGTTTATTTTAGTCTATATTCTTCTATATATCTGAAAGGAGACCACATTAACAAGCATTCTGAGAGTATTGCTTTAACAATACTAGTCCCCTACCGGCAAGTGTAATCTGGTTCCCGTTAAAAATTGAAAATACCATTATTCCGTCAAAAATCATTGAAGCGGAACGAAATGCAAACTTGATCTGTAACTCATCAAGATAATCTCACGTAACAAAAATCAGCTCAATATCTACAAGCGTTTGGAAAAAAAGTGCGGAAATCCCAATGGGACAGACTGACAGACAGCTAGACGGACGGACGGACAGACTCAGAGGAAACCTATAGTCCCCTCCGGTTTCACCGGTAGGGGACTAAAAATACATGGAGAAACGCTGCCTTATGTAGTGTAGATTTCCTTGGGCTGGACTGTTCCACAATAGAGATCAATGTTTCACAATAGGATTATAAGGAAATTTCTTTTAAATCTTCTACCTATATACTCGGTATGGTATATTATGTGTAACTCGTGTTTATTTCGTCGTAGATTCAAAATCTGTCTAAATCAAAGCCATAATGTGAATGCTGGACAAATAAAGACCTTGGGTTTTCCAGAATTAAATATTGAGGGTGGATTCTTTGATAAAAATTCCTTTCAAAAACTCTTCTGATGGTCATTGTGGCGTCATAGTTTAAATACGCACTGTGGCTTTCCCAAGTAAAACAAATCCAAGTTTCATGAACACATACAATGCAACTATGTATCATGTTTGTAAACAAATTTAATTTCAATAATTTAAAAACAACAAATAAAAGAATATCTATTTAACAAGATATTGAGTAAAAATGAACTTAATCTAGAAGCTCTTAAGTTGTATGAGAATAAGAAAGAGGTACAGAACACATTTCTACAAAGTTAATAGAATGATTTATAAATATTTTTTTCAAGGAGCTGTGATATCCATGCGGCAATAAACACCGTTGGTGGATTGCGGAATTATATGTGGAGCAAACTGAAGTGGATGAGTTTCATCTATAGTCTGGGAAAGAAGGGTGTGAACTACATTGAATTCCTATGGCACACCTCAGAGAAGTTATGTTTGTTCAAAAAGCATCTTTTTCTGGATACTACAAAGTAACCACTGAATGAGATCTGATACTGTTTCTGAAGATTTTTTTTCGAGCAGATTTTAGAGTACGGAAGGTTATGAAATATGGAAAGCACCACTTCAAATTTAAAGATATGCATTTCCATCGAGGTAGTTAAGCATTTATAAAAAGAAATTGGTCAGTTTACCTTGACATTAAACAAAGAAAAGTTGGTCATATTTATTCTATACTTTATTTCTTAAGTATAATACCTTTCACTCATTTTCTCTCATAATAATCCATCCTTGTAAAAGTGGAAGAACTATGCTAACTATATATAAGTTCTGTACCTTTCCATTAAAGCATAATTGCCAATATAAAAGAGTGTAATCACACATCAGCACAAAAAACTGAAAGATGCAGTATATCACTTAATTTATGTTTTCCTCCTCTTTACGAAATCAATGCCTTTGAATTTTTCCTATAATAATCTCTCTTCCTTGGGGACATGCTGATGGATAACTCTAGCAAACATTATACTCATCGATGTAAAGTGCTGAAAAAACTTTCGGGTATTTAATCACTTGAACTGCCACAGCATCCTCTTCCTTTCCAATCTGGGTGCAGAACATGCTTCTTTTTAGAATGAATTCCCATAGAAACGGAGCCTACCACATAAGCGAAAAAGATAATTCCAATCAGAACTCCTCGGAGAGCAGCCTTGGCATCAGCGTTTGATCCACATTTTTCACTGCCATTGCTGCATTCTATCACACCCTGTATAGCAGTAGTGAAGGCGTAGCCTTGTGTGATAAGGAGAATGCCCGTAACGTAATGTCCGGTCAACTGAAATAGAATTAGTCGTTCTCGTTTTCAGAATATGAATAACATGTTTCATACCGTAAAATGTCTTTTTTCAAGGCTAAGGATATATTTATCAGCTTTGACAAGATGACTGTAGGCTTACAAACTCAGATGGAACTTGCTGTTCTGCCTTACTAGAAGAGGGGAATAATAGATATAAAAACTTTAATCTTACTACATGGCTATAGGAACCGGGGACACGGGGGACGTTTTAATTTTGCCGATATATAGTATACTATAGGAAACATTGCTGCTTGTGTCCCCTCCATAAAAACGTTTGATGACCTTGTTTTTGGCTTGTCAAGGAATCTTGCTTGGTAGTGCCCCCCCCCCCCAACTGAAAATGTTTGGTTGTGCCCCAAAACCGAAAATTGCTTCCTACAGGACTCTACTATAAGATAAATCCTGTGAAAGCTATTAAAAATTTGAGTGGTCTGTAGTTCTATCATTACATCATCATGACAAAACATATTCTTTTTCACTAATATAAGAAACCTGTTGATTTTCTCATTTCAGTAAAAAAAAAAAAAAGGTATACATGTACTAACCACTTAACTTGCTACTTGACCTACTCTGTCACTGCGACATTATCATGGTCCAATCTTATTAAGGAATGGTACTTTTCATACTATTACTTGCTTAACATACTAGTATACATGAATACTTTGCATCTATGTGTCAGACTCTGTGCTATCTTTCATTTCAAGCTCACTGGGATATATCGAGTCGACATATGAATGGAAGTGACCATTGCTATTGATAATACGTCGTCGAAATATCGAGTTGAGGCCACAGCAAGTGATTTCTTCTTCTCATTTAGAAGCTTTTGAATAAATTCTGCTTCATATGAATATAAAAATAGGTCTGCTAATAACGGGGCCCATGGAAATTCCAACAGATTGTTGGGAGACCTGGTCTCCAAAAACTACATAGATATTGTCAATCAGAAAATCAAGCATCTTTTTTATATCAACTTCAAAGTACTTGTGTGTACTATCAGAATGCTTTTTAACAAAATAATTTTGCAAATGACCAATGACATACACTTTTCTACAAGGGATATCACTCTCAATGAAATATACGGAGATAACGAACAGTATTCAATCTCAAAAGTCCATTAAACATTACAAATTAGGTTTAGAGCAAACACAGACCTCCAAAACATCAGAGGTGGGATCAGGTGCCATGGAGGAGTGAGCATCCCCTGCCGACCGGTCACACCCGCCGTGTGCTCCTTGTCATGATCGGGAAATAACGGAAAAATCCGTCGACAATTCAGTGTGTAAATAATGGCCTAATAATTAGTATGAAAAACATCAGTCAGCATTTGACTCAGTGATAAATTGTATTTGCTGACAAGGTCATTGTATCGACCATAGAACTTACGAAATGATGACTTTAAACGAGACTGCTGATATTCTTGTTTCATCAACTTGTTTGTCAATAATTCACCTCGTTTTAGAAAATGTACATACGTAGAGCATGCTCTTGCGTATCGAATCAACTGAGAGATATAAACCCCGTATGCAGGTGATGAAGGTACCGTATATTGCTGCATAAGTAAGGGAAGTTGACGATTGAAAAGTTAAAGTCATCACGTTTATCATAAAGCTTGGTTGTTAGATTACCAAATATTTTCAATAAGGCAGGTTACTCTAATACGTGAAAAAAGTTTTTTTTCTCAGGATAACCCGCCTTGCAAAATGCCCTTAAGAACAAACTTTCTAAATGATTGTTTACCAATGTCTACTTTGAATAATTTTCGAAGTAAACTACGCATCAAAGCCGATAGTCCTAAAGAATGTAGTGGGGGGGGGGGGGGGGGCGAGAGAAAGAGTTTTAAGAGCGATAAAACTTACCAATTTCTTTTGTGTTATTTCATTTGTTGACATAGCAGCAGCGATTCCTACTATTCCAAACGCTATGGGCTGAAATGCAATTTGACATACGTGTAAATTAAATACGTTAAAAATATTAATGAAATGTTGATTTTGGAAATCCTTTTCATATTTAAAATATCTAATAAAATATATATTCTTGGTAGAACCTATTGATATCTACCTTGAATATGCATGATATTTTATTGTACTTTATGTCTGTTTCGCTGAATAAAATACAATGTAAATTGAATGGCTTACTTGTGTAAGTAAAAATTAGCAACAAATAATAATTAAAAAACGAAAAGATTCCTTACATGATAACATATAAAGCAATTGATCAATGTTTTAAAACTCTTTTTAGGGAGTAATCACCATAATTTTTTAAGCTTGCTCAAATCTCAGGTCAGTTACAAGAAAATTATAAAACAAAAACATACACTTGAAAACTACAGGCGAGCTATGTGACCTGAGCGTTTGTAACAGTCATGTGTAATACAGAAACACTTACATTGGCTGCAAACCAAATACCGGTTCCTGTTGTAAGTGGGTAATCGGCACCGTCCATTAATGCAAGCACAGCAATACCGATTCCTACACTGCAGATTCCAAGAAAGAGGCCTATAGCAGAGAGGATTTTGATGTAAGACAGGACTTGTTCTTTCTCTAAAATAAAGTACGACTTATTGAATCATCTTGAAGATATGATTAAAGTATACACTTCTACAAGTTTAAATAATATTATTAGCATTTATAGAATGCAATACGAAATTATATGACTTTTTACTCCTTTTTTTACATTTTACTATAAAGCTATTTTCCATCCTCTCTTTCTAGGTTATTTATTACTAAAGAATTAAAACTAAACATTTTTGACGAAAATTCGATGTTGTGTGTTACAAAATATAGGTCTTTTAACGTTTGAATTCTATTCAGATGCAAATATCAATATATTTGTATACTACCTTTAAATATCATTGTGATTTGTTGAAATCTACAACTTCAATGTTTGTTGATATTTTTGTTCTTTTAAATATAATTTATTAATTTTTCAGTTATTCCTTAGCGACAATATCAAAACATTTCTTCTCCATTTCTTTTTTCCCTGAAATTCTGATATCACAATATACTAGTAATAATTAAATATATTGATATTAGAAAATGACCGTCGTTATCGCATAAATACTGTCTAATCATAAACACAGACACACGAATCTCTGGAATCACAAGAGATGGAATCAGGTGCCTAGGATGAGTAATCATTCCCTGTCAATCGGTCGCACCTGTTGTAAGCCCTTTGTATATATCATGATCATGTGAACAGAGTAATCCCTAGTCAAAATTTAGCTGAAAAACATTGACCTACTACTATGATCCAAGGATAGTTTGCCTTTAGAAATAAGGTCATCATAACGACCATATAAATTGCTAATGCTGATTTTAAACAAAACTGAAGAAAGTCCTGAAGCATCTACTTTTTTTCAGTGTCCTGCCTCATTTTAAAGTTCATCGTACTCCGAACATTGTCTTGCATAATGAATCAGCTGGGAGACATTAATAACCAAATATAGATGACAGTGGAATATTACTACTGTATACAGGGAAATTTGGACCTCCGTTTTATTTTCGCCTCTTTTGCCCTAGACACAAGAGGGGCGAATTTTAGACGGGGTGAATTCAAAGAAAACAGCAGAACTTTTAATAGGAGTAGTTACCAATGGAAAAGCTGAGGTCATCCAGTATGTCATATACAAGTAATCTAGTTGTTATAATTTGCCATTAATGTGTTTAGTTAGTAAATCATCCAGATGTGAAACAGACTCTGTCGTCTCTTTTATTTCGAGTTCACTGGGATATATGGAGTCGATGTATGAAAGAAAAAATGATTGTTATTTGATTTTTAACGTCATCGATATGTCTTATGAATTAAAGGCTTCAGCAAGTTTTCTTAATAAGTTTTCATAATAAGCATATAGAAACGGATCGGCTATTAAAGGAGTACATCTAGTAAGTATCGAAATTTCAATACATTGTTGGAATGACCGGTCAATGAAGAGCATAAAATCTTTTAAATATCAATTTCAGAAATCTTTAGTGTAGAATCGGAATGATTTTCAAAAAGATGACCAAATACAAGATATGTCAATATAAAAAAAGAAAGACAAAAAAGATAAATTCAAGCGGAAAAAAAATGCATACAAGTACATGTATATAGTAATTGCATATTGTACTTGAATTTCAACAGAAACAGAAAATAACAACAGAATTGGCAAATAAAAGGGACACTATAACTTTATAATTGGAGATATCTCTAGATGTTTAAAAATCTCCTCAAACTTTGATGTTTTAATTCAAAACAACAGGTTTTATTTAAAACTTATACATTTCATAATGAAAAATCAACAGTATTTATGTGCCTATAAAACGATTTTTTTTTAAATATTAAATCTATAGATATTATACAAAAAAAAACATTTTTTCAAAGTAATAACTAAGTAATAATTAATAAGTGAAGGTTTTTAAGCAATCGAGCTCATGTGATAAGTGCACTTTGTCGATTATCTCCTTTGTCACTCGTTTATTTTTTTTTAAGCAACAAGAAGAGCTCAACGCATTGTTCTTTTAAATTTAAAATGAACCACTAAAGTGCTCTCAAAATGCTTGAACTTTAAACTCGTATTTTGTTTTTGAACTAAAATTTGGTAATAAACGTTCTTAAGGTTCATATTTTTGATAATTAGGGTTCATGCTGAGTCAAACTTGAGTTTTTCAACAAACTAATAGTCTAAGCGATATATATTAATAAATATGTCATGGTATTAATTCATTTAATGGCCTGTATGTTAAATTCAGCTACTATATACAGCTAGGGAAATTTTCGCCCCCGTGTTATTTTCGCCCCTTAATTGTATGTTCATCAAAATGTAACGAAATAAAAGGTTTTAAAAAAGAAAATATGTGATTCAGAGATACATTTCTTTACTTATAAATTTAACTCTAGAGCAAACATAGCGTGCAGAAAGCCTATACATGTCGCTTCAGATATATAAAAATCATGTTCAGTTTGTGCATTTAGTATTTAGAGTAAAGTTCTCATTATTGAAATTTATGAAATTATGATAAACAAAACTTTTCTGAGGAAAACTTTCTCGGCAAAATTTATTCTTTTATTAAAAAAAAATTAATGTGGTATTCGTGGGGTTCGAACCCTAGCAATAAAAATCCTGAGTATCATTTTCTTTCGAGACTAGCACGCTAACCACTAGACTACACAAGTACTGATTAAGGGTGGCATTTAAATCATGTTTGTGATACTAGTATGATCCTTGACTTAATGGACTTCAAGTATTTCTCGAAAAGATGCGAATGTTATGTCATAAAAGTATTTCTAAGGTATAGTGGGTCATTGCTCCATATTTTTGGTAACCAAAAAATGTATATTTTATGCAAACTTTGAGGATTAACTTTCAAAAAGGTGGAGCGAAGACCCACTCATATCGAAAAATAGTGTTATAGTATTAGAAAACGACTCTTTTTGCCCGCTTTAGTGTGTGTCTAATATTTCACAGGCAAATAATTTCAATCTTTGAGGGATTTTTGCAAATTGTAGAGATTTTACATAAAGTATAATTTAATGTTAGACGAAATATCAAGGAAAATTTTGATATAATTGAAATTTAATTTTTTACTTCATGTTTGTCACACTGTAGGCTTATCGCTCGTCATGTTCACCCATCTCCTTTATTCAACTATCTATCAAGAGGAAGTAACAATTAAAGGCCTATTCAGTACTTGAGATACCTCTAAAGAACAATAAATAGGAATGTTGTTAAATAGTAACAGCATTCTCTAAAAATCCTTTGTATATAAGGCTCACATACTCTTTTTCTTTCACTGTCATTTATTTTTTATCCTGACACTTTTATGTTTTGCTAAAGAATATATCATTTTTAACCTCTAGATTTTACTTATTAGCCTATTTTCTGTGCATGTGCTTAAATAATTTATACAATTATGTTTACCAGTGAAACTACATGTAGGTTCCGACAACAAATTCGACTGATCAACAGGATTTGACAATCATAATCATTTTGACAGAAATACCGGGTTAGTTTTGTATATAAAGTCAACAAATTTTCATTGTAATAATTTTATGTCGACTAGAACTTGAAATAAACGATTCTACAGAGTCTGACACATCTTTTTTCATATTTGGATATTTCACTATAAAAAGACGTTAATAGTAACCTAACAACAAAAGTTTATGATAAACGTGATGACTTCAACTTTTCTATTGTCAGCTTCCTTTATTCGTGTAGCAATATATCCGTATCACCTGCATATGGGGTTTATCTCTCCCATTTGATTCGATATCCAAAAGCATGCTTATCGTAAGAACAATTCCTAAAACGGGGCAAGCTATTGACAAACAGGTTGATGAAACAAGGATATCAACAGTCTCTTTTAAAGTCATCATTTCGCAAGTTCTAAGGTCGATACAATGACCCTGTCAACAATTATATACAATCTATTATTAAATCAAATGCTGACAGACGTTTTTCATACTGTTAGGCCATTATTTAAACACTGAATTGCCTACCTTTTTTTCGTTTTCCCGATCATGACATTGAGAACACGGCGGGTGTGACAGGTGATGCTTACTCCTCAATGGCACCCAATCCCCCCCCCCCCTTGATGTTTTTAGAGGTCCCTGTATGCTCTGCACCCGATTTGAATAGTTTTAATGGACTTTTGAGCTTGACTACTGATCGTTATCTTAATGTTTCCTTGCCTTATAATAGTCGTGAAGGAAACAGATGTGAAAATTATGTACCAAAATATATTCACATACTTGTACACATCAAATAATACTAGTAGATATATTAATCCTCTTAAGATGAAAATAATTGTGATGTAAGCTGCTGATAAAATTAGTAAACTTTGACTGTTTGTCCCACGGTGTCCAACTGCAAACAAACTACTTGTATATTAGGAGAGAAAAAAGGTGATAAATTACTGATAAAATGGGCGTGGCTCATTCATGATGGACGTCAGGATTAATCCAAAGTACAATTTTTTAGCAACAATTGTCTTGTCAATCTGCACGTTAATTCTTCTGGAATTTAATTAATATCATGATCAGAAGTTGGTGTGGTCTATACATACAGTTAAAGAAATAACACCATGAAATAAATAAATAAAATGATATTTTTATTTATTTTACTTACCTTGTAAATCTATTTTTTCTGGTTGTTTCTCCATTTTCTATAAATTCAGTAGATTTCACAATCGATAGGAGATTATACTACAGGAACCAAAATCCGCCGACAAGTAAAATTAAATAATGCACTAATCGACTGTGTCCTTATTTAATATACACACACATCTCGGGTATTTCAAAATCTACATACTGTTGAAATCGTCTGCTGTTTTTGTCCCTGATATCGACCCCGGTTGTATTCATTGACTCGCGAAAAAAAAATTGACTTGCAAAAAAAATACGTATCAAACAAATTATAAGAATATAGGTTTATAAGGCGTGACCTAGATAACATTTCTTTTCTATAAGAGATATCTCTTTAAACTACGCAAAGATATCCTTCATAACAAGATATATCTCTCTCCATGAATTCCAGACACAGATATCTCTTTTTCTTTACGAGATATCTTTGTTTCAAAGAGAGATATTTCTTTTGATCAATCTACTTTTTTGTCGATTTTTACGTCCGTCGTTGAAAAATGAGAAGTGAAATTCACATCTAAAAAATGAAATTCCTTTTCTAATTATTATTTATACTGGGCCACAAACAACTGAAACCGGCTATAAAAATATGAAGCCTTGTATATTGTAATAAGTTCTGATGTTTATAAGTCTGAAAAAGCAAGGGATGGGAGACTAGAGAGCCACAGTTTCATTTATTCAAAAAATTGTAAGTTTCTTTCTTTCTTTTTATTTCATCTTTTCTTTTTCAAAACCTTTTTAAGAATTGGCATAATGCTCCACAGACCAAAATTTGTCAAGTTTTACCAGACATAATTTTTTTATTAGGAAGCCATTTTGGGGTTTGTGTTCCATTTTGGCACCTTACGCCTTAGAAAACACAGGCAAATTAATCAATCAATATTTGATACATAGTCCTATACAAAAATGAATTACTGTATACATGTATAATAAATGACAAACTGTCTGGGGTTTGTTATTTCCCCATTCTGCATAAAAGTAGTACCATCTGGCTTTATTATCACTCCTCAGCAGTTCATGCAGTTCAAGAGATTTCTTTCAAGGGAATAAAGAGAAATTATATCATGTAAATAACTAAATATTTGTTTTTCATAACAACAAAAAATTGCTGAACAATTTAGAAATATGACGTGTCCAGTAATAACATGGTCTGACATACCTGTATTAAATAAATGTACACATAGGATAGTAAAACAAAAAAAAATGATTAACACAGATATGAATAATTAATGTTGTTGCAAAATGGAATAAAATGAAAAGCCAAGTAATATTCAATCACCAAGTAATATAATTACTATATGAAAATATTCTATAAGTCTTTCCAAAACAGACATTTAACACTTTTTTCCGTGATGACAAAAACATATGACGTCAAGTGTTTGTGCTTTGCAAATATAAAGAACAAATACAAAATCCTCTAGTGTTTTAAAATTTAGACGAAGGTGAATTTCTTTTATTTATACATTGCAAACTTTGAAAATTGAGGTCTGGTTTTAACTTTTGAGCATAATACAAATATACTTTACACATTCTGAAATTAAAGGTTTCAAAATCTGCCACATTTGTTAGGGAATTACAAAACCAAAAAATAATAATGAATAAGAGGGTCATACTTTTCAACATTAAATACATTTTATGACAATTTTTAAATAGTATAACAAAAGATTTTGACTCACGCACACAGTACCACGACAGATAGATACCAGTACAACAGTTTCATGACTCAGGGGTGCTAATATAGGACCACAATAAAACATAGAGAGTTCTCTTCGTCACATCTAATCTAGTGTGTATAGACTACACTGTAGTTCCCATATGATCAAACATTAAAGAATTAATTATTTCTTCACGAATGACAGGCAAATCAGTAACACAGGAAGATAAGAATTTTCCTTCAATTAAGAAACAACAATCTGAGAATAATATTAAAAAAATATATGTCTTCTTAATACTCCCTGAATGTAGGTCATATGGATAACCACTATAGTTATAAAATTTACTTGACTAAGTGTTAAGCCCCTTGCCCTCAATCACACGAAGAACCCCCACAACACCCTCTTCTGTATTTCCATTCTGGATGCAGGACACATTTCTTTTTATTATGTAACACCATTGAAGCAATTCCTATGAAATAGGACAGTACCAGTATCCCGACTTGTACACCTTGGAGAGCGGCCAGTGCGTCCGAGTTGGATCCACATTTTTCGTCGCCATTGGCGCACACTATCAGCCCCTGTATAGAGGTGGCCATTGGGTAGCCCTGTGTCATCAGAAGAATACTAACCACGTAGTGACCATTCAGCTGAAAATAAAATTATTTATCTTCAGTGCATCATTTATCAAAAGTTTAATTATCATCAAAAATATTTTAAAAAATCGTCATGCAAATGGGAAAGAAGTATTCAGATAGATATCACGCACTGATTGATTGATTGATTGATTGATTGATTGATTGATTGATTGGTTGGTTGGTTGGTTGATGGATGGATCGATGGATTGATTGATATACATGTACGTCCTAGCCAGAATTTTTCAGGCAGCTGAATAACGTAATCAGCCGAATGTGCAGTTTCTAGTACTTCGAGCTCAAGCTTTTATAAATACTGATCAAATGTCTACAGTGATACAAGGTTTAAGGTCTCATCCATAAGACCCCGGACTTAACGCTTGCAGAGTGTGACAGAGAAACAATTATTATCTATTTTAGAGGGCGTGCCCGGCCAGAGTCGAACAAACAGTCCTGCTTAACGAGGATCTAACTATATATATATATGTACAATTCGTCAAAATTTAGAACATACAGGCTAAGGTTATGGTTCCTTTTTTTGGAAAGCCTCACTGGTGTGGCATAGATAAACACAATACAATATTGTTTCGACTTCTGATATTTATTTTGAAAAGTGGTATTATTTATGGGAATTTTTTTAGCTAATAATACTAATAATATTAATGACATGCGCATAGTAATTCTGAGGCTGACCTTGACTCAAATTATTTGTGCTAAAAGCAATAATGAGAAGAAGCCTCTTGCTGTGACCTTCATTTCGACATTAAGATACCGGGTATATTGATGACGTTTTATCAATTAATAATTTTTTCATTCATACCTTGATTCGATATATCCCATTAAACTCGAAATAAAGGACACCATGGAGTCTGACACAATTACTTCGTATTTGAATATTTTACTAGAGAAAGACATTGATAGCAAACTTTTGATAAACGTGATGACGTCAACATTTCTATCGTCAGCTTCCCATATTTATGCAGCAATATACCATTAATACCTGCATATGGAGTTGTTGATTCGATGCGCAAGAGCATGTTCTTCGTACGAATTACTGAGTATTTTTAAAAGGGAGCAGGCTACTGATAAACAAGTTAATGAGGCAATGATATCTACAATCTCGTTTGAAGTCAACATTTCGCAAATTCTATGATATATACTATGATCTTGTTTGCAAATATAATATGTCATCGATTGTTGACTTCGTCTTTCATACAAATTGTAAGCCTATTATTTTCACACTGAATTGACGACGGATTTCTTAGTTTACTCAGTCATGACAAAGAGCATGTACACAGCGGGTGCGACAGGGGATGCTTACTCCTCCATGGCACCTGATACCACCTCTGATTCTTTTAGAGGTCCGTGTTTACTCACAATTTGTATTATTTCAATGAACTTTTAAGCATGATAATTGTTCGTTTTCTTCATATTTCATGTGAAGATCTTACGGAAATTAAGCTTAAAAATTCAGTCAAACAATCCAATTTGCAAGGAGATCAAACGTTGTTCCCTGAAAACACCAGAGGTGGGATCAGGTGCAATGGAGGAGAAAGCATCACGTCGACCGTAGGGCTGTGTATTGAGCAAAATATTTCAATACGATACGATACGATATTATTTAAAGCGATATGCGATATATTGGATTATTTATTAAGTCTTTCACAAATGTCTTGTAAATGACATTTATTGCATAAATTTCATAAAAAACTGGGTGAGTCTAACATAACATGTTAAAATATAGTTGTCTATGTATTTTGTAATAGTTATTTAAGATGTGCTATCTCCTTAATGTTTATTTCATTATTGACCAGTTTTAATTCAAAACAGTTAAAAATAATCTTTGGTAACTGAAATTCCCAACTTTTTTTACAGAATTATAAGGAAAACTGCCTGTCCGATACGTATTGGAAGTTTTTTTCGATACGATACATTCCTGAAAATCGATACGTATTGAATATTCGATATATTGACACAGCCCTAGTCGACCGGTCACAATCGTCCTAAGCCTTTGTTTTGATCAGATAAACAGAGAAATCCATGCATTGACCAGTCCACATGATAATGATGGCCTAACAATTTGACAATTTTGTATTAAAAACGTTCTCTCGAAAGGTTTTATATGCAAACAACCATAAAATTTGCGAAATTTTGTCGTTAAGCGAGAATTTTCGATACTCCCTGTAACATCGACTTTGTCAGCAGCCTATCGCAGTTTTATCTAATGCAGAACATGCATATCGAATCAACTTGGAGACATGTAAAAGCAAAAAGTGGTGATTATAGTAAATTGATACATAAATGAGGGAAGTTGAAGATAAAAAAAAATGAAGTCACCGAAGAAAGAGAGCGTACAAGGCGAGGACAATCCCTTCCTCTGAAACAATATATTTCTCAATTTCCAAAACTCTTGGAAATATATTTTTCAAAAATCATGATGTCAGTAATGTCAACTTCAATACATTCATTTAATTAATTGACTGATTTATTGATTGATGATTTGTCTTAAATGTTGACAGTTAAGCGTGGAAAATGAGTCTACTCAGTGGAAACATAAAAAATTTTGAATATGAAAGTGTCAAGTCTCCATTCTACATTCGCTTTTAAATGACTAAAAAAATGTAGAATCAATTTTATGTTTAAAAAAAATGGAATCTGAACCCAATGTATATGTACATGAAAATCAAACATTTCTGGAAAAAATTATGTGCTTCAACAAATTAGTTTATTTAAAGCACATTGACTCACATCGGTGACGAGAAGACTTCGTAACTTAATGGATAACGTTTTTAGCTTTACGCCTAATCCTAAGCTTTAGATAGAGTTCGAATCACATGTGAAGCTCTTCTCTTCTTTTCACATATACCTTAATGAAAACATAACTGAAAACATATAGTAAGATTATTTATCAATAAGTTATTCAATAAGAAAAAGGAATCAAATGTGCAAAAGATGATATTGACAATACAATTTTTAAAAAATGACTTTTCATGAATTTTCAGAATTGAGAAATTTTTTTTTTCAGAACGGGGAACTGTCCTCGCCTTGTACATGTTTTTTTTTTTTTTTTTTTGGGGGGGGGGGTAAGCTTCACATGTGTTGCTAAGGCTCATACAGGAATGGAAAAAGGCATATTGAATACAGAGCATCTGTGAAAGCGGGTATTTGCAAATCGCCAATAGTCAACTCGGATTAAGGTCTTGCTGTACACACTTTAACATTATCTTTTAAAAGTATTTTGTGACACGCATTATGGAATATTTTTCGAAAACTTTCGAACAAGTCATTTATCTAAAGTGTAAACTTAGAAATCAGCTTGCTTATCTATTTTATTGGCTATAAAATAAACAAGGTCTTTATTCTATTGATTATAAAACAAACAAACAAATCGTTTATTAAAACAAACCTTTATCACAGAGAGAGATCGTTCGATCTTTAATATTCATTAAAAATATCAGGAAAATCAAGCAATCCTGTTGATTGCACAACATTTTAATATAAGGAAATATACAGAATCTTTAAATTGGGGAGGGGGTAAAATTAAAATACACCTCACCAATTTCATCTGCGTGATCTCATTCGTTGCCATAGCAGCAGCAATTCCCACACACCCGAAGGCTATATGCTGAAATGCATAATAAAGAAGTTAAATATATACTTCTTGATGAGTAAAAAGTGATCTTTTGAGTGTTTTCCCTTTCGTTTTAATTTTTTAAAATTTTAATATTATATACGTGTAGTACATATAATATGTAGATTTCCATCTGTTACTAAACAAAAAGCTCAAGTTTCTGACTAAATGATTGATTTGTAGTGGAGTGAGGGAAATGACTGTCACTTACATTGCCAGACATCCAGATGCCAGTACCCGATGTAAGAGGGTACTTGGCGCCATCCAGTAGGACAAGCACGGCAATACCGACTCCAATACTACATACCCCAAGAAACAGGACTCCTGCAGACATCATTTTTATGTAGGACAAGCAGCTTTCTTTTTCTAGAATAAAAATGACATTGAGAAATAAAATTTTTGATATCTATTGTCTAGCTTTAGAAAGTTGAAAATCGGACATTCTGTACCATGAAATATTGACTATTGATATCACAATTTAGGTTTTAATGTTAATCAATTAGTTACATAATTGAAAATGATTTGTATTTTTGATGTTTACTATATATTATATAAATTGGTGCCTCCTTCTTTTTGGCATCATTCATGTCACATGTATTACAACACATAGAATTTAAAAACATTTTCTTGTATATATTTACAAAAATCAAAAAGGTATTTGACTAAATCACAAACTTTTTTCTTAAACTGGTCGTAGTCATTCAATTTTCCATGACTAATCCCTCATTGCTTTTAATTTATTTACCTGCTTTGCCAATAAAATTTGGATTTATTCTATAAGTAAGGATTTACATTCGTTTATATAATTTGATTGTGTCGACTTATCAGTGACAGTATTATATCTTCTTTTTTTCATGATTTACTGAAATATATTGCATAGATCCATTCAAGCTTATATTTTAACAAGTATTATCATTGTATCGAGGTATACAGTCATGAAAATTATTACCAGTGATTTTAAGGATACCATACCCAGCGGCACCCCCTTAAATTAACTACCAACACCCTCCCCTTTTCATGCCAATAATTGTTCCCCTTCCCCAAATCCTTGATCCCCCTTAGAAATACCAAACGGACAGAACAAGATCAATTGACCTAATGACCTACATCTGTACTTCTAGTACGTATTAAACAAATCTCAAGAGTAAATATGTAGCGCAAGGAAAGATGGACTCCAGAAATCGATAAAAAATAAAACGGGCGTGGTTCAATATTTTTATTAAAATAAATTCTCGCTTGCATTTTACTTAAAATTACAAAAAGTAATTGTATATGTAATTTTTTTTTAAATATTTTGAAAATACTTTATCAGGGTATCAGTTGCAGATCACATTTGCTTTAAAAATGATGTATATATATAGTATAGGGGAGAGGGAAGGGGTAAAAAAGCTGTATACAATGTATAGTTTCAATACTTACCCCGTGGATCTACTTTTTCTGCTTCTTTCTCCATTTTGTCCATTTTTACAAAATACAATATGCCTACAGCGATTTCAATGTCAGCAGCTCGTAGGTCTGGTCAGTATCTAAGGTAAATACACGCTCCGAGGTGTATATAAAATCCGGATATTTATCCGCTGGACGTGTTATCAAGTTTGACCACAAAAACCACTTATATACGCTTAAATTTTGGAGGATTTCACAATACATGAATTGTCAGTCCGGGATGCAGGAATCGTCTGCTGGATGGCTTCCAATGAACTGTGTGTTGAGTTTGTTCCAGTTTTTGATCTTAGAGCTATATATTGGAGGCGGAATTTCTAAATCCCTATCACATACTGACCATTGCCCAGTGTGGGGACAAGAAAGTAAACAAAACATTTATGCAAAGTGTTGCTTGAATAAGCTAATAAGTACACACTGAACGAAATCACATAAACGTAAAAGTGATTTTAGGTCTTCTTATCATGTACATTATTTATAGGTGTTTTCTAAAGAAGGATAAATACTTTGACCGTTTATGAAACATCCAAGGGTATAAAACACATTTTTAAACCTCTTAACTTATGTGAAACTAATTTTACATAAATCAAATGAAATTGAGTCTAATTGACTTGAAAAGCGTCATATTGTTTCAATCGGGAGGGGGGGGGGCTTGGAGGGTTCACAAAAATGCCGTCAGCTATTCATACATTTCACTTTTGATTATAACAATTCAATTTTATTCGTTTATTTACCAATTAAGGACCCTCATTGGGCAATAAAAAAGTACATTGTAAACACCTGTATATTTTCATATAAATGTTAAATATATAAATGGGGGGGGGGGGGGGATCCCAGCCAGTCAAAAAAAAATTCCAACCCCAAAAAATTCTTTTTTGCCAACTTGACAAGCAAAAAAAAAAAAAGGAAAACCTAACTTCCCTTCCCAAACGTATTTAACTCAGGAAATTTCTTCACAAGCCAAAAAAAGAAAAAGAAAATCCATTTCCCAAACGTGAAAAACACCTATTTCGTTGTCGGGTCCACGTTTTCTGGGGGGGGGGGGGGTCCATGCATAATTTATTTGCTTAAGTATATACTTTTAACAACTCTGCAAATTCAAAGGGGGACGGACCCCCCCCCCCCCACCATCCCCCTCTAGATCCGCGCATGATGCAAATGATACAAAATTTAATGCATTAATTATATGAGAGATACAATGAAATATGAAGATAACGAACAGTAATCAAGCTCAGAAGTCTGTTAAAACGACACAAATTTGGAACAGAGCAAATACGGACCTCTAAAAACACCAGCTAGAAGTGGGATCAGGTGCCATGGAGGAGTAAGCATCCCCTGTCGACCGGTCACACCCGCCGCGTGCTCCTTGTCATGATCGGAAAAACAGAAAAATCCGTAGACAATTCAGTGAGAAAATAATGGTCTAACTATTTGTATGAAAAACAACAGTTTTCTGCGCACGGTTGGGGAGAATTTCTCCACTTCCCAGCATTGGTCTATCAACTGTATATCTTTCACTCCCTACAGACCCATAAACTTCCTTGTTTCGATTTTTTTTTTTTTGTCGGATGGCAGAAAATTCAGAACAAGCGAGTTTATTGGTCTCTAGAGACGACTGCGTGTAAAGGGTTAGGAGGTGGACAAAATATACAGGTTGGTTAAAGAAAGGTTGGTCTAGAATAAGGGAGTGAAAGATAGCTGGAAAGTGAAGAAATTCTCCCCAACCATGCGCAGAAAATCTTGCGCCGTAAATAGCACCCTATAAATTTGCATTACGGAATCTATTGCGTTATGGTCGCTAATTGCTACATAAATAAGGGAAGTTGGTGATAGAAAAGTTGAAGTAATCTCTTTTATCATAAAGATTTTTTGTCAGGTTACCACGTTTTTTTTTCTAGTAAAATATCCAAATATGAAACAGATGTGTCAGACTCTGCGGTACCTCGAGTTAAAGGAATATATCAAATCAACGTAGGGATGAAAATGAATATTGTTAATAATATAAATAAAACGTCGTCGACATCTAAATATTATCTCCATCTATTTTTATCTCCATATTTCATGTTGGATTGGAGGCCACAGCAAAAGACTTCTTCTTTTCATATAGATGTTTTTGAATAAATTCTGCTCCATATGAATACAAAAATAGGTCTGCTAATAACGGGGCACAATTACTACCCATGGAAATTCCAACAGATTGTAGGAAGACTTGATCTCTAAAAACTACATAGATATTGTCAATCAGAAACTTGAGAATCTTTTTAATATCAACTTCGGAATACTTGTGTGTACAATCAGAATGTTTTTTAACAAATCTATACTACTATATTAAAATAATAGACTCGATTTTTTGGCCTTTAATACCGATGAATCGGAAGAGTACTGTCTTTTGTTATATATATTTTAAACATAATTGATACTTGAAGATTACCAATTTGTTTTTATTTTTTCTCAATTAGCCTTCGCTAATTAATAATCAACGAAAATTCCACAAAAAATCCCGGAAATCATCTGGACTTTTTGGATTTTACAATCTTGCGCGTGCGCATTACATTCACGCTAAATCACGGTGTTCAAATCAGAGGAGACAAAAGAAGTACTAAGTAGATAATTATATATTTGTTATTTTATAATTTCTCTAATAAGAAAATAAATAATCATAAATATATATAAGAAATCATAAATATATATGAACAGAATATATAGCAAATTTCCAATGAAAATTTACACGTATTTGTATTATCTTTCTGAGTTTATCCATACAAATGTGATATTGTGTCCACGTGGGTAATCATTCGCCATCTCGGAGACACATTTATTATATGTTATTTATGTCTCTGGCCATCTCAACGGGGGCAAAAAGCTCATGATCGTAGGTGCAATATTAATGTAACTACCCGATTTTATTTTATCCTTCCTTTCTTTTATGCTTTTTTGAGGGGAAAGGGGGGGGGGGGGTGTTACAACTCCAGCTAGAATCACATCTTGGTGAAGTAAGCATTCTTTTCCGCCAAAAATTACAAGAACATTATTTTCATTTCTTAACTTTGAAATAAATCGAAGTAATTAAAGAACGTCAATATAACCGATATTTTCAATTTGAAATGTGTCTAAATGATTGCAACTTGAATTTGTTCGCCATGTTTACCTTCACTGCTGAAATTTATAACGCGGTAAATATGAAACATAAACTAAGGGCAAAGAAATATTTGATTCCATGCAAAAAATTCACATTATATTTCTTAGAAGTGCAGTGAAATCAATAGCATTATTGTAGGTTTATAGCTTTATTATGTAAATACATGTAATGACCTCGGACCCTGGTCTGTCAACAATACGTGTACGGTGAACACCCCCTGCAATGCTTGCGCCGTGCATTTCCCACGTGAACCATCAAAGAAAGCATTTTATTGTTTATATCTAAATTCACCTCTAAAAATTTCTTTAACTCTCAAAAAAAAGTGGATGAAATATGTAATTTATTGTTATTGATCTTCAGTACGTTATATAGAAGGGACAGCCTGTTCTTCTAAATATGTAAAGGTTGTCATGGTAACTACGCTTTATAGGTATCAGCAGTGCTGAACTCTTTGTTGTTGTCATATTTTCAATGAATATCCATAATTTCTTTTATTAAATTTGTTTGGAAAGGTGAAATTTATGTAAGCTCCGGCGTGATTCTAACTCATGACTTGATTTATAGCTAACTGGTGGTCAAAGCCATTTTGCGCTATGCCGTTACGCAACAATTTTGCAAAAAAAAAACAAACAAACAAACAAACAAAAACAAAACAAAAACAAAAAAATCCCAGAATTATATTCACATTCATTGTTTATCTCAAAAGTACCTTACAATATCAATGTGTCGATGTATCTATTTTGTAAATATCTGATATGCACATGGATGCATTCATAACAATGTCAACCCGTGCACGCACGGGTCAAAGTCTAGTAATTTTGTAAATATCTTTTCCGTTTCTACATCTTTCATAAATAAGCTATTAATGCGGTCGGCTTAAGTGTCAATTTTTGGAACATTTGTATTTTATGGGTCTCTCCTTCCTACGACACCCCCCCCCCCTCCTTGGAAATAAAACCCGTTAATTCTTCGCAAGTTTGCCATAATTGCACTAATTCATCAAATGATTCTTAATCCCTCTATATTTTCCTTAAGATGCTTTTCAACAGTCATAATAGCGAAGGACTATTTTTTTGACTTCATGCAAAAATAAACAGCCACCAAGGCTAGACAACTCTTGCTTATGAAAACAACTATGTACAAGGGACCATTAATTAACCGTTAACTTAATTGTCTACTACATAAATTCTTGTTACATATATGAAACATGTAGTCAGCACACAAATAGTTGTCAAAAAATGGTCAAACTTTCTGATAGTAAAACCTTTTCTGGCTTAGGGAAGATATAATAAGTCTGATAGTGTAATAATAATTTATTTTTTTATACAATTACGTTTATGTTTACCATTATGAGCTATATAATGTGTCCAGTATCAATGTGTAATGGCATATCCACTGTTCACAAACCAATAGTTTTGTTCACATAGAATCACAAATCAAACCTTGCATAAGTGGCATATTATAACAATATAAAAAACAATAAAATCTGGTTTTAAGTGAAAGGGTAATGAAATCAGCAAGAAATAATTTTTGCATGACAAGTATCCATATGAAAAAGATCTACAATTAATACACCAAATGTATATGGTGTAAATACATATACAATAAAAGCACAATGCAAGTAAGCTAGGTTTTTTTTCATGTTTTGCACAACTTGCAAGAAAATGAGGTTAAATTGTTATATTTTTTTATTTTACAACCACTGTAGCTGACTTGAAGCACTTTTAACCTTGAACATCTACATTTCTAGAACACATTTTTTAAATATCTCTCAATTTCCTATATTTCATCCTCGTCACTGAAATCAAGTCCCTCCTCAGGAAAATCCCCGACTTCCACGTTTTCTGGTCGAACAAATCCTCCATATTTATCAGGACATTCAAAATATTTCTTACCCCCAACACTGGAATATAAAAGATGAAACCTTTACATAAGAGATGGTATTTTTTGTAAAATAAACTTACTTTTACATGCATCTTTGCAAAAATTTCATAACCAATCAAAATTGTTGAAAAGTTTTTACAGAAAATAGAGTTAGTTTAGAAAGCATTTTCTGCAATTAAATTCTTACACATTTCATAATAAAGTGTACACAGTAAAAACAATACTTTTATATGATACTTTTATAGAAAAAAAATATATTAATTTAATTCAAAGTCGCTTTCATAATGATGGGGGAATACACATTATTTATAATGGTGGATACTGGCACATTACATTGGGTCTTTGAAAGGCCTTTTGTAAATAAGAATTATGTTTCATCTTTGCAGCCAACTGGCAAAAATATTCTACATGTAACTTAACCCTTAAATTATAAGTTAAGTTATGATTAAAATTGGAAAGTAAATGAAATATGGACACTGTAATAATTAATTTTGGACAGAGGGAATACTTTTCCTTCTATATACCTAGCACAAAAGTAATCCACTATGTAAAATGTAAAGTTTTAAATTTAGACCTTGCTTTGTTTTCACAACTACCATCAGTTTCTTGTTTCTTTCTGATGAGAATTATGTTTGATTGAAGAGTACATCAAAAGAATTGTATCTGGCCCTAAAATTTAAATTTTATTTCCTTTGTACACCACATAGTCAATATTTCAAATACTCCATCAAAAAGTTTTTCCAACTTTCTGAGAATGCTTCTATAGAAGTTTTAAAAGGAATCACATTTATTTTAGTACCACCTGTTTCTTCCCTTCACTTTCTAAAGGTTCATTGATACTCTGATAAGAGAGATAACTCTTAATGACATAAATATCTATTATGCCTTTATAAATTTGTCAGGTTGAAGTGTCTTTTTTGTCCAATTTTGCCCCGCAAGCCATGATATAATTGATTGTATTTTACTTAACAAATACATTTCTTTTAGATAATCACAAGAGTTAAAGAAACATTTTATATGAGTGAGCAGAGGGTTTATGAACCTTAAGTGTTAGACTTGCCTTCCATTATTCTTTCCTACAGGTTCATCATAATGAACACCAACCCAATATCCTGGTTTGAAATCTGTTAAACCTGCAAAACAGTTAAGTGGATATTTAAATCAAGCTGACTTCAGCCAAAATTATATACAGTTCATCTTCTATAACGGTATTTCAAACACCGATTTCTAAAATACCATGGATACGTCAAAGTGATTTAGAAGTCCTAACTCCTTATTCTTTAAGTATTTTACATTTGATATCTCAGCTCCTTGAATATCTCGAAGTTTTTTCTCTGCCCCATCAGTTCAAAATAATGAAGTTTGACTGTGCATAACATCTAGGTCACTTATGACTAGAAAATGTGTCACGACTTTTGACTTCATGCACATTCTAAAAAGTTAAAACTGTGTGAAAATCAGAGGCATGAATAAATATCTATTTTTACTTACCTACATATTTGACTGTACCCCTTCTTGTAGGTTGGTTAGGAACTCTTACTTCACATCTGAACAAAAAAAAAAAATAAATCATAAGACAAATTGCAGTAAGTCAAACTGGACCATGGAAAAAAAACTTGAGAAATTAAGATATCAAAGTTAAACTTCAAATTCAAAATAAGATCAGGACCACTAACTCACTGAAAAATCTGATAATTGATATAGCAATAATTCTTTCAAAGTTCAAAATGTAATAATACTGCACTGATTTTAAAAGGCTATGTGACATTCCATCTTAGACTAAGATTCCTTGTACCTCTCCCCTATTTTCATGCTCTCGGCCTTCTCTTTGTTTTCCTGTTCTTTCCTTTGTTTTTCCTCCTCTAACCTCTTCTGTTCTTCAGGGTCCACTTCCTTAAACCTCCCTAACTTGTTCCTTTCCTTAAAAGCTCTAACAGAATCTGTAACATAGTAAAATATTATCGGTATTCATGGCCGGGGAAGACAAAGCACTGTTGTGATGTTGTTGCTTCATAGAAATTTTCTACACTCCAAGAACTCAATTCTACATTTAAAGGGATACTATGATCTACTTTGCTTACACCTATTTGTACAGAAAAAATAGATTCAATGAACAAGAATATCTTGTTAAGAACATGTACACATATTTGCAAAGTGTACCAAAATCAGTAATCCTTTGCAAATGATGAAATAAACAGAAAGGTCTCAATGCTGATATTGATGTGCCATAAAGAGTTTTTGTGGGGCATGATGCCCTGGACATTTCAGATGAAATAAGACCTTGATAGCGACCTTAAGTTAACTGTGCCAAAATATGAAGTCTCTATCTTGTATAATAAATGGTAATAGCCAAAGTTTAAAAATTCTGTGGACAGACAGAACTAAACCTGTTTTTCTTCTGAACCCAACAGAACTTACGAATAAGATCAACATTTACAATGTAACAATTTTAAACTTACAAGTTGTTTTGTAAAATGGTTTCCATTGAGGTCTTTGAAGGGAATAAAAGTTATCCTCTCTATATAAATACTTAATGCTCAGTTCAAATGAAAATGAAAATTCCTTGTGAAATCAATTAATAATGTTGTTACTTGTACATGTAAAACAAAAAGAAATAATACAAGAATACACGTATGTGATCACACGCATTTACCTGTTTTTTGAGCATAGTCATCCTCAGACATTTCATATTTTTCCACTTTGGATACATCTTCAAACTCGCCTATTTTAATTGTGGGATCTATAACCTACAGATAGGTAAGGTGCAACATTAGGAATAAATTCATTTGCCAATAAATGAAAAATTCCCGTGGAAAAAACAAAGCAATAAACTAATTTACAGATTTACTCATGCAAGATGTGCATCTTTGAAATCACTAACGTGTATATAACGTTTAAGGAAAAAAACTTTATTCAGAAGGTCACAAAAACATGAATGACAAACTTGTCAACTTACATGGATTCTCATTCCATCTTCTATTGGATACGAACCTAGGAGTGCATCATCATTGTCTAATTTACACAGTAATTTGTTATCTCCATCGTAAACTTCTAGTTTCATATTACCAGATGTAGAACCAGTTAACAACTCCAATTTGTTCTATAAAGACAGAATCAAATTAAGGAGGTTGGATCCTGCCATCAAAAGTAATGAGAATTTTTTATCAAGTATATTTTCTGAATTTATACACATAGCTTAATTAAAAATCAAAACAAAAAATGGGGGTCAATGCGCTTCTTTTGGCGCTACAGAGCATTTAGTTTGACCTTTTTGCACTGTAAATACGTCTTACACATAAATCAATTTTTGAAGTTTTTCCTCCAATATTTTTTATTCAAGTAAATTATGGGAACAAACACAGACTTATGTCATCTTGAATAGACACCTAAAAATTTGTGACAACGAAAAAATTTTCAAATTACTCCGCATGTTCAATTATTTGACCTTTTTGCACTCAAAAAATTTCATTTTTCTGGCATTAAAAATTTAACAAGCAAAAATATCATTTGAAAGTAATGACATTTTACTGAATTTAAGAAGAAATGTTAAAAGTATCTTATATATTCAGAAAAGAAAATAAAAAGTGGGGGTCTGTGTTGTTAATTTTTAGATATTACTAAAATAGTGCTAATTTTAAGCTTAAAATAGGGATATTTTTTTCTTGACTTTCAAAATATATTTGCTATATTTATTAAATATGATGATAAAATTCATGACAGTTTATTAAATATATAATTTAGGACCAGTATAAAACAGTTCACTTCACAAAATAACTCTGTGTGCAGACTGCATGGAGAAATAGGAATTCAAACTTAACATACTTTAAATACTTCGAAAGAGAAAAAATGATCATTTTCTTCTAAAAAACCTTCCGCCACAAAATATAGTTCCTCACTTAATGCTTTTGGTATGGAATTAAGTCATGGAGTTTTAACTGAATATAGTTTAATTGGCATTGTAGAATCCAAAATTATTGTAAGAATTCAAACTTTACGCAGAATTTTTGAAATATAGGGTAAGATATAAATCTGCTCAAAAGCTCAGGAGCGAACCTCGTTAACTAGATAATATTTTCTTTAGATAAAAAAAAGAGAGGGGGAAAAAAAGAAAAAGAAAATCCCAACTCCCACAACTGTAATCTCGGTCACAACCTAGTTATTGTTGACATGACCTGAAATCTTATATAATAATGTCTTACTGGTAATTAATACCGGAATCAACCTTAATATTATCCTTTCAGTAAAAGGCTACAAACTTTTATAGCAGTAAATCTTGTATTACTAATTCCGGACCGTCTCTGATATTTTCTTCATCCTTGTTAAATAGAATTGTTTTATACTTCACAAGCAAATTTGCTATGCTAAACTAAATAGATATATATCTGCAATTTTACACATTCATAGACGGAGATGAGCAACTTGATAATCAATGTCTGTTTTCAATTTCTGCACTTATAATCTAGTAATAGATTATAGTCTAACATTTACATTTCCAATGTCTTTGTCCGAGATAAAATTTCAAATAGTAAAAATACTTTATTTCTACATAAATCTACTGGTTCATTGATAGGCGTGGTGGAAAAAAAAAATCACGTGCGGGGTGGGACAAATAGAGACAGAAGCGGGGCTTGTAGCACGTAAATTTGCAGAATCAAGAGCATGTAAATATAAAGAATAACTGTCAGATTTTTTTGGTTTCATGACGATCAATCGATTGACTTGCGTGATAATTTTATGCATAAACGACTTCAGCGTTTATGCAAATTATCACGCAAGCCAATCGATTGATCACATCATGAAACCAAATCAAAGTACTGAAAGTACTGAAAAGCGGTTAGCATGCTTTCATCTAAGATTCTAAGATTGAAAAAAAAAAACTTTGCATGAAATGATATTAAAAGTATGTGTAGCTGTTGTTCAATGTCATCAGAGAAGAAGCAGACATTCCGAACTTTGGAATATTTTACTAAATGACAAAACCACTTACATCTCATTCATACACCAAGACATCATCTTTTATCGTTTGATGTCACAAATGCATGTTTAGAAATATCAAAACGTGATTTCTTGAGTTTGAAAGACAGAAAGCGCAATTTATTAATAACACTTTAGGTAGTGACCAGAAGTGCCCAGGACGAAAAAAGTATATTGATGTAGATTTATCTACCATGCTCTATGGTTTCTGAAATCAGGTAATTGTTAGGTTGCTAGCACACAATTTAAAAAAAAAATGATAATTTAAAATATTTGAATATATGAATTTGGAGTAGCTGCAGATCTTAAGCTCGCTGGTCTGAAAAAATTGGGATAGACAAAGAGATTTTGTCAGTATTTTTTTTCGGAGAGCTTCAGTTCTGTAGCTATAATTTTGATTTAAGGTAAACTAGTCGGATCAAAACAAAACAAATACACTATAGATTTAAACTTTATACATTGCTCAGGGCGGGTGTGACTGGTCAATTGCGGATGCTTACTTCTCCTAGGTACCTTGTCCCATCTCTGAAATTTTCAGGGGTCCGTGTTTTATGCCATCTTAACATATTTGTATGTTTATACTCGTGATATTTTGAGATCGATCACTGTTCGTTATCTTAACCTTGTACATTTAAATGTTGAAGTTCATTAAAGGGATTCTGTATTTTTGAGGTACTGAGTACTTCCGTTTCATATTATGTGCTACTATGGCACTACCCTCAGTGGAGGACGGACAAGTAAACTAGATAGTCAAGTTTTAAGAAATGTACATTATTGACCATGCAAACATTTTAAATGTTCAAATGAGTAAATGATTATGTAACAATCATTTAAAGTAGGACAAGGATATTGCACAATATATACAGGGACAGATACTGAATATTTGGCACATACTTTTCATGCAATACTCTTGATGTCAAAGAAAATGCATGAAAAGTAAAGTTGTTGTCTAATCCAGCTATACTAGTATATATGATTTCACATGTACACTTAAAGTTATTGTTTGATTAACAGTTTATTTGTCCTTCGCAAGAATTACCCAGTTAACAATGTCACTCTCTTCAATATTCAAATTAATATGTCAGCTAAGCAATTTACATTGATATTTTTTAGTACATGTAATAACAAGTATGTGAATTTCTATAAATAAGCCTGTCTCAAAGACTCAAAATAAAAATCATAATTAACAGTTTGAGCAAATTTAAAAATATGTTTACAACTTACATGTTTTTAAACAGATCTAGACATTTGACAAGTTTTCAAATAATAATTAATTATTATTTAAAATCTTTGTCAATTGCCAAGATTTTTTATGACTCTTTCATTATCTTTTAAAAACCTTCTCAGCTAAATGTTTGCATATTTTATAAACTTAAAGTTGAATTTTAGAAGAGGATCACTCTACAGATTTAAGTTTTTATATGTTTTCTATTTTTTTTAAGAATTAATTTTACTATTTTCAGTTTCCCATAAAATATTTTTTTCTAAAAATAAAAGTATGTGATCCTTTATGATTGTTTGTAATTAAACAAAAAAAAGAGTACAGAATGTACCCCTGTGAGCTAAACTTTTACATTCTTTTAATTAGAGAAGAAATAACTTTTCAATATGAAAAGAATTCCATTGTTTCTATAAATCAGTTGTACAATTTAGAGAAACTTAAAATGTATTTAATGCTTTTAATAAAAATTCTTTTTCGTATATTACATCACTTAATAAAACGTATGTCTAAATATTTGGGGTAAACTCATAAGAGAAAATCAAACACAAAAGTCTCGCCTACGTTTTGCAGTTGGTAATAACCTTCAACCCCTTTAGTCAGCAATGAACCCGTCCATCTAGTGCCCATGGTGGCATAATTAGGTCAAATAATTAGGGTGGTCTATAAATTGTTCATGAGAGGTGCTATATAATTTATACAAAATCGTTCAACACCCAAAAATAAACATTAACTATAAATCATTGCAGGATTTACCGACGAGTTTATACTCTGCAGGTAACCCCTAAAATTCAAGCCGAGCGATTATCTCGGTATTAGCCTGTCAGAGTCAGAAAGGCAGTAGAGGTAGCGATGGTAAACAGATCATAGGTAGCATTTTGACAAAGCTTCCGATGTTGCATAGGTAGCACTTTGACGAAGCTTCCGGTGTCAACAAAAATTGTGTAAGACCTTTGGTTACATGACATAAAGCGATTAGCGTATACGCTAACCGCTTAAAAATTAGACAGTTATTCCTTAATTAAACATAACATTGTTGATAAAATTAGCTTTAATATTTATAGGTTATTGACTGAATTTCAGTAATTATGCCCACCCAACTGGCCAAGGCATTTGTGTGCAAAGACCCAGGGCAAGCATATTTCCTGATATTCAGCCAATAACCTTTATATTACATATTTTAATAAATTAATATTAATTACCAAAACAATTTTTCCAATTCATAAATGGAATCTCTCTAAATTTCAGTTCTAAAACATCCTTACAACATTTTTTTTTAAATAAATGCCAGTTCATTGGATATTTGTAATGTCAAATGTACTTATATGTGATGTCATTAAAAATGGAGAAACAGGAGAATATATTGCAAGGTAACGTATCGCAAACACAAAAGTGGTCCCCCAGGCATTTTCAGTCTGGGCTAATGTAGCTCTGTAAATACCTGGCTACTCTCTAAAAATTTTATCAAGAAATATATCAATATAAGTAAATTTATTTTAACACCAGCTGAATTAGCTGAACATGGCAAATATGCCAGAGAAGTATGAAACAATACTTTTCAGTAATATGCATCATATAGGTTTCAACTTTAGATCTAAGGGCAAATCACTCTAACAGTTAGACTGTATGAGAATTAGAATCCTTCAGCATGCAGTGTACATGGGTCCTTAAATCGTTAAGAAATCACCAATGTTGACCTGATGACAACAATCACGAACCTTAAAATCAGCAATTGTCAAGTCTTTAGGGAATCTTTTTTCTGTCCCAAATGAATTTGCTGAGCTCGTGACTCGCACATTAACTTGACTTTGTGTTACTACGCTAAACTTCTCCATTTTCTCCTCGGAAATCTTTAGATTGTGCTGGTTGACAATCACAATCGTGACAATGCTGTTTCAGCGTGTAAATAATCAGGATTACGGAGACGCTTGAAAAATGAAATCACGTTATTCTAGTCACGTGATACAATTTATTCCGTTTCGATCTTGGTTTGTTGTCTTGAAAATACATATATTTGCTCCATCTTATTGAACTTGTTTAGAATATATATAATCATAAACTATTATTTATTTCAAATATTGCGATAGAAATATGTTTAACAAAGAAACGAAACCATATGATGATGTCATTTGAACGAGAATTGACTTCAGTGAAAGAAGATGGCTGCCACTGAAAAACAGTGGTATGTTGGAGAAGACGGTTGTATATCCGTTGGTGTATCTGCCAGTGCCGTCACATATCACTCCGCCTTAAATTCAATTATAGTGTCAACAAAAGAACCATCTGTAAAGATATATGATGTTGCTTCTGGTGCTTTATTGCAAAAATCGGATCTGTCAGGTAGAAACATTGTGAAATAGGCCTATATCAAAGTGAACATAAATGCTGATTATGTAAATTTTATAAATTTTTTGAAAAGACAAAAAAGTAATTTTAAGTGCTAAAAAACATATCTTGAGAAGTAGCTTTTCAGACATTGTTTGTTTAGCAATTAGAATGAATCCTTATTATATACCCAACTGTTTATCACCCAGTTTTACTGTTGATTTCTCACATTCCGGCTTTCCAGATCACCACACTGGTTTTCTGAATCCATATTACCCCTCTCTGAAACTCAAATGATGTAGTACACAGTATACATGACATTTTTTTCTTGTGTATCAAAAAGTTCCTTGAAAGGTGTTTTGTTTAATAGATAAAAGTCATATGAATGATCCAAAAAGTTGTCTTTTATAATATTTAGTGAATAATAATGGGGTATATAATAAATTAATCATTATAACAGTAAATTGATCCTGTGTTGTTGACAGTCACATATCATCAGATCAAACGTGATACTCCGTGTCTCGTTTGATCTGATGATCCACACCTGTCAACTTGACAATCAAACATGATACAGCTCTTTGGATCAGTTACCGTTAAAATAATATATATATATATTTAAGAAAATTCTGGTTTGTTATAGACAGATCTTTCCTTAAATTAATCAAAATGGATAAAAGTATATATAAGCAGCTTTAAAGTGTATTGATAATGGAAGGAGATTTTGATCATCAAGTTGAGTTTGTGTAAGTTTGTCATTTAATGTCACTGTCATTTGTTAAATAATATAAATTCTTTCCTTTTAACGCAGCAAATACAAGTGATGCCATTCATGCTATATACCTACCTGGAAAGGACAAAGTGATATTTGCCGATGATTATTCAGTGGGTGCTAGAAATGATTTGCGAGGTATGCTCCTTTTGGACACTGCTTTGCAGACACCCATCAAAAAATCAGAGGACCAAGTCAAAGTGGAAATTCCACTTGCAGAGGTAAGAAAAAAAATCTAGTCCTAGTATTTCAGAACCTGCTACCAAGCAGGGTAAAGCTCTGTTTGTAATTTATTCTTATGATTCATATTAATAAACATGTACATATACAAAAATTAAAATGAGCATTCTTTATGGGCAGTGCATGGTTAATTGCTTTCTGTTCAAGGGGAGGGAGATAATTAATTTGAATTGATTTAATATGTTGAAAGAAAAAAATGTTAGGCTATGTTTGAAGGTTGTATTAATGAAGAAAATAAGTCAGCAGTGTAGAGTTTCTATTAGTACTTTGACATAAAATGTTTTGTTCACAGGCTGGACAGTTTCACAAGGCATTAATGAATGCAGAACTCCCTGGGATAGATCATGTTGATGAAGTTTGTAAGGAGCTAGAGAAGAAGATAGATGCAGTTCAGGAGGCTACAAAAGGCCACTTAAAAGCAGCAAAAGTAATACTTGTAAAACTATCTTAATTATTTCATTAATTTAAGAGCTAGAATTGTTTGGAAAACAGTGTACTAAACAGTGATTTTTTTTTTTGATCAAAATGCCACCAATATTCGGCTGCTTCCCCTCACAAAAATTAGCTATTTTTTCCCAATTACTAGTATATTTTTCCCAATTTCAAACATACGGAAATTATGTTTTAATTTTGAACAAAAGTCGCTAAATTTGCTGACAGAGTAAATACGTTTTTATACTTCAATTTTATTCTCTAAGTCCATGCATATGCAGCCAATTTTTTAATGAATGTGTAAAACAATGCAGATATCCATATAAGCAGATAAGTAGCTTATAATATCCTAAATGAATTGGTAAATAGTTCCAAGATACAAGTCATGTTGCATGTTGACATAATGATTTTGGTTTGACCGCCATTATTACATAGAGGGTCAGGCTAATATCAGGAAATGGACAACACATAGGGTTTCACTAAAATCAGGAAAAAAAACAAACGGTAAAGAATGTAAACTTGATTATCAATATAAGACAGTTTACTAGAATATGAGTCTAAATGCTGGTTATTTTTTTTTTATGAAAATAGACAAAGCAATTTCAAGAAAATAGAAGCTACAAGGTGTGACTAATATAAGCCATGTTCACATTCAATAAAATATTGATGTTGATTTTTTTAAATGATTATTTTATGAATTTAAATCAAATTCAAAGTTAAAATCAAACACAAACTGTTATCGTACTTAGTTTGATTATTTTATGTATTTTTTAGCATTCTAATTTACTATAAATGATTTTTCCAAATTTGAGGAAAATGTCGCTAATTTTTCCCAATTCAAAAGGAGGGGGTGGTGGTTTAAAAAACAAAAAAAAATCACTGCTAAACTTATTTTAAAAATCTAGATATATATATTTTTTAAAATTGACATAAGAATTACCACCAAAAATAAAAACCATAAAGATTTGCCAATCTTGCTGAAGTTACAACTCTTACATGTATGTCTGCAGGTGGACAAAGATTTAGCATTGTTTAAAAATAAAAGTTGCTGCTTTTAAAATCACTAACCAAAAGTATTTAAACCAAAGTACCTATGTCTGTGTTTTTTATTTCAGTGGGCCACAATTTGTTTGGAATTACCACTCACCACGCTCAAAGCTGTTTGTACAGGATTGGTGAATGAAATGAAGAGGCTTAGCATGAACAATCCAGGTCTATCAGTTGCCTCAGCTATCGGGGACAGGCTAAACTATCTCCTCCCAAACAACGGGGAGGGTTGGAGTAGCACAGTGGAGAGGTCAATGATGTATAGTGAAGTAGCTCGACAAAAAACCTTCAGGACATGGCCTCACATGAATTACAAGTAAACTTATTATTCAAACTTTCAGTACAGTACTCTCTATTATTTCTAATAGTATTTCTTGAGATACTTTTGTTGTTGTATAATGACACCGTTTTTATAATAGCAATGCTCATAATTTTATTCTTGCTAATTTTTAAAGTATACATGTACATGTATGTTCTGTTGTGATGAGCCCATATGTAGTTATTGTCTTGAACCATGCATTTAATTTTACACTTTGATTTAAAGTTTGCAATCAAAGTGTGTTTTATATTTTGTGAAATTGTAAATACCATTGAATAAAATCATTTACCCAAAAATTAAACTAAGTACAGTATTAAATAATATTGTACATTTAGAAATAAGTAAGAAAAGGTGCAATTAAAATTTTTCAAGATAATAGTAAACATGGATAAAAAGTATTGTTTAAAACAGATGGGCATTGCCAGATCCAATGTCCCAAGCTGGATTCTACCATCAACCGAACTCGATGGGGGATGACCGTGCAATGTGTTTTACCTGTAATGTGTGTTTGGTGTGCTGGGAGCCAACAGATGAGCCTTGGTCCGAGCATGAGCGGCACTCGCCTACCTGTCCATTTGTTAAGGGAGAGTACACTCAGAATGTCCCACTTGCAGGTGAGGGGACGTCATTCAAAATTAACAGGAAATTAACTCTATGATTTCGAATTTACTTCTAGTAAATAGAGAATTTTGATGAAAACTTTAATTCAGTATTATTTTGTCTATTTATTAAGATCATTTCATTCTAATTGGCAAATCCATTTAAAAACATTGCACAACTTAAGTTAACATACTGTGTAAATGTGTTCACACGAATTATAATTCCTATTTTCATGCTATTAATCTTTGTATAATTTTGGTTTCAGTCACCTATGGGAGCCAGCCTGCAAAAAGACACAGTGAAAATGATGATAAGGTCAGTATTCTCAATAAATTTTTCTAACTCGCGAACTTTTGTTAAGATTTCAACATGCATGTACAGCATGTATATATACAGTCAAATCTTGTTATCTTGAACTCGATGGGACCAAGAATCTGAGTATTTGAGATATCATGGGTAAAATACTTAAAGAATAAGTGGTTGGGACTTTCAGATCTCTTAGGCATATCTATGGTATTCAAGATATCAGTGTTTGAGATATCGAAGTTCAACTGTATATGTGTCTCAGAATTATAAGTATTATGTCTATGTACTAATGTAATGATTTGATTTTTTACTTAGCACATTTCAGTAGATTAAGACAAGAACTTTTATGAGATGGTTTTCTTTGTCTCTTAGATTGAGTGTATGAGTACAACTGCCACAGAAAACTTTGTAGCAACATCAACTCTGAATGGGAATATAGTGATTTGGAATGTAGATAAAATACTTAAGGTAAAAATCATACATTTTGATTCAGTGAAACTTGTCTAATCAAGATGTGTATTCGGAAATCTTGCCCAATACAATGTAAACTGCAAGTCCCTTGCTGTAAATTCAGTTGTTTAAAATTTCTAATCCAGAATGTTGTCTAATCTAGAATGTTGTCTAATCCAACCAATTTCTATGGAACCAGTGGTGTCCGGATTAGACAAGTTTTACTGTATATATTCTATGAGAGGTGCTTCTTAAATAGCTGGAAAAAATGAAAATGCCCTAAATGATTGTTTTTGTTTACAGAAATACTGCCAGTTTAATTTGGATCCCTCTAACCCTGTGATAGCCTTGAAGACAGGACTTCAGATCGAGAGGTTGCCTGATAAATCTCCCAGAACCATAGATGGGTAAGTATAAAAATTGTATTAATAAAAGAGAATTTTAAGATATAGACTTGTAAGTTTGTGATGCGTTGTTTAATATTTTGTCAAGTTCTGGTAGTAATCAGTGAATCAGAATGTCTAAGGCATGCTTGAAAAAATGTTGTGACAGATTTAGGGAAAACGGACACAGTTGAGTGTTGCTAGTGCTACATTGTGGAAAAGTCTCCCTCAAAACTTAAGATTATTTGTTTTTAAAAAGTCATTGTAAACTTAACTTTTTTTACTTTTGCATACCCAGATTCTTCTTTTCAACCATTTATTTTTTTTTCTGTTTAGTTGCTCATTTATATATTAATCCTGATTATATTAGACTACACAGCATTTTACATGTAAACATTACTAGTGCTTTCATAATTTTATGGACATTCTTAAGGCTTTTGAATTTTTAATCTTTTAATCTCATATTTTTTCTAAGCACTAGTAATTATATATAATTTTTTAAATGTTTTTATATATCTACATGTATATTTGTTTTAAATTTTATATACAGTGCTTTAGAGTAATTTTATGTTATATTTAGTGCTTTATAAATTTTGTTTATTTAAAATAACAAAAAAATTAGGAAGATGATGATTTTTTAAATAGCATATGGAAAGATACAGGTAAATGTCTTAAAATTGTAGTGATGAATCTGTGCATGATGAAACTGATGCCAAGCCAGAGAATAACGTGAAGAAAATAGAAAACGGTGGTTCTTCAGAAAGTGGCGGTGAACAATCTACTGCAACCACCTCCACAAATGGCACCTCAGAGACTCTGTATGAACTTCCACAGGAAAAGTTGGATAAATCAGGTTAGTTTGCATACAAAGTCTGAAAAAATATTCCTAATCAGGGAATGGTAAAATAGCATAAAAAGAGAGTTAAACACCTGCATTTGAAACACACAATTTGATTGGTGGATTAAAATATAAGCAAGTCTATAGTTGGTCAAGAGGAAAACCCAAATAATCCTCCAGAAATTAATACTGAGGTGAACTCACTCTGAGGCACACCTCATGAAAGAACTTCTGGACCAATCAGAGAGTCCAGATTCCTGATCCTTAAATAAAGGAATGTATAGACTTTCTCAATGACATATCTCTACTATGTAAATCAAGTGTATGTTTATTGCAAATCAGTTGTTAAAAATATTGATACTTTTTTCTTTATTTTGTGTAGATGGACTAAAAACCAGGAATAGACCATGTGAAGATGTGTTAGTAAAGTCCATGTGTATTGTAAGGAAACCTATGACTGAGAAAAGCTCATCAGAAAAAAGCAATGGGGTTAAGATTTCAAAAGCCAAGAAAAAATCCAGATCGAAACCCCATCCCACACTCTTCTGTGGTGTGTCTCTGAGAAGAACAAAGATGAGTTTGTCCCTGGAACAGAACAATGTGGAATGTGAAACAGAGGAGGTAGAATTGATGAACAAAGTGAATGAAGTTGTGAGCAGTGATTCCCCCCAAATCATATCATCAGAGGAGGAAAGTTTCTGTGGGGAGGGGGAGCTAGTGGACAATGAACTCTTACAGTCTACGGTCTTCATTCCATATCTGCTGGTACTGGCCCTTAGGGATGACGTGCGGAAGGGTATAAAGCAGAAGGAGAAGGAACAGACGAGGATGCTACCAAGTAGTGCAAGTTTAAATAACTTAAGTGCTGTGCCAAATTTAGGGTCGATTTCCATGATGAATCATGACTTTAGCTTGATGGATCCCATGTTCGATTCCGATCCTGATATGTTGATTGGTGTGACTCCTGGTCCAGTGAGTCTAACGTCAGAAAGTTCAAGCGTAGGAATGTCGAACTCGGTGCCTGATGCCAAGGTTCCCACAGTGAGCAAGCCTTCCGGTTCCAGTAGACACACAAAGACGGGGAGTGTATTACAATGTGTGGAACTTCCACAGAGGTTACAAAGTGACAGGTTCAAAGTCTCCACTATCTCCCCTATATTAGATGGACAACACATTCTAGTTGTAGTCTCACCAGCAGACAGATGTTCAAAGTCCTCTACTAAAAGCAAATCTGTTTCTGTGATCTCTGACTCTTCTCCCACTATCGAGGCTTCAGGTCCTTGTAATGAATGTTTACCGGTAACCGTAAACAGTGGTTCAAACTCTATAGCAAATTCTTCTGAGAACATTTCTGAGCTATCAAGCTCGCTAGATCAGTGTCATGGAGGATGTGTCCTGTTGTATAAGTATAAATTTGGTGAGGATTATGCACAGTTGGAGGAGACACCTGTGGTCACAAAGTACTTGGAACAAGCAGAACTATCTGTCACCAGTGTTATTGTACTACCACAGGAATTTAGTGAATACCAAGAAAGAGAGGAAGAAAGTCCGGGCCCAGATTCACTGGCAACAAATAGTGCTAGCACCCAGACATCATACCATATTCCGGGCCAAGCTGTTGTCACATTGAGTAATGGAAAACTCTGGCTGTTGAACTTGAATGATTTAAGTGTGGTAGCTGAGATTTCACCCCCTGAACCAGAGGAAAAATTTGTGTCTGCAGCTTATTGCACAGGTGATGCACTAATGTACACTTTACCTTGTTGTTAGTAGTATCTTCAGGCTGTAAATTTATATACTTATTGCACTGGTTATGCACAAAAATACATGTAAAAGTGAAGTTTGAATTGAATTATGTGTAGCACTTTAAAATAAGGGGTGCTGTTGCTTATTTATATTAGATGCCATTTTGTTAAAGCTGTGGAATAAATGTAATGTAAAACTAATTCTTTTAGGTATGGAACGATTGTGTGTATGCTCAGCAGAGGGCAAACTTCACTTCTATCAGTTAAGTGAGGACAGTCCGGTTCTGTCGGAGTCCGGCTCACTGATGGATGTACCGGATGGAGTGTGTAACGGAGAATCCCGCCTAGAACCGGATTCCTCCACTAGTAATGCCGAATCTGTAGAATCTAAGGAACATCTAGAGAAAAATAGTCCAGGTAAAATTGTGGACAATATCAAAAAGGAAATCTATATGATAATAATGAAATTACAGCTTTGATGTTGGCTGTGGGTAATGTATGCTTTACTGTGCCTTTTCATTGACACTAATTGTAGATGATATGAAATAAAAAGGTACCCTATACTGAAAATGTATGAGCTGGAGCTGCAGCATTTCCTTGTTTGAAATTAAAGGTTACCAAGTATTCCAGTAGCAGTCATGAAGTAAAAAGTATTTTGAAAAAAATAATAAAATGATTTTCCATTCTGTTTACAGGTACTGATCTCCTAGCAAAGAAACCTTTGACAGTTGAGAACCTGATGCTTCTTCATAATCTGATACAATTTGAAAACTTGATGCCAAGGTTCACCTCCACTGTGCCATCATGCTGGACTGAAATTCAACAAGAACAGCAACAGCGGCGCCACCCTCAGCATCTACAGCATCAAGGGGAGGCCACTCAGCACACTCGAACCTGGAAACTGCAACCAGACAGGTATGTTCTTCAAAGATATGTTTCCATTTATCATTCAATGTTTTAGACAGAGAATGTTTTAATTCTAACCTCTTTTTTTTTTTTTTTTGCTTTTTATCACAGTATTTGTATAAATAATTCAGTTATATTTATGTATATCAGTTTAATATACATGTACCGGGTATGTGCATTTCTGCAATGTTAAATGTAGTTATAAATGAAATTACGTTTTATGTAACTTTCTTTGTAGTTCTACGTGGGATGAGCACCTGTTTGAAATCGTTCTACCACGTCCATGTTGTGTTGGTCATGTTGACATCAAGTTTACATTACACCCAATGTGCACCTCTCCTCCCGACGTACAAATAACACTGCTGAAGCAAAACGTAACCACACTGGGTCGGCAGTCTAACACAATGCATCCAGCAGAAGTGGACAAAAGTATAGATTTTAACATTAACGCCTTCTGTCATACTGAAGAAGAGAACGCAAACACAAGCTGCACAGAGAAATCCAATGGCAGATTCAGCGAGAATATCAACAGCGTTTTGGATCCTGAGTTTTTGGAGAACCACAATGCAGAGATTCTGTGTGGGCCAGTCAATTTAGCCTCGTTTTTGGACTTGTCCGGGAATGGCGGCCTGATAACACTGACCAGTCCACAGTTGTTGAGCACTAAACCAAAGGCATTTCTTCTGCACATTAAAGGGTTTCACAGCAAGAATGATGACAAGAATAATGAAAAACAAAGGGTAAGAATTAATCTTACACATTTGTCAGGTAGTTTTCTATAGAAGTATTCTACTTGTGTCACTTAGCAATCCCAGGAAGTGCATAAGCTCTTATGAAAAAAAGGTTGCCTATTAAATGTCCAATGTTTGATAAGTTAGGGTAATGTTATCAACTGATGATACCTGGAACTGGAGTCTCTGAAAACTCTGTGGATATTCTGTTCTGATGATAACATCCTAGCACTAACTCAGTATAAATGTTGTATGGAGGAAAATGATTTGGGTTAATAAAATTCATAAGTTGGCAATTTTCAGTCTTAGGAATCTCACACATTCAAGAAACACTGCATATTTTGAAAGTAAAGCCATTAATAGGAAGTTGAAGAAAGTATTTGCTTTAATTCAAACACAGATGATTAGATACACAAGGGGTAAATTTTCAGCCTTAAACATCTGCAGCTTTAAAGTCCTATGTAATGCATTCTTGGATCAAAAGTAGCTTTTCTAGCTTCTTTTGATCCAAGAATGCATTTTATTTTAAAAAAAAAATTCTGTATTCTAGGAAATGAAAAAGAAATCGGCATCCAGTTCCTCAACACAGAAGATGATTGTTATGAAGTCAGCTTTTGATAAAGACATATTTATCCCCACCAGTAAGGTAAAGGAAGCCATGACATCATCTGTACCGAGACCCAAGTTTGCTGACAACTTCCGGGGCTGTGACTGGATACAGGAGATTTCTGTTACCATCAGAAAAACAAAGAGGACACAAATTCCAAAAGAAAGGTACAAGTATTTTTGCAAAAAAAATTTTTTTTAACGATGCATCATTTTGGCGCGATTGAAATGAGAAAATTTTAAGGGGGGGAAAAAATTGGACAAAATTGTGTGCTTTGGGACTAGGAATAAATTTCAGATGTGCAAATTACTAGCGAATACTGTAGATCACCAAATATTGGCGACACCTTATTTTCCCGAAATAGGTATTTGATATCTATAAACGAGACGAAATTTACACAAATGCTGATTATTGCTATTTATATTCTATACCAATAGATATATACGCGATAACTTTATTTTCGCGAGCAGGCAGTCTTGCGCAATTACGCGAAAATAAAGTTCTCGAGAATTAAAAGTGATTTACAGTACATGTCAAAAGTGTTTTAAAAAGTATTCGGAACTTTTTCGAAGCTATGATTTTCTGCATCATTTTGGCATTTAAAAATCTGCGAAAAACATAATTGTCCTATTTGAACCAATTTTCTTCTCTCTTTTTCTGGAGAATACTTTAAATAAATTTCTTAGTGATGGCATGATTTTTTTCTAATTCTAATTTTCATATGTATATCTACCAGTAGTTTTCTGATCAAAATTTGTCCGTTGTCTGTCGTTTTCGGTGTCGGCGTCGTTGTAAACTTTTCACAATTTCATCTTCTCCAGAACTACTGGGCCAATTTCAGCCAAACTTGCCACAAAGTATCCTTGGGTGAAGGGGATTCAAGTTTGTTCAAATGAAGGGCCACACCCCTCTTTCAAGGGGAGATAATAAAGAATTAGTGAAAAATTAATAGCATCTTCTTCTCAAGAACCACAGGGCCAGGAAAGATTAAACTCATGTGGAAGCATCCTCAGGTAGTGTAAATTCAAGTTTGTTCAAATCATGACCCCCGGGGGTAGGGCGGGGCCACAATGGAGGATCAAAGTTTTCACATAGAAATATATAGGAAAAACCTTTAAAAATCTTCTTCTCAGGAACAGCAAAGCCATGATGAGTCACATTTATATGGAAGCATCTTCAGATAGTGTAAATTCAAGTTAGTTCAAATCATGACCCCTGGGAGTAGGGCGGGGCTACAATAAAGGATCAAAGTTTTACATAGAAATATATAGGAAAAATCTTTAAAAATCTTCTAAGAAACAGCAAAGCCCTGATTGGTCATATTTATATGGAAGAATCCCCAGGTGGTTTAGATTCAAATTTATTAAAATCATGACCCCCGGGTGTAGGACGGGGCCACAATGGAGGATCAAAGTTTTACATAGAAATAAATGTATATAGGAAAAATTTTAAAAATCTTCTTCTCAGGAACAGCAAAACCCTGATTTATCATATTTATGTGGTAGCATCCACAAGTAGTGTAGATTCTATTTTGTTCAAATCATGACCCTCGGGGGTCGGATGGGCCACAATGGAGGATCAAAGTCTTAAATAGAAATATATAGGAAAATAACTTCTGATGAAGAACTGCAAAGCCATGATTAGTCATTTTGATATGGAAGCATCCTCAGGTAGTGTAGATTCAAGTTTGTTAAAATGATGACCCCTGGGGATAGGGTCAGGCCCAATGCGGGATCAAAAATTTTACATAAGAACATATAGAAAAAATATTTCTTCTCAAGAACAGAAAAGCTATGTTAAGTCATATCCTCAGGTAGTGTAGATTCAAGTTTGTTCAAATGATTACCCCTGGGATAGAGAGGAGCCACAATGGGGGATCAAATTTTTACAAAGGAATATATGGGAAAAAATTTTTAAAATCTTTTCAATTACAACAAAGCCATTTGTTATATTGACATGGAAGCATCATCAGGTAGTTTAAAATTCAAGCACCCCCCTCCTCCTCCGTTAATCTTTTCAATACTGAACTGATTTGTGCTTTTGCCAAGCCAATGTGCTCAGGTGAGCGATGTGGCCCATTGGCCTCTTGTTTTAGAATAATAATTTTATGTTTTATTGTGTTTGATTGGACAAGTTCCTCCATGTAACTTTATCAGAGTACATTTATATACCAGGATTATTTTGCTTTTTATAGGCTCCAGAGAAGCATGATGATTGAAAACTTGAAGTTCCATGAGCGTTTGATGTCAGCAGTGGGAATGAGTGACGGTTATGTCTTTAGTGGAATCAGTTCAGATTGCTATCAAAACATGGCCCTGGACATTCTTCTGTGGATATCTGGTGTCCAGATGAATGACCCCATAAGGAGGTACATATGGGAGATTATTTTAAAAAAAAAATATGGTGGAAAAAATTATTTTGAAAAATATTGTGACAGAAATTAGTTTTAAAAAATGGGGGGGGGGGGGGGGGGGAGGTTAATTTAAAGAAATACATAAAAAATGACTCTTCAGACATGGCTTTTGATATTTCTTTAATTTCCACACAGAGCTGTGATGAAAACAATACCCTACACGCTCAAGACACATCTACATAGTGTGGTGAGAGCCTGTTTTATACAAGGTACCAGGACAACAGCTCATAAGTGTTCCCGTCTACTTGCTATGTGTATGGAGTAAGTATCTCATATACATGTATTTCTTAGCTTGACACAGATCTTGTTCATTGTTTAAAGTGTAATGCATCAAGCTACATGAACACATTTCTGTAATTAAACTAAACAATTACATACATGTATATTATGTAATTGCATTGATACATTATGTTAATAATTAAAACATCTGATTTCACCTGTATATTTACAGACAGTGTAAGAAAATGGCAGACCCGGATATGGCAAGTGGCTTCAGTTACAGTTTGCTCCATGCTCTTCTGTCCTCCTTCCCTCTGCTTCCGTCTGCACAGTACGCAGGAGCTGTACGCTGGTTCTTCACAATGCTGAACCGAGTTAAATGTATGGACATCACTCAAGTCTCACAATCCTGCTCCGACCTGCTGGTCCAAATTTCCAAACAGTACAATGAAAGGATGTCTTCAATCCATGCTCTCCTTAAGTCAAGGTGAGAATTAAAATACATGTATATGCTCATACTTTGAAATCACTAATTTTCGTGGGTGTTTTTCATTGTTTTCTAGGTATGAAGAAACCCACAAATTCTTGACCACCACGAAATTTAAAATGTCATATTACATAACTCAATAATTTTTCATCCATGAAATCAAATCTTCACAATCTGATAGCTTCTCCTCAAACCACGAAAATCTGACCCCATGAAAATGTGTGATTTTACGGTATTCTACAAGAACATATCTTGTGGTGTTCCTATTTGAATATACATAAACTTTACTTGTACATGTTTATCCAAATTTAAAAGCGATTCACTAAATTTATCAGAAAAACATGGACCAAAAAAGATTTGATAAAAGAAAAACTATGCACAAAGATGTATTCTTCTTCAGATTTGGATTGTATGGTCATCCATTTGACCCAGACTTGTTTGACATTGAGCTGCCCTTGGCTCTGAAGCAGACAGTCCCCTCTGTGTCTTTCTCAACCCTCAGCAGTAGTGGCAGTAACTCCACAACCTCAGGGAACACAAACAATAACCTCACAGCCCCCTCCTCCTCCTCCTCGGTCACTGACGAACTCGACTACTACGACCTCTTTAACCCTCCCTCAGACAAGTCCCAGAAGGTGCAGCTGGAGTATGCCAAAGGCAGTCTGTTTGGTCTGATGGAAGTCGAACCTCTACACTTCACATGCCATTCCACCAGTGATGGTACCAAGATGGAGCGTATGGATAACAATTCAACTTCACAGAGCACCTCCATAGGAACTGCAGGGTTGTCTGGGACAATAAACTTTGGAGAAGGCATACCACCACAGGCGACTGGAAATATCGGGGCCTCAACTCTGGCGTCATTGTCCTCTAGCATGGCTGTGACAAAGCAACACTTACATGAACTCAGTAGTAAATCCTACCCTACGTTTAAGCATAAGATTATGCATATTAAACAGATTCTGTCAGAGGTAGGGAAGAGTTTACCCCCAGAAGGAAAAGCTACCAGTAGTGACCTCTTGATGCCACCAACACCAAAATCCACACCAATGGTCATCACTCCACCACTGACCCCACCCAATGAAACCTTCTTACAGGTGAGACAGGTATTTGGTGGATTGTTTGTGATTTTACTTCCCCAGAGTTCATAGTGAATTTGTGTGCATATTTGATAGATTGAAAAAAAATTATGAAATCTTTGGAAAATATAATTTATAGGGAATGAGGTACTTGACATACTCAACAAGAACCTTTCAATATAGTTTGTGTAAATACATGAGATGTAAAATGTGGTCTTTTTTAGGGCCAAGGAACTGCCACTCCTGCTAATGACGGGAAGACAGACAACAATAAACATTTCTCGGCTAAGTCAGCTCTTGGAGGACTACCTAATGCCCAGACATTGTTACAGCAGCCCCCGCTACAAGTTCTAGTCATTGAAAGAATGCATTCAGGTTTGTCTGATTCACAGTACTTGTCCCTGAAAAGATTAAAAGGTGAACTGCCTGATTTCTGAAAATCTTCTAATATTTTATACTCACAAGTATTTTAAGTTCATAGTACTGTTTAAGATTTCAAAGTCATAATAACAATTGAAAACTCATGAAGATTGACTACATGTATATGTGTGAAGTTGATGGAATGATGTAATGACATATTGATGTAAATCTTTGACAGGTGCTCGTCGGTTTGTGACCCTTGATTTTGGGAAACCTATTGTTCTGACAGACGTGGTGATTCCAGCCTGCACTGATCTAGCCTCTTTGTCTATAGATGTCTGGGTACAGGGGGAGGAATTAGATGGGCAACGATTTGTGGTAGCCTCTGACATAGGAGTCAGATCACTTATAATGACCGACATCATGCCACCTGTTGTCTGCAGGTATCTGAAGGTAAGAAATGTTGAATGTTGATGAGGTTAACATTTTTGTCTTTTCTCAATAACCAACACATTTCAGCTCTCTCAAATGTTGATTTCTAAAATGAATTAAAAGTTCTAATCTACATGTACATGTATGTACATGTATCTTCAAATTTTTTCCCAATACATATAAAGTAAAATACATGCTACATGTATTTTGTGGTAATCAGTTAATGGTATTTTTATGTGTAGATAACCACAATTGGAAGATTCGGAAGTGGATCAACAAGATCGAAAATCCCCATTGGTGCTTTCTATGGACACAGCTGTCTTCTACCCTGGGAGTGGAACAGTTACTTGGAACAGAGGTCTTCATCAACCACAGGATCCCAGTCAGAACTGCCAACTCAGTCCCAGATGTTGGCTCAGTTAGGAATATACATGTCACTTCTAGAGGATATACAGTGTAGGTACAGTCTAGCTAGGACAAGGTTGGAATCTCTTCTGGCGGGACTGGACGGCCAACAGTTCGCCAACACCCACATTCAGTATTTCCTGAAGAAAAGCAAGAAACAAAATGAGGAAGACAACAAAATCATACAAAGTTACAATGACTGTCTTCAGTTACAAGTGCAGCTGAACTTGGCCAAGAAAGCCACGGAGAGACTACACACAGCTCTAGGGTTTAATGTTCCCAAAACTGACTATGGCGGTAGTGTTGTGGAGAGAATCCAGCACTCGTGCACAGACAAGTTGAGGTTCGTACAGGAATGTCTCCTTGAGGTCCTCCTTAGCATGACTACCTCCTCGGCCAGTATTCCTCAGCCCCCAATGTCTTTGTATAACCTCATGAGTCCCCAGGCAGCTGAGATGCTGTTTAAGAACCTCTGTGTACATGGCACTAAGAAGATCCAGATCAGCTGTGGGATGCTGTTGATGAGGGTATGTGGCAGCCAGCCCTGGTGGGGAAGCTTCCTTGGAAATGTTCTCAGAGAGTTCTTTCATTCTGAAAACTCGCAGATATTCCCGCAGGATAGGTAAGAAACTTGTGCTTATCTCTAGTAGACTTGTGCTCCAGTGCGATATTCTTAAAATTAAACACCAGTTTAAAGGAACTTGATTAATACTGAGTTTGGATTGTTGTAGGTTTTGAAAATGCTTGTAAACATTTATTTTAGAGTGTTTGTGCTGCTGTTGGCAATGGGTCAGAAATCCTTATCAGGACCTAGTGCTGTCTCAATCATGGAAAGTCTTCTAGACATGTTAGCCAGAGTGTTATCTCCCTTGGTAGCCGGACAAGCAGGTAGAAATAGTGTACACTAGGAGCAAAGTTTGAGTCTGAGAAATGTCATTTTGTGTAATTAGTTAAGATATCAGTACATGCTACGATGTCTTAGTCACACTGTGCTGTATTTTAGGGATGATTGACTTGACCCTTGTTGGTTGGATTCTCTTATTCCTGTGCAGAAGTTTAGACCACACTTCTCTCAATAATGATGATAGTTCTAAAGCAGCAAGAAGAGAGAATGGTAAAGTACCACCCACACTCATCACCCAACATTTTTGTCCTAATTTTATTTTATCTAATTATTTAGAGCACCACACTGCATTTTTGATTGGTTTTAGGAAATTCCCTACCAAACCGCTGGAACTTCATACAAGGAGACCACAACTCCGCTGGTTCACTGGCAGCCAGCAATGCCAAAGCCAAGTCCACCAAGCTTGTGCGGGGCTCCAGGCTATCGATGCAGAAGAGGATGCTGCACCACAAACAGAAGCTGATGGATCTACAGCAGGCTCAGAAAACTTTCTTCTCCACCCACCCAGATAAGGCGGCTCAGAACTCCAGTAATACCCTCCTAAAGCAACAGGAGAAAGAGTTCAAAAAAGAGTTGTCCAAATATGCTTCCAAGGTGAGATTTTATATCCTGTTGATCCCTTGCAGGTTTGATTTTGTATCCTCTTGATGCCTTTTAAGTTTAAAATTTTATATCCTATTGATGCCTCTGTGGTTAGAATTTATAACTTGTTTTTGCATCTTAGGGTGGATTTTTTTTATTCTGATGCATCCAAATATAGATTTAATATCCTGTTCAGTTTGAGGAAAATCACATATTATGTTAATATGTTGCTTTTAACCAAAAACAGTTGGTTTCCTCTGCATATAAGGATTTTGTAATTATTTAAGCTACTTTGCATTATCACTGCTCCCAAATGCTTACAATATAGCCATGCTTGACACAAGTTCATTGTACAGTATAATTGTTACAGCACATAAAAGATATCATACATATGAGACGAACTGAAGTGGAGATGCTGAGAAAAATGGGTCCCAAAGCCGAGAGTGTGTCAGAGTCCGAGAAGAGTAACGGAGAGGTGGATCAAGAGGGGGTGTTACTTCTGTCAAAAGAAAAGACCCTGAAGGTGGTGAGGGGTCTGATGTGTCTACTACTGAGTATGGACTTCACTTGTAATGTTGATCTCTTCCTCATTACATGCAAGGTAAAATGCATTAATGATGTGATTTTTGGGGGGGGGGGGAGGGGTCAACTTGATGTTATAATGGAATACATGTACCCCTTTGTTTTATCCTTTTATGTTGTTTCTTAGATCATAGTTGAATTAAAAATATTTACTTGTAAATACATTGTACACCATGTACACATGCATGTTTCTTTAAACTGCATTTAGGTCATGGTTCCTCAGATGTGTTATTGATTACAGCATTATCAGTTTTAATGTTTTCAGTAAGAAGCTTTGTGGTATGGATGGGAAGACCCATGAAAACAAATTTTACTTGTAAAACACCTTGGCTTAAGTTAATAAGATGCGATATATATATATTTCTCTTGGAGGACTTACTTAGTTTTGGAAATTTATTCAGACTTAACTATTTTTCTGACATTTTATGACACATTGTACATGTATATCTTTGAGTATGGCCAATCTAAATTTTCCATGACAGGTGATAGCCACAGTGTGTGTTAGTACAAGGCCTGCTATTACTCTGGCTGAGGCTATGACCCAGGAACAGCTGGAGCGACTTATTCTGTTGGCTTCTAACCTGGAGTTTAGTTACGGGAATGTCAGCTGGGGAGGCCCCTGGGCGGGGCATGCAATCACCTGTCTGCTTCAAGACATACTGGATGGTAAGCCAGTTAACAATAACATTATTAAATTTAACCAAGATAAAAGCAGAATTCCAGTAGGTACATGAATTGCATTCACTTCTGCCATTACAAAATATTTTAGCAGTCTCAACAAAGTTCTCGTTTTTAATAAGAAATGAAATTTTGTTACTTTCCATGCATAGGATGTGTGAAAATTATATCTCGTAAACAGGTACAGTGCCATTGTCTCACAAATTTTGAATGACAGCACATTGGTAATATTTTGATGCTAGCTTTCAATGATATCGGTTAAAATTATACTTTGTGTTTTTAGGTGAGAAGTTCTATCCTGCTCACATTGACTCGAGTGTGAGTGAGACTCGGGAGGAGGCAGCGGGAGGGTTCACCACAGAGACGGACGAGAGTCTCCCCCACAGTGTTAGCCTGCCCACTATGGAGGATTTGGACACAGACCAAGACAACAGTGTACCTGATACACCAGGTATAAACAATATCTTACTTCCATTACACTGTAAAGTGTGTCAGTAAACACCAGGATTTACACATTATTGGAAGCCTTCTGTGAAATTAATAAATATAGTAGTAAAAAAAAACAAACTCAGAAGCAGTATGAAATAATTCTATTTTGTATGTAGAAGAAAATTGGGTTTATTTTTATCCATGAACTAAATAGTGTTCTTTAGTTTTTTTTTTCATTTATACATAATTTTATTCACATGAAGTGAATGGGATTAGGTAGCAGGCATAGCCTTTTTAAGCCCTCTCCCTTTAGTTCTTAAGTTGTGATGAAAATGCCATGATCAATGCTGTCAAGGCTTCTAGGCAAATGAAATAACAATGTAATGCTTCTGTACACAGAGATGGAACTATCAGATAGTAAAGAGGAACCGTCCAAGATGACATTCGACAAGGAATCTTCTCTGATGGTGGATCTGCTTCTGGACGACATGGAATACGAGGACGATGCATCTGCCAAACTTCACGCGTACGTCACTGGAGAGTCTGTCGTACCTCCACCCCCACCCCCTCCTGAACAAATCCTCTTTGAATCTGGTCTGCCTACCTCCAGTTTGAATGGAACACTGGATGTGGCCAATTCAATGTGTGTATCTCAGTCAAACTGTGTCATGTTTTCAACAATCAAAGCTAAAGTGTGGGGGTATTTTTTCTTATCTGTCTGTAAACAAAGTTGGTTGAAGGGGCTGTGAGTTTGTCTAGTGCATTTCAAAGGTCAATTTCAAAATTGTTTATTTTCACATGAACACACTTTTATGCATCACAGATTTAAAGTATATTTCAGTACACAGATTCGGTATTCACTACACCATTAAAACAGACCCTTCTTGATTCGGAGGCCACTGACTCAAAGTCAAAGGTCAAGGTTATAGCTTAATACTGTGATGCCTTGTATGACTTAATTTTCCATTAAGGATAGCTGTAGTTGAAATTCAGTAAAATGTTTTAAAATTAATGACTTTAAAGTCCATTTATGTTTTAAAATATTTACAGCCACATAAGTTTCAAAATTTTGTGCTATACATGAATTTAACTACAAATTTTTAGAGTGAAAATATGGAAACATGACATAGGTCTTTGCTTTAGGTGTATTTAATTCTTTGATGTACATGTGATTCTTTTTAAACCTGAATATTATGATTTGCTTGCATATTTCTTTTCAAATATGCTATTTTTGACTCTGCTCATCAAAGCTTTAATCATGGTGTAACCAAGAACGGTCTAATGAAAATGAGGAATTTGTCAGTTTTCACACTGATTTTTTGTCTCTCATAGTCTAAAGATATACATGTATATACTTAAAACTCGATGTTGTTTTCCCACCTATAAACCTGTTTGATTTCTAACTACCTTAATATGTAACTTGTGTCGTTGTTTTTCACAGAATGAGTAAGAATAGTCAAACCTTATACATTCTTGTGTAAATTTTATATAGTAGGAGTAGTTAGATTATTTTTAAGACTAACAATCTTTATAACCTAAGAATGGCAGTGATGGAGACTTTGGGGTTTTTTTCAGACCTGAAACTGAAGATAAGAAAAAGGATGTGTTTATCAAGAAAATTGTGGACAAGATTACAGAACGGGATCGAGAAAGTTGGACTTCTGGGTCATCTTATCGCAGTAGTCTGGTGGCCGGAGCTCAGGGAATGTCCACTGCAATGGATGCTCGGCTCGAGTTTGGTTTGGAAACCCAGGCTGAACTCAGGTTAAAGGTATGCAAGGATTCCTGAGTTTGATTAGAGACAGTACAATTGTAATAAAGTAGAAGTTGTTGACAAGTCACAAAAATAAATATATCAGTGACATAATGTTGTAGTACATGTAAATGAATATGTTGTGTATTTTTTATATGATTTTGTGTAATTTATTTTCCTTGTAGGTAATGCTGTCTCTGCACACAGAGGGGGTCCAGCAGGCATTTAGTAACACCCTGCCACCGGCCCCTTATGTAGGTCACTCCATGTCTTCAGCCCCGCCTCCCACTGACGATGAACTGTCACAGGCTAGCGCTACATTTTCACAGTCAGAGGTATAATACATGTCTATATTAATAGCTGTTGATTTTCCTTATGTCATTTTAGGACTTTCAAAATAGATTTTAAAAAATAGTTCCACCAATAAGTGTTTGCTTTTATAGTTATAATTAATGTTTATTTTATATTTCAGGTATCATCAGCTGAGATGTTGAGTTCCTGCTACAACAACCTGTTGTGTCACCTCCTGCCTCAGTGTTCTAACCTAGACTCCCTCCTACAGCTGTGGTTAACACTGAACAGTGAGGGCAATACTGATGCCTCGGGGGGCCCTATTTTTGACTCCTCAAGGACTCCTCTAATTCTCCTCAGCTCGTCCTCGGTGTCCACACTTTTGGAGGTCCTCACAGCTATCCCCAGTCTGCCCATTAGTTCGTGGGTGTTGGCTTTTCAGAGCCTCACTCTGATAGCCAATCAGAGAATTCCTAGTCATGGCGAGGTGGGGGAAGTGTCCATTATTGTTCCTTTGTTGTCCGATGCTAACTTAATCAGTGTCATCAAGAAGTTTTTGTCGGGGACGTCAGATAATGGACCTACTGCATCCTCTGTTCAGTTCTCCACAGTGAGTGCATCTTGTATTCCAGTGCATTTATGTCCAAAAGAATGAAGCAATAATAATGGGAGATTTTTAAAATTGTTCATTTTTCTCTCCTTGTTATAGGTTGGTCCTGCTGCAACCAAAGCTTTCTATGAATTTTTATTACGACTGTTGGGAAAGTGTCCTCAAGATCATCTTCAGAAATTAAAAGAGCTGATGCTAAAATTAGTGTACACATTAAGTGCTGAAAGGTAATTTTTATTTCTTTTGTCACTTAACAATGTCAGTTCTGTCATGCTGTTTGGCAGATTAAAACACTAATTTTATCTTTCACAGGGGGGCTTTCCATTGTGGTCTCGGTCCACTAGATGCTCAGTGTAAATTCATGGATTTTATTTTGGATCAGACATATGAGAATGTGGACCTGAGTAATGCCATAAGTGTTATCGAGTCCATCAGCAGTTTAGTTCACCAACACATTCTGTGTCAAGAGAAAGTTTCTTGTAGAAGTACCTCTGAAAACTCTGTCAATGCCAGGTCATGTTTTGGGGGACTTTTTGCCAGTTTCCTACGCGGTGGGGACTCAAAGACCTCCGATGCCAGCAGGGATCTCCTAATGTGTAGTCTTCTAAAACTTGTAAACAATCTTATACAAATGCAGTGTAATTCTCCAAGGAATGTTCGTGTTTCCTCAGTTACAATGGACTCCTCAGCCACAGTGGAACCTATGACACCAACAAATATCAGCATGTCAGAACCCGTTCCCGATTCTGCCAAATTAGAGCAGGCCCTAGCAACCTCTACCCCAACTCCAGGAGTGAGGCTATCTGATGAGGAGAAGAGTCAACAGACAGATGAACAGAAGACAGAAACTCTCAACACCCAGGCCTATGTCACAGATTTAATACTGGGCCACCATCAAATTATGTGCAATCTGATACAGGCTCTGAGTTACTGCAACAGTAACACTATGGCCATGATTCTTGGAAGCAGAGGGATCTCCAGCAACATGCAGGAGACTTTTACTGGAGGTGAACCGATATCGGTTGGGGATGGGATCTACCAGATCCTGGTGACTTTAACCAGATTGTGCTCAGACAGCCGGTGTGTGATTGAGTCTCTATACAAGTACCTGTCTGGTTCATACAGCATCAGAACACAGCAGTCCCTGAACAAACTTTCAGAACCTCTCCTATGGTTCATACTCAAAGTTCTAGATAGTGCTAGATCAATAAATAGCTTCCTAGAAATGGGTAAGTACAAGAGACAAGTTCATGTACATTTGAACATTATATTGACTGGAAATAAATGTAATATAAATAGATTTCCAGTAGAATAGCAAAATCTTTTTTGTATATAGAGAGAAATTTTTTTTTTACTGAAGTGGAAATACTTAAAGAAATGTTATTTTTTCACAGTTTATTATAATTTATTGTTTAATTATTTTGTACTCTGATTACAGAAACTAATGTTTGTTTATATTCTTTCTCTTCTGTAGGTGGAATATCTGTAATCTGTCAAAATCTAGTCAACTGTAACTGTCGCATAATAAGCACAAACCCTAGTCTGATTTCTACCATAATGCAGAACCTCAATGGCCGATCTCGATTAGAGAAAAAGAACAGTGATTTTGAGTCCCCAGATGGTTTACAAAACTTTGCTCCTCTAGGTAACCAGTCACTGTTATTTTCATTTACAAATGTAAACAAAAAAAATTGATATTCTTTTTTGCTTTCATTTTCTGAATTTTTAAGAAATCAAATACTGTTGTATGATGCAAAGAATCAAAGAGACCTGATCAGGGGATTTCCCACTTAACTTTCTGTTCTATTTTTAGGATACATTTGCTCCAGTAGTCCCACTGCCAGTCCAGCTGAGGTCCTGATACAATCCTCACCTCCACACAGAAGAGCTCGCTCTGCAGCCTGGTCCTACCACTTCTATCCTGACGAGGCATGGGTGGATCTAACAATTCAGCTGCCTTTTGCTATTTTACTCAAGGAAGTCCAGATACAGCCCCATGGTACATCACTCACCAGTAAGTAATGTATAATTATTAATTGATAATTGATACTGTGGATACATATTTATAGATAAGCAGCCTTCAAGAGTATAAATAATTAAAATCACTGTTCAGATAGAAATATTTTCAAGAAAGCTGTGGTGCTCAGAGCTACCACTATCATTTTAAAAGAATCCTTTAATCCACCTGTTTACATGTTTATTATTGTAAGTTTATTATTGTAAGTACTATAGATGAGGATTTTATTGTAGAATCTGAATTTGTTACTCTCATATTTTAGCTTGCCCTTCGAGTGTATCGTTAGAACTGAGTCATGATGGAGTGACGTCCACACCCCTCTGTCACCCCCTTATGACCAGTAGTCTGGCCTTTATCAAGCTACAGTTCCAGCGGCCACAAATAGCCACCATGGTGACCATTAGGCTCCACAAGGCCAGGGACTCTATGACAATCGGGCTGTCACAGATCATGTTGATGGGGTACAGTGCATTTGGAGACTCCAGCTCAGCACCTCAGAATGTGTTCATGCCAAATGAGGATTATGTCGCCAGGTCAAGGTTTGTGTCAGTTAAGAGGATAATTTATTAGATTATAAGATGCATGTTGCTGTCTTTTCAATAATACGTAGTATGTGGAAAATCTATATTCCAAAGTCCATATTTGTGTACAAATACTATAGAATATCTTTTTTTAAATCTGTATTTGAAAAATATTTTGAACAGTCTACAAAAAATGGCTTCTTGATTGTCAAAATTTCAAATAACCAGTAGATGGGGAAAAGTAGAGATTTGGTTATGTATGTGTACTGTAGATTCCTAAATATACGCGAGGAATAAATTATCGCGTAATTACGCGAGAAGCACCACTCGTGAAATAAAATTACTCGCTTTTATTTTTATGGGGCTTTAATGTATGTAAAATCTCTAGATAAATCACCCATTCGCGAATTATTTTTCTCGCGATTTGACGCCCTTTAGCCATTTCGCGATATTAAGTACTCGCGTAAAATAAAGAATCTACAGTATGCACAGGGGCTTGTCACGTCTTTCTATTTGACCACCTACACAAGGGGTGTAGAGGTGGTCAAATAGAAAGAAGACAAATTGTTCATATGTATGAATTATTGCAGTGTTCGCTGGATCCGTTTGTTACATCACTGCCTAACAGCATACAAGGAGGTAGAGGAAGCTGTAGCTAATAGTGCAGCTCAGATCCCCAATCTAATGAACACCTGCTCTGCCTTGCTAGTCTCACCCATCTCCAGTGTATATGTACCTAACATAGAGGAGGTCCTGCTGTGTTTGGGACTCCACTCTGTAGACATGGGACTTGCTCTGGTCGACAACATACTCAGAAGTCCTAGTAATAGGGCTAATTCAGGTAAGAGGTCTCCATTGTCAACAGTGAATTAAACAATACCCAGGCAAGAAGACTGAACTTTTTTGCTAAGGTCATAAAAGTAATATAGTGTACATTGATAATTCATGAATTAATTGTTGTGAAAGGTTTTGGTTTGCCATACCTTGGAAAAGTTAGTGGCCAAGCCAATGAATCCACTGTGGAATTGCTGTACCAGCTAGGAATGGTCCAAGACCATGGAACAAGATTAAGGTGTGTGTTTTTCAAATGTACACCCTGGATAATATGAGAAAGAAAAAAATGAAAACAAAAAAAAGAAGAAAGAAAGTGCATTTCTTAATCAAATAAGCAATGATATTTTGTGTACACAGAGTTCAAGCTTTGTTGAGCTGGCTGAAGGACAGTGCCAGACTTGCTCTTCAGCGATCATCTCTCTCCACTTCTGAAGGCTACAGGAGGGTTCAACAGGAGTTATCTTCCCTTCCTAGCCCCGCCCCCTCCCACATACAGGTTGTGTCAGCCGTCTTATGGCAGAGCAATGATTTACCTGTGGAATACGATCTTGGGGGTCTTGTTACCAGGGAACTAGTCAGGTACAGTAACGTTTGTGATTCTTCTCCAAATTTGCCAGTGTGATAAATGTGGAGGAAATACCAGTCAGAATTAGATGTAGGCATATAATCATGAACAATATTAAACAGTCATTAAAAATATCACTTGAATCCAAAAATAGGCTCCACATGAGTTGTTGATACATTAATACTGTATATTTCTACAGCATTTCTATATTGTAAAATCTGGATGTTATGTATTCTTGCTGATTATGATGTTAACTTTTAGTCCCTTTTCAGCAAATTTATTTGTTTAAATAGTATCTAATCTGGATTTTGTTTAATCCAGCTAATTTCTACAGCACCAGTGGTGTCCAGATTAAACAAATTTTACTGTAATTTGTAAACGCTTTGTTAAGCTCCTTCTAGCCTCTGATTTTCTTCTCTCCAGTTAAAGCATAAATCCAAATACAGTATAGCCATGAGAAATTTCATGTAATTTGGGAAATTCTAATAGCTGTAAATATTTCATTTTTAGTTTCCTTTATGAATGGTCCACAACACTGAAAACTGACAACAACTTGAAGCAGTCTGTAGATTATGTACTTTGTGCTATTTGTCACATCAACCCTGAGTACTTCTCCCAGATTCTGTTGTGGATGGGTATCACCGTAACAGGAGAAAACAGTCTGTCTGCCTCCATCAGTGATGACCGCAAAGACAACTCCCATCTCCACCAGGGCTCCATGACGGATGATTCCAAAGACAATCGCCATCACAGGTCCATGACTGATGACTCTAAGGAGGCCAGCAGTGCCCAGGAGGGCCCGCGCTCACAGACTCAGACCGAGTTTGTTCAGGATTTCCACCACATTACCCTAGAGGAGTCTTGTCTATCGACTCTGGCCCTGACTTGTCAGTCTGCAGTGGCCATTAAACAGTTACTAGACTCCGGATTCCCTGCTGTACTGGCTCAGGGCTTGTTTGAATTCTGTAACAAGGTGATATTTCAGTTCACTGAGAATTATTCCCCTCCGGAAGGAATGACTGATACTCATAAATCCATGTGTGATGACGGTGGTGCCTCAGGATCGGTGTTGGGTTCCATGTCCAGAACTGTGTCAGGTAATTCATAGAATCTAGTAGAGGGTGTCTTTGAGTATTTAACTTTCAGGGTACTTCCATTATAGTAAGGATCTTTCTTTTTAACATGGTCAGCTGCAATGTGAAAAGTAATTCCCATTAAGAATGCTAAAATAGTAAAGAGAAAAAGTGTAACAGTATATATATTTCTTTCACTTTCAACAGAGTCATTGAAATGTTGTACCCAATTATTTCAGACAAAGCTTTATGGATAACAGCAGACATGGTGCCCTCTGTTCTGTATTTCCTGGCCAAGGTTTCCACAGAGCCCCTGATGAAGGATTGGTTGGGGGGACACGAGGGGAACATATTTTGGCCCTCCCTACTGACCATGCTGTGTAATACTCCCATACAGTCCGCCACAGCTCCGGCCAGCATTCCCAGAGAAGGGGTCAGTGTTACTGATTATATATTTAAACTGTAATGCAACTTTACTGAAACAAAAAGTGAAATACATGTACTGTAAAATGTCCTCAAATGGCAAAAAATGTAGATTTGGGGGGAGGGGGGTTACATAGAAGAGTCATGCAGTTTTTCATTTGATAAATGTACATGTAGAGTTATCAAACCAAATGTTTCCCATCGCTGATGATTTGATTTTTGTGTCTTGTATTTAGATAATGACAATGGAGAACCGAGGAAGTATCGAGTCTGCTGCTGTCTGTTTTTTCACACAAGTCATGTCCTGCCACATTATTAACCAACTGTTATTTGCCAAAGTCTTATCTGAAGTTATCAAAGAGCAGAGTTCCTCCTCAAAATCAGGTAAATTAACACTAAAGATCATGATTTAGCAAACTGTGTGGATAGATAAATTACAGCATACTGTTTTGTGAATGGCACACCATGTACATCTTTGTAATGACTATTTAAATTAATATCATGCATAGTTAAGTCTATACATGTATATATATTTTTTTCTTACCAGGTCAGCTATTGGGGAATTTCCCCCTCTCCGGTTTCACCAGGTGTTTGTTCCTTCAGGCCTTGTTGGAAGATGAAAAAGTTCTTGTAGTGCTCAAGTCTTCCCAACAGAGTGGGAAAATCATGATGCAGAGCAAATTAAACAACGGCGTGCATCACCCTCACTTCACAGGGGGACGGAACACCCAGGTGCTGTTGGTTAGCCTACACACAACCATCAGTGAGATAACAAGCAAAGTCACTGGTGAGATCACTATCCTTGGCATTTTATTGTACAATATTTCATAAAGATATATTTCTCTCTGTATTGGAAAGTTGATGTACATGGACAGGTATGTTGGTCAATTGAATTTAAAGTATTTTACTTGCTGAACAATTTCAGACCTTCCCCTTCTACCGGGCCAGTTTCTGGAGAAAGCATCTGAAAAGAGTGACGAATCCAAAAAAGACAACTTAAGCAATTATACAGAGATGGCCAGCTATCTTTCCAGTTCTGTGGGTATGTAAATGTAGTGCATGCATATCAAATCATTCATGTTAAGCATGGCCACTGAAAGATATTTCATATAGGACTGTTTCTTGAAGTCAAGTTTTATAGGATGTAGCTTTACAGTTGTGAGACCAAACTGCACAGATTTGACCTTTTGATATTATTATTTAGTAGCAGCTAGTATGGCAGCTAAAGAGAAAAGAGAGAAAGAGGATAAGTCTGGGAAGACATCTCTACCCCCAAGACCACCAACTCGCCGAGGGAGGCAAAACCTGGGAAATTCCAACTCACAGATGCCACTTCCTACATTAGGCATCTGCCACAAATCCATGCCAAGTAAGTAGATATTGGCATTTACATGTAAGTAATGGTATAGTCTACTGCTGTATTTTTTTGTAAAATTTTAGTTACTTTACATGAAAAGAGCGCATGTACATTTACTACAAAATAATGATGATTTTGATTACAGTGTATCTGAAGGCTTATTTGTTAATGATAGATACCATGTGGATAATTTCATGATTAAAATGTTAGGAAAAAAGCTTTTAATATGTAAGACTGGTTGTTGACCATTGTACTGTAAAGAACATAATTTTGTTATCATTGTCATGGCATTTCTTTTACAGACACCTCCTTACCAGGGGAGTTAACTCTGTCCCAGCTGTTGCAGATTCTACACCAGCGAGGACTGCAGCACGGACTCAATGTACTGGAGTTTTCTATCAAACAAGATGAGAAAAAGGACGGCAATCAGCCAGATCAAAGCAAGTATTGGTCAAAATCCAGAAGTATGCTTGGGGCTCATCACTAACTGGATCAGTATTAATCCAGTCTCTGGAGCAAATTTCTTTCAGTAGGAAAGAGCATATGAAAAATACTACTAGCATAAATTTATAATCTCAAGATTAACTTTAGAAGGGAAAGGTAAGTTGATAGTGATATCCTCATAAATTTTATTCACAATTTCTTAGCATAAATTTATGAATTACAAGCTTAATTAAAGAACTATAGAATTTAAGTAGGAACACAGATATCCTCATACATTTTGCTCACAATGTCTGTGATTTCCAGGTGAACGAGATGGCTGGAGTGACCTGGATGAGGACCAGGCTCTGACTACCGTGTCCCCCTTCCCTACCTCCCTACAGGTGTTTGCCAGTGTGGGGGGTCTGGCTCTCTTAGCAGAACACCTGCCTTTGCTGTACCCCGAGGTTTCTAGACAGTCAATCATGCAGGAGTCAGGTCTAGATAACATGATTAAGAACATGTCTATAGCTGAAGAGTGGTCCATGATTGAACCTTTCCCAGAGGACTTTTATGAGGTGGGTGATCAGTTGAAGAATAAGTAGAGTTTTGATGTGATAAAGGTTTAAATAAAATTATTGAAAATTTATTTCTACTTGATACATGTATATGGAAAAACGTCATGTCTATTCAACTATAAATTGCATTATTTTAGCATTATGAACTCTCTCAGCCACTGGTAGCCAAAACAAGCAACCCTCCTGTTGCCTTGCCAACCATTCCTCCTCATTCATTGGTTGCTTTTGGTTTGTTTCTTCGACTTCCTGGATATGCTGAGGTCCTCCTGAAGGAGAGAAAGAAGGCCCAGTGTCTCCTGAGGCTGGTTTTAGGAGTCACAGATGATGGGGATGGAGGTAAGTACAAATGGCAGATAAGATTGTTGATAAGAAACTCTTGAGCTGCTTCTTTAAGGTACATGTATAATGACCCTCTATTCACTAAAATGTAGTAATTATTTAATGACAATTTTCAAAACAAAAGATGGAGATAAGAATGAATTCAAGGAAATTAGGTATACCATGCAGGGCAAAATATGAGATGAGTGATTGCTAAAGATGAAAGTTTTTTTTAAAAGAAACTGTGATCTATCAATTTTAATAGAGTTATCTTTCTTAACATAGAGTTATTCCCCCCTGACAATCATGCAATAATATTGAATTTTTTTTTAATGATCCACAGAAACAAGTGTATGCATTGAAAAGTTTTGTTTAAAGCTGAATAGAATATTTATTTGGTCATAATTTGCCATCTACATTGGAAATTTTATTTTATTTTTCAGGTCACATTCTGACATCCCCCATTGCCTGCTCCCTACCCACGCTGCCATTCCTTGTCCTGAAATCCCTTTACGACAGCTCACCCCTGACCACAGATGATGGGGTGTTACTGAGGAGGATGTCTCTAGATATCTGGGCCATACACCTGATCCTAGCTTGTCTGTCTGTTCTCAGTCACCATGCCCCCAGGGTACCAGTCCAAGGCTTTCAACAAGAGGTTAGTGAGAGTGGGGTCAAAGTTTAAAAATCATGTGATTTAGTGTACATCACTAACCCTTAATTTGTATTCATTGTTATAAGGTAATTAAGTATATTTGATGATTTGCAGTTTAAGGTGAAGTGGGAGTAAATATCACAATTTGAAAAAAAAAACTTTCCTTTCTTTGTTTGTTAAAGGTTTATTTAAAATAACTCTATTTCTGAGGCACATGCATTCTGTTCTGTGTATTTTCAAGAAGTGAATAAAGGAAAATGTACCATGTAGTGGGAATCTCCAAAACAAAATCTTTCATCTTTTCCAATGCCAAATAAAATTCACTTCTTCTATTTTCATAATCTAAAATTTGAATGACAGAAAGAGTTGAATACATGTAGGTAAATACAGCACATTAGTTAATTTCTCATTCAATGTGGTGTAATTCCAGGCTCGGTTGATTCTGTCTGCAATGCAGTCAGCTAACACCCCAGCCAGTGTCCCTGTCCAGACCCAAACTGAGGAGAAATCTCAGCAGTACTGGGCCAAGGGGACAGGGTTCGGGACAGGGTCGACGACGTCCAGTTGGGATGCAGAACAGGCGCTGATGAGACAGAAAAGTGAGGAAGAACACGTAGCTTGTCTGTTACAGGTGAGTGTTCCAAGACAACTGCTGGATTTCTCAGCACAAAAATACTTAGCGTAGTCATAGTCCATTAACTGTTTGGTTCAATCTTAAATTAGAAAAATTGAGGTCATATATACATGTACCTATATATTTACATGCATTTACAGTAATTTTAGCTAAGATTATGACTAATAGAACACAAATAGCAACAAAATGTGATTACCCTTAGAAAAGTTACCAAATAGAACTTTTAACCCTAACACAATGAATGTGTTCAGGAACTGTATTTCTCTTCAAAGATTACATGTATATTGCATCTTAATGTGCTTCAACAGAAGTTGATTTTGTCATGTGTTGATGATATGAACAGGTGTTGTCAGAGATTTTTTAATTATTTGTAGTATGATATTGTAAATCATCATTGCAGGTTCTTGCCAGCTATATAAACCCAGGGGGTGATATTCCCAAAGAGTTTGAGTCCGAAAACTTCACCTCCCCCGCAGAAAAGTCTCTTCTCCCAGACGTGATATATGAACTGTTAAGTCAGTCTTGTATTGTTCCTGCCATATCTTCCTATCTCAGAAACGACTCAGTGCTAGACATGGCTCGTCACATTCCTTTGTACCGGGCGTTGCTGGAGCTACTGAGGGGGATAGCTGTTACCCCCTCCTTAGTACCCCTCCTGCTTCCACTGGAGAAGGACAATGGGCCCGATACGGCCACCTCTGTTGGGGTGCTGCTAGACAAGATGAGAGTGTGTGTGGATACATATGCCAGCAGATTAAAGTAAATATGTATTTATTTATACATTGCCTGTTTTATTTTTAAAGTTTATGAAACTTTGTATGGGATAAACGTAGAAGAAAATATTTGAAAAAGTACATCTCTAAGGAGTTTTGTAGCTGTGACCTTCTTTCATAATCCTCAAAGACAAACACATACATGTACGTTAGCTGAAATCTTGATCTTTTTTTTAGATCTAACAAGGCTAAAAATGAAAATGGCAGTGTAACAGAGGAGGAGGAGAATGAAGGGTTGGCCATGCTGATCCCCAACATCCAGGAGACGGCCAGAATTGTCAAGATTGCCACAGAACAACTCCAAAAATCCACTGGTATTCAGTCAAGTTAATCCTTTTAGAGACTTTTTTCCCCCAAAATATAGTATCAGATTACTACATGTAAGTAAGAAGTAAATGAAATTTCCTCCATTGTTTTTTTTATAATTACAAGATGTGTGTGTTTGTCATTTTGTCAGAAATGGAGGGTGCCAGCGAAGAAGCAGGCAAAGACAAATCGGGTCAGACTGGCCAGGCCAGTGCGGAGGAGCATTACATGACCATCATGCAGGAGGAACAGTTTGGTGAGTGGACAATTAAGGGGGAAAAAAATAAAATTTGGTTTCTTTTGCACCACTGTATTAGGCTGAACACTAATGCATTGACCAATATTATCGACAGAATTTGGTAAATAAATGTAGTTGTTTCTCTTTTCATTGTAAACTTTGATGGCAAGAAAAGAAAGGAAACCTCTGTACTGGAAATAAAAAAAACTGCCTTCTACTTTATATTTCAGAATTCTTAACCCGAGAAACTTGATTTCTTTTGCCTTATTTTCCATTATACATGACTGTATATCTACATGTATATACTTATTTATCAATTACAAAGACTTTACTTCATTTCTAGGATCTTTTGAGTTTGTGTTAGATGATTCAAGTGCTGTCAAATTCACCTGTTCTCATCACTATGAAAATAATGTGAAGGCTGCTGGTGAAGTAAGCAATGCTTCTCGGACACGTCGCCTAGCTCAGGAAGCTACGACCCTATCTACCTCACTTCCCCTGTCCGCCGGCAGCAGTGTGTTTGTCAGGTGTGACGAAGAAAGGCTGGATATCATGAAGGTATTTATCAGTATGTTTATAAAACAACAGAGAAGTTGGGAATATTTAGGCCCCCAAAAATTTAGTTTTTCGGGGACTGGTGCATTTAGGTGAATGCTACTGCATTGATCAATTTTATATGGTACACTGAAATGGAGAGTAACTTGATTTTTTATTTGAAGCTGGAAAAGAAAATTAAGTTATTTCTTTGTCATTTAAAAAATCAAAGTACTTAGGAGTACAGAGAGCCGGGCTTATTAGTCCCCTACCGGTGAAACCGGAGGGGACTATAGGTTTCCTCTGAGTCTATCCGTCCGTCTGTCTGTCTGTCCGTCCGTCTAGCTGTCTGTCCCTCTGTCAGTCTGTCCCACTTGGTTTTCCGCACTTTTTCCCTAAACGCTTGCAGATATTGAGCTGATTTTTGGTATGTGAGTGTATCTTGATGAGTTACAGATCAAGTTTGCATTTCGTTCCGCTTCATTGATTTTTGACGGAATTACGACCTTTTCAATTTTTACGGGTTTTCCGCAATTTTCTTCTAAACGCTTGTAGATATTGAGCTGATTTTTGGTGTGTAGCTTTACCTTGATTAGTTATAGATCAAGTTTGCATTTCGTCCTGCTTCATTAATTTTTGACGGAATTATGGCATTTTCAATTTTTAACGGGAACGGAACCAGATTACACTTGCCGGTAGGGGACTATTATTGCTAATGCAATACTCTCAGAATGCTTGTTTACAAAGCTGTTTTTTTTTTTACATGAGCCATACCTGTACATTGTATTAACAGCTAAATAATGAGCTCTGCAGACATTGGAAGAATATGTACAAACAATTATAAAAATAATAATAACTAGAACCTTGTTGCCATGGCAACAAGAAGGTCTTCCGTCCCTTCTTTGTCATAAGAGAAGTTGCTTTCTCACTAAACAATATTTGTTATGTTTTACATTCCCTTTGACACCTTCACACATAAAATATGATTAAACGTTTATATTGTGAAAATTTATTTTTAGTAACCATATAGCAAAACCGTTCATTGAAATCAAGAACCGATAAGCAGAATTATGTCTCTTTGTGTAGTGTACATATTTGCCAAGTTTTACTGAAATCAGACCAAAACTGTAGGAGGAGTAGCGTTTGAAAGTATTTCACAGAAATTTCTATTTTTAGTAACCATGGCAACATCGTTCATGAAAATCGAAAACCGATAAATAGAATTATGTTTCTTAGTGTAGTCTACTTGTGTGCCAAGTTATACCAAAATCAGAGTAAAACTGTAGGAGTAGTGTTTCGGAAGTATATCACAGAAATTTCTATTTTTCGTCACCATGACGACACCGTTCATCGAAATCAAAAACCGTTAGACAGAATTATGTATCTTAATGTAGTCTACTTTGTGCCAAGTTATATTTAAATCAGACGAAAACTGTAGGAGGAGTAGCATTTTGAAAAATCGTTTAGAGACAGACAGACGGACGACTGACACCTTATTATCGCATATGCTCTTCTGTCTCTCCGAGTCAGCACCACTCACACATAAGAAACTGATTGACAATTCACTGATGTATTTCGTGAAAGCATATTTTTTTCACATAATGTTCGAGTAGTTTTATTTTGTAAATACACTGTTTATCATTAATTGACAATACCTTTTATGCTTAGCCGCTTTGAGCTCTTAATTATGATGGATCTTGCTCTAAACTAAATGTCATTAAGTTCTTTTTCTCATTTGAAATTGCTTTATGTAATTCTATTAATAATCATCATGAGAAAATAATAAATTCTACAAAAAACAAGTTGGCAAGTCTTCAATTTGTGATACAATTGCATATGTACCTAGCTACATATACATGTGTACCTCATTTATATATATCACAACTGCATATACATGTATGCATTAGTGCAAATGTCAACTGCAAACACTTTATGAAGGACTAAAAAGACACGCCGTTAATGTGACGTCAAACACCGCTGCTCTGATGTCGAAGGACATAGCCCCCCGCCCCCCATTTAAGAAAAAAATTATATTTTGGGCCCCCGAAAAGTGAGTAAACACTCGGACATCCTGGGGATTGAATCCTGGTCGCCTGCGTGAAAATTCAACGCACTTACCATTACGCTATCGAAGACCATCGCTTAAAATTGAAAAATGATAAATATTTAGAGTCTGGGTTAATCAATTTTTTAATAAATTACATAATTAGCATTCTGGTAAGACCCTCTGTTAAACCTGTAAATATCATAGAAAAATAATGAAAAACAAAAAAGTTCAAAAAATTGCCTTTTTTAAATCACTTCCTGTGACGACCGGAAGTGGCGACGACACACGAAATGTTTCGATCACACATCTAGAAACGACATTCTATCATACCTGAAAGTTTCAGACTCCTACCTTTAACAGTTTCTGAGAACATTCACGGACTAGATTTTTAGTGTAAAAAGTGAAAAATCGTAATAATTCCTGACCGGAAGTAATTTTTTCCAAACTTTTTCAATATTTCAAAATGGCATGAGATAATACATCATTCCTGAAAATTTGGCTGAAAATGATTGAGTAGTTTTTGAGATATCGCGATTTGAAAAGGTCAGAAAAATAAAAATGAAAAATAATAATAATAATAATAATAATAAGAAACAGTAGAATCACTATAAGGTCTTCCGTGAAGACGGAAGACCTTAATAAAAATAAGGGTTCAATGACATCTTTACTTATTTGAAAAAATTGTTAAAAATCTTATGTAAAATTGATTTTAAAATATCAAAATAAATGATAAACCAATTAGTTTTTGGGACCTAAAACCACACTCCGAATTTATCAGGGTCAGAGTCATATGTATCTGGTTCCCTCTCCTGCTTTTCTCCATCTTTGTAGAGAACTAGGCTACGACAACATTGACTATTAAAAAACATTACGCAGATGAACTATGGTGTTTGACTTTGGACTGAAGTTTTCAAAGTCATTACTACTGATGTTTATTTGTATAGATAAAACTTCGTTTCATTTTTGTTGCTTTATTTAGCATTTGTATTATCTTAAAAGTGGTTGAGAGTAAGTACTATATTTTTACACGTAACTTTAATTTGGCGACTATGGGGTCAACACTTCCTGCATTGAACAGGCTGACAATAGCCGGCAATTGCTCTTTGAGCAATAAGCCCGGCTAAAAATGGCAATGAATAGAAAAATTCTCCTTGCCACATTTTATTTCGTAATTTTTCGCCTAAAAAACTAAAGGTCTTTTTTCTTTTGGTTTTTGGGAATTTGCTTTATACAATATCTGCAATTAAAGAGATATTTAACATGTATTCAAAGATGGCATTTGATTATTTAAGGTGATGATAACAGGGCCCTCTGACACTCCATATGAAAATGGCTGCTTTGAGTTTGATGTTTATTTCCCTCCAGACTATCCCACATCTCCACCTCTAATTAATCTGGAGACCACAGGGAACCATACGATAAGATTCAACCCAAATCTCTATAATGATGGAAAGGTCAGTCTCATTCAAGTTGTGTGCTAAGAAAGTTAAAGAGATTATTGGTCATACATGTATGAAAATGTAGCCCACATGCATTTAACATCAAAAGAGTATTTGCCAAAATGTAAATGAAATTCACACTATGAAATTCACACTTCACATTAATTTCGATATGAGAAATTCATGTTATGTGAAATTTATTTGCCACATTTGGCTACATATAAATATTCATTTTGCTTTGTTTTTTTTATATATCAAAATCTTGGCGATGACATTTTTCAATATATTTTTCAATATGCATGTATTTTTTACCTGTATATTGGAATATGTGTTTTGTAGGTGTGCTTAAGTGTGCTAAACACATGGCATGGTAGACCAGAAGAAAAATGGAATGCTCAAACTTCAAGTTTTCTACAGGTATATACAATGAACATTAAGAATGTTAAATTGAGTGTAGACATATCAAATGAGCAGAACACTAATTCATTTGTAATACATGTTGATGTTCTAGAGTTCACCTTTATTATCTATTTTACATTTACAGGTGTTGGTGTCTATACAGTCCTTGATTCTAGTGTCAGAACCTTACTTTAATGAGCCAGGATACGAACGATCAAGAGGTACCCCATCCGGTACAGCAAGTTCCCGAGAGTATGACGCCAACATCCGACAAGCCACTGTTAAGTGGGCCATGTTAGAACAAATCAAGAACCCCACTCCCTGCTTTAGAGAGGTCATTCACAAACACTTCTGGCTGAAGAGACACGAAGTGTTAAAGCAATGTGAAAACTGGATAGCAGAAATGGAGTCTTACAGCAACGATAAAAGGACAGGAAGGACGATAGCTCACAGTACACTAGCACTTAAAGTGAGAACTTCATTTTTATAAGACAGTTTAAGTACTGTAGCAGTTAAAAAGAGAACTTCATATTTTTGGAGTAAATGTTTTCCATAACTCTTGCATTGAATACTGTGCTTTCATTTTTCTTTAAGCACCAATTTTTGTTGTTTTCGTGGTCTCCATGAATTTACACATGGATTGAAAAAAAGAAATTTAATTCCCACAAAAATTAAAACCATTTTAATTTAGACATGGACATCAAAATTAGCCAAATTTTCATATTTATTACTCAAAAACATTTATTGTTCCTAAATTTCTTATGCATTTAATGAGTCGTTGATTTCATTTTTATGGGCATTGGTAATGAAATCCATTAATAAAATTTTTGTTTTATTTTTTTAATCACAGCGACACTATAACCAATTACGAGAAGAGATTGCCAAAATGAAGCCACCAGAGGGGTTAGAGGACGAAGAGGGGGGAGAGACCATCGATCCCCAGGGGGTTCATTTCTCTACAGACTCTGCCTTGTCGTCGGCAATGAACAACTCGCAAATGGGTGCGATAGAAAACTTAATCACAGACTCTAATTCCAATTCTGTCTTAGAGGATGGATTTTGCTAGCATACATGTATGAAATATGATATCGATATAATGAATTCCAGTTTATAAAGTGACAGCATGGATTTTCACCACTGTGACTATGATTTGGATGGAGGCTGTGTAATATGGAACAGCTAGTCATAATACAGATTATCTAGACAGTGCTAGCGGCTCTCCTAGGAGCTGTTTGTTCTTGTGATATGCTGAAATTGTGATATTTGTGACAGAATAAGTCTTGTTATAGTTTTTTTTTGTGTGTGTGTAAATTGTAAGGAACTTGATGCAGTGAGTGCTTGTATGTATTGTGAAAGGAATTTCTTGGAATCTGGAGCACAGTACTTCAGAGCATATTCACATGGGGAGAGAATTTTGAATTTTTTACCCAATTATTGCATTAAAAAGTTCCGCTATTCCTTTTAGCTTTTAAGAATCTTCAAATGATATGAAAACCCTGGGGTTTATATGCATTGCTATTTTAATTTAATGTACATGTATGAAGATTGTGACGTATGTGTTACAGAAAAATACATAAGATAAGCTATGGTATTTAATATTTGTTGATGTTAATATATGATAATATTAATATTGGCAGCATCAGATTGTTACTTTATTCCAGTTTTCATGATGTCAATTTATTTATTTCCCTGTGTGTATAAACCAAATGGTCTAACTGTTTATACTTGTACATGATACTACACTATAAGTCATGGAAACATATTGAAGAGAACTTATAGAAAAGAAATCCGTACATGTATATGGATGAAAAAATATAAAGACGATGCTTTATCTCGGTATGGGACAAAGTTACTGGCTGCATTAGTTGAATGCGGAATAGTGTGCTCCCCATTGCAGAATTGACTCTTTGACATATTGTAGCTGTTAATGGCTTTCTCTAATGAATTATTCTATAAATATATGTCCAATTTTTGGAAATTCTATTCTTAATTGTTCTGTCAATTGCAGGTGTTCACAAAAATCATCAAATTTGAATAAATAAAAGATACTTTATATTTTCTTGTTGTCTTGGGAAAGTCAGCCTGATCAGGATTCTTTTTGGATTAGTTTCAAATTGCATCTATAGGGATGTGAAAAAAACAAGATGCTACTCGCATGTCATTGTTTGTCTATAAATATACTCTTCTTTGTACCTGATTAACTAACAAAGAAGCCAAATAGTTATTCCATAATATATATAAATATTGTAAGGCCCTTTATTGGTTTCCAGGTTGAAAATATCAATTCCGAAACCTTTGCTCAATTACAGGACACAAAGATGAGGTTACCTGAGTTTACTCTGGAACCACTGAACCAATTTCAACCAAATTTGGCATATAGCATCTATTGGTGAAGGGGAGTAAAAATTGTGAAAATAATGACCCCTACCCCCCCCCCCCCCCCGGGGCCTGTGGGGTGGGGCTAAATCCATCAAAATTAATACAATCTTTAAAAATCTTCTTCTTTACTCCTGGATATTAAGCAGGCAAACTGTTGGCATGATTGTAATAAGCATTGAGGGCTCTACCTAAATTCTGAAATTTATGTTCAGGGGTTCTGGTGTTAGGGCGGAGCTCTGTTGAATATATAGTGAAAATGCATTATTTCTTTAAAAATCTTCTTCCCTGATACAGGGCAAACTAACTGAATGCATAGTTATGATGAGTAAGGATGCCTCTTCCTATATTGTGAATTTCATGGCCCCTTGGTCAGGGGTTCTGGTGTTAGGACAGGGCTTTAATGATTACATAGTAAAAATGCAATAATTCTTTGACAATCTTCTTTTCTCCTGGGTATTAAACCGATGAACTAAGAGTATAATAATGACGAGTAAGGATGCCTCTTCCAAAATTGTGAAATTCATGACCCCAGGGTCAGGGGTTCTGGTGTTAGGGCGGGGCTCTGTTGAATACATGTATATAGTGAAAATGCATTATTTCTTTAAAAATCTTCTTTGATCCAGGGTATTTAGCAAACAAACTGAATGCACAGTAATGATGAGTAAGGGCGCCTCTTCCAAAATTTTGAATTTCATGGCCCCTTGGTCAGGGTTCTGGTATTGGGGCAGGGCTCTAATGATTACATAGTGAAAATGCATTAATTTTTTGATAATCCTCTGCTCTGCTTCTGGGTATTAAGTAAGCAAACTAAATGTAAAGTTATGATGAGCAAGTGTGCCTCTTTCGAAATTGTGAATATCATGGCCTCTGGTTAAAAACGTGATCCCAATTTAAGTGTGGCAAAGTTGTTATATGATACTCAGGTGACCTATAAGGCCCGAGGGCCTCTTCTATAATGTTTAATTAGTTCGTCTGCATTGAATCGCCTATACCTAGCCTTAACTCACTTAAGTACCTTTGGATTGATACATTCCTGTACCCCAAGGTGCATTAACTTTCTATATTTGGTGAGCCTACATGTATATGTCATAGTTCAAAATATATACAGTAAAAGATTTCAAAATGTTAAGCCACAACATTCAGACGTTTCAGTAGGTCACTGAAGCCTACTTCAAGGTCCACATATCGCAATGCCACAAAATGCATCAACTGACAATGTTTGATGATCCTAGATATCTTCATATCCAAAATGTTTAGTTAAAAAGTTCTGAAAATGAATCATGATATAATTTAAAACGTATGTCATATTGACCTTTTTTTCTTTGACACACCTCGAAATCTTAAGTTGCATCAATTGACAAAATCTGAACCTAGGTTTCATAGTATCCAAATAATATATATAAAATACTGAAAATTAAAAGCTGTAAAAATTCAAAAAAGAAGCTCACTGAGACCTACTTTTGGTCAACATTATACGGCCCCAAGATGCAACAGTAAAATTTGATGATCACAGGCTTCTTACTATTCAAAGTAAAACGATTTCACAACAAATAAAAGAGCAAATTTTAAAAAAAAAAAGATCACTGTGACGTAATTTTGGGTCAGCATATTTCAAGGTCCCACATCAAACAATTGACAAGGCTTGATGATCCTAGGTCTTTTAGTATCCAGGCTAAAAAGATTTGACGATGAATATCGATTTTTAAAAATCCAAATGTAGGTCACTGTGTCCTACTTTTGGGTCAGTATACCGGTATTTCAAGGCCCATAGATGTATCAACTGTAAATATTTGATGATCCTTGCCTCATAGTATACAAGATGAAACGATTTGACAACAAATAATGAGCAAATTCAAAAAAAAAAAAATAGTCCAGTGACTTTATTTTGGGTCAACATATTTCAAGGCCCCAAGACAAGGTTTTATGATCCTAGCTAGGCCTCTTAGCATCTTGGCTAAAAAGATTTGACAATTAATAATGACAATTCAAAATGTATGTCACCGTGACATTTTGAATTGAAACATCTCGAGGCACAAAGTGCATGTACATCAAACTATATAGGTTTGGTGACCTTAAAGGTCGTAGTGTTCAAATTATATAGGCTACAATATTTTATAATGATAGGCCGATCAAATTCAGAAATTAGGTAACTCTTTTTAGTTGACGCACTTCTATAGTACCCAAGGTGCGTCAACTGACAAAATTTGATGATTCTAAGCCTCCTAGTAACCTAAATATTGAGGTATAAATATGAAATTCCAAAAGTAGGTCACAGTGACCTACTCTTTTGAAAATGATGAGCCATAAACTTCAGAAATTAGGTCACAGTGACCTACTTTTGGCTGACATACTCCATGGCCCCATGATGCATCACCTAATAGTTTTGATGATCATATGCTTAAAAATCTGTTAAAAAAATAAATGAATCAAAATCAATTTGAGAAAAGTAACATGAAGTTCCAAGATGCATCAACTGACAAGATTTGATGATCCTAGTCCTCCTAGTGTGCAAAATAACCAAGTTCGAATAATAAAAAAAAAACTTTTTAGGTCAATATTAAAGTGACCTTGAGACCACGCCCTTTGCCCTATGGTGGTGCCTTGAACAATTTTTCAAACTACCATTGCATGTATATATCTTAACAACCACGCACTACTCTTCTTATTTCCCAAATTATTTCCCCTTGTTTAAACGCCATCCCTATTATTAGTATAAATGAAAGCCCTTGGCACAAAGATACTACTACTAGAATGTGAGAAATCTGATAAAAATTGGCCAAGGGGTTCTTGAGATATGATCCATATTCCAAAAAGTTTATGCGCACCGCACGCCAGGCCATAGCATTAGTTCTTTGAGCCTTCGGTTAAGAAGAGCCCAAAATGCGATAATCATGGCAATGACTTAAGGGGGGGGGGGGTTAAAAACAGCCTTTGGTTGGAGGGGTTTTATTCATATCTACTTCATTCATCTATAATAATAAATCACGTTAAATAATAATGTTATTGATAGGCCACTTAAACAAAAGATAGTTTTTAATGGTCGGGTAGACTTGGGGAAAAAAAAGATGTAACTATATATTAGACAAAAATACTATGTACATATATTTTGTAGTGTAAATGATTTTTCAAGACCAGGAGAAGCCAGTTAAAAGGGATGTCACTGGGTATATTCTTTGTACGCTATATAGTTCCATGCTGAAGCACCATTGATAGTGACAAATTGGAAGGTAAATGGCATGCTATACAGGCAAGTAAATTAATATACTTTCAGAATTGCTGCCCTTGGATGCTGTCACATGATGTATCGCCTTCTTAACGCCTTAGCCAAACTGACCAATGGAAATGCAACAATTTTCAATTTGCCTGCTGGCGAGGTATTCATTTCACACTTAAACATCTAGTTTATCCGTCATGATCAATTGACTGCATTGGACAGTTACCACTTTTACACTAAATCTTGAATGGAATAATATTTTGAAAACTTTTCAGATCACAAGACTTACTATTTCGCTGATCCTTGATCGCGCTATTTTTCTTGTCTTTGGGCAACGTATCCGCCTCTTTCAGTTTATTTTGCTTTATTATGTAATTAATAAATATATGGATCCTTTACAGGGTTGTATTATACTCAGGTTAACGTTAAGACCCTTGGGCCTCTTGGTTTTTATTTCTTTTACCCCAAAAGAAATCTTTCCGTAACTTCTTTTTAAACAGAATTTATGCTTCATTAAATTCTTTAATTTCAGACAGATAATGAATTTATTATATGAAATACCTACATTGAGAGACCCATGAGCCACATACTCACGTGAGCATTTTATGTTCAGTTTGATTTACGTATATTTATGTAATTTATAGAATCTTCACTAGTTACCCATGTAAGAAAGAGAGTACATTTAGAGGCAAACACGTGAGGGCGTTACTGTCTTATGACATCATCTTGTTGATAATTGATTTTTCCCATACAGTATGGAATACATGCTTAATTAGCTATTTTAAACAAAAATCAAATATAACCCGTTTTACCAACAAAGCCCCAAAAGAAAATCAGAAAGATCCAAAAGTCAGATAAATATGTCAACTAAATTAAGATATTGATATCAGCTGCTCCTTTCAATACATAAACGAACTGATTACAAGATGTCACATGCAAATTCACTTCCATACGTCAGTCCAATGTATATTACGAATGTTAATACGGATTCAAATTTGTTGTGATTCTTCAAGAAGAAAAAAAAATAGGTGAATGATTTTTGGGGTAACTTTAATAAATCTGAATTTTTCTGATAGTTATAATAAACAAATGCCACAATTTCAGTTTCAATAGCGTTATCTATAGTCTTCGTATAATTTTGGTGGATTCAACATCAATCTAATTTGAATCTAAAATGTATATCTTTTTCATTGAATATTAGCCAGTTTTAAAGACATGTATGAAGAAAAACGTGTAAATTTTATTGAAGACATATATAATACATGTATATTTATTTTACAATGGGGGGTTAGTACTAAGACTTTGCTCATGTTTTATCTACAACCTCAAATTCGTACCAGGTAATATGGAATAGGGGTGCAAAATCACAGGCACTTGTTTCGGTAATAAATTTTTAACCCATAGTATAATTATACTATGGGTTAAAAATTTATTACCGAAACAAGTGCCTGTGTGCAAAATCTGTACAACAAAAGACTAGTCATATAATTTAATTTTGAGTATCCACTACTAAAGACTATGATTTTATATCTTTTTTAATTATCAAAAACCTACTCCGCGTTTTACAAATTCAAATGAGAAAAAGTTTGTAATTTTCATATCGACAAAATTTTCATAATTATAAGTAAGGAAACTTTTTTTTTTTTTTAGCTCAAATGAATTATTGCTTCGATCAAGCGAGATATTTGTATACACTTTTCTGAAGAACACTGCATTTGATGTCTGTTAACTCTCTGCTGAAAACAAGAACATTTGTACTAGGAAAATGAAGGGACAATAAAGTGTATTATAGCAAGCTTATTTTTTTACGCATCACATTAACCCTTTGATGTTTTTTTTTCTTTCTTTTTTTAAGGATCTCTTTTTACATAAAGGGTTGCGACTTAACATACCTCGCTGATATATCTTCAAGATAATTTATCAAAGATGATACTCTAAGTAAAATCATTTATTGATGAATTTGTCCGAGTACTTGTCGATCGACAAATAGAGTTGGGATCGACGTTTTCCTATCGCTGTATACATTTTGGCGCTCAGCAGTGTGAAACTGACCATAAAAGTCGATTTTTTCCCGTTGTTCAGCTAATTTTTTCCGATTATCTAACATCTGTTTCAAATATCACAAAGTTTTAATTGATCAACCTTCAAGCGCCCCTCGACATCAACGACTTATACTAATACCTAATTCATTTGTACTCCAGGCGACAGAGCAGCAAGGATGTCTTCTTGTAACTCCGGCTAAAGGTATGAAAAAATTATCGACTCACTTCAAAAAAACAAGTGCGTCTTCAATTTTGTCTTTAAAATCTACCTTTCCTTCCAGTTCTACTTCTGCTTGGTCGGCATCGTTACACAATATTCCATCAAGCCAAATCAGTGATTATTTTGGGTCTTCAACTTCATCTACTTCACAGAACTTAAGTTTACTAGGTGATTCCATTAATGAAAATGAATAAGGATAGTGATGTCGTCAAAACTATTGCCAAAGTGTATGTTGGGGGGTTGGCTGAAAATGTTGAAAAACACCACCTAGAGGAGATTTTTGAAAGGTTTGGGCTCGTCAAAACCGTCTGGATTGCTCGAAATCCTCTCTCAAGAGGTTATGCTTTTGTGACTTTTTTCGAACCGAAACATGCAGAAGAAGCGGTAAAAGGAGTGGATGGCACTTCCTTACTAGGTTCAAAGTTGAAAGTTCAACTGTCTAAAAATGAAATTGTGAAAATGGAGAGAGATCAAAAAGACAGAGAAAAAGACTCCAGGGATTTTATGGACCAAAGGAGACATCGGCCAAGGGACAGAGGCAGGTACGAAGATCGAAAACGAGGCAGATCGTGGGACAGGGAAAGGTCTCCGGTTGAGAGAAGGTATGATGACGAACGTGCACGTGGGGTTTCGCCGACAACCCTGGACCCTGGGGTTATACAGGAATCCCTGATGCTACGAGAGGCTGTTCTCAGATCAGGTTTATCACCGTATTCGTTCATCACCAACTCACTTCTCCAAACTGCTGCACTTCCAAGTATTCCAATAACTTGTGTAAAGTCGCCTGCTTTTGGAACATCTTTGAACTATTTGCCCTATCCTCCTACGCTTACAGACTTGCGTCAGCAAAGTGACATTACTCCACATATCACAGGTCAGGGCATTATCCTGCCGACCGCAATCCCTCCTAATGGCCCGCCATCTGTACCGTACCCCCATACAGTACCAGGTATGCATTCGTCATTCATTCAATCTTCAACTACATTTCCAACTCCGCAGCATCGACACGGGACCAAAACAATGACACCGGAAGTCTCATGCACTGTTCATGGGAATGAATCTTCATCGGTCGGATTTTCATCAGGTGGACATCAACCAAATCATCCTCAAGGGGGTTCAGAGTTACCCAAATAGTATATAATTTTCTACAGTTGAACGGGCATTGTACAACCTGACTTCATTTCTTGTATCTACTGGATTACTCAAACAGCAGAGTACTTTACGTTACCTGCATTAGAATAATAAAATGCCTGCGTTATAGTTTAAATCAATAAAATTAAATTACAAAAAATTCACTTTGTTCAAATTATTTATTTTTGTTCTTAACGCTACCGTACTTCTTCGACCCAATCGTCAGCTTGCCTTCAATTTCAACTTGACCAATTCAGTAATCGGATTAGATTTGAACAGTGTCGAAACAGCTTGGTCCATTCAATTAATCGATTTAACATTTACCACTCCTAATGTCTTTCTGTGTTCAAAGGTTAGTTCTAGTGCATACATTGGCAAGGTGCAACAGATTGACACACGCAAATGTCAAATACTCATACAGATATTGAATGTCAAATGACGTTGTACAGTTGACGTGTTTCGCCATTCATGGACATGTCTTCCTCTTTAGGTATGGAAACTACAACAAATACAAATCCATCTTACTTGGCTACTATCCTCTATATTACATGTATTCCTTGTTAAAATATAGCACTAAGTTCTATATTACATTAATCTTTTTTACAATAGTTATGTTTTGAGTTACTTTCACATTCATGAAAATCTTCAAACAAAACATCACTAGACACGGGTAAAGGCACAGGCAAGAATATTGATATAATCCAATATTTTCCAAAAACATCCAAAAAGTTCCTGAAGAATGATTTTCCCGTATGTCTGGCGATTCCTTTTCTAGACTCGTGTGTCGTCTGCCCAGATATAACTAGAAGCATATGCCAGAACCATAGCGAGGCTGCAATCATCCCAGCCGTCAGACACCCGTACATCATGACCACCAGGAAAAAATATTTTTCGTGTGGGTAATTCTCCGTAAGAAATCCCCAAACGATGTCATATATAATGGTAACGAATGTCTGTGGTCCATAAAATGTTGTATTAAACAATTTCTTTAGGTACACTGTAAAAAATGTGTTTACAATTCAAACACTTTTCTAAACACTTTCTTGTCACCTCCTTTTTTATATGTTTAATTTCTAAACATGTAAAATTCCTAAACATGTCTTAGAAAGTGTTTAGAATTTAAACACTTGTGTGCTTAGAAATTAAACATATCTAAACACATAAACACAAGTGTTTAAATTCTAAACACATAACAGCAGATGTGTTTAATATCTAAACACATCATAAGTTTAATTTGTTCCTGCAGAAAAACAAAACATTCTCGTAAATTTAGGCACAAAAAGTATATGTTTTTTAAATGCGCATAATTGTCAAAATTTTAAAAATATGTAACCAATATTAATTATTTTCCATAAAGCCACTGAACGCTGGGATATGTATTTAATTATACAATGCAATGGACACTGTGCGATGTACATGTACTTAATTTACACAAATAATGTAGGAGATAAAATTGGATAGATTTGATTAGTCTCAACAATTCAATCAGAATGACACATAATTTATAACGTACACATAGATAACAAACTTTTAATCTTCAAAATTATTAAGAAAATAATATTAAGCTGACAATTTAATATCAAAACTTCATTGAGTATTTCTAAAAGGCTTTATTAAAGAATTGTTAAAGTAAAAATACAAAATGTATATTTATATATATATTTATTATAATCATTATAATTTGAATCGGCTGCAGAGTTTTCCTCATGTCAATCACAAAATATCAAATTTTATGAACTTTCAGCAAGTCCCAAAGCACCACATATTATAACCTATATCCCATCGATAACTACCAGAAAGTAATCCATTTCGAATACACGAGGATAATTGTAAACACCGTCGAATTAACACAGTAGTCTTCAACAAATGAAGTTTCAAAGTGTTGATTATGGAACAACAACATTCCACTTGAAGATGACACCAGGTACTCTGATACGTGTATTTTGAGTTCGGTCTGGACTACGTACGGTGCCTGTAGGAAAGAAAGCCAGAATTTAGAAAAAGTACACTATCACTGGTATTTTACATTACTTAGAAAAACAAAATTGTTCAAATTTTAGTGAAACTACACTGATATAAATATAGATGTTTTTAATGACATTTAATATTATTTCCTCTCCTGCAAGTCAATGAACGAATTCAAGATATCCCAAGTCAACTTTATTTACGGTGCTCATCGTGGTTAATTAATGCAAAGAAGAAGAAAACAAACCTTTAATGCATTGCAGTAACAAGATGCCCTTTCACGTATTTCACTATTTCGTCATGGTTTTCCCTTGAATTGGGTTGTCATAACTCTCATTGATACATCACCTTAGCTTGTTGTGTTTTCTTTGTTTAGGTAGCCGCTCAAATTAACGTTCAAATATATGTGTGTCATTTCCGGGAAGATAACTCTGCACTTTACAGTGAAATGTGTTTAATTTCTAAACGCGTTTAGATATAAAACATGTTAAGACATAAGTGTTTAGTTGTTAAACACAATACTATACACGTTTAGATCTAAACATGTAATAGAAGTGTTTATTTCCTAAACACAATTTTTACAGTGTATAAAACAATTAAAAACATGCCGTAGAACGTCCCCACCATCATGTAAAAACAGTACATCACAAAGTACTTATGATTGAAATACCCTATACAAACGGTCATGAAGAAACAGTGGTGGTCCCGCTTCAGAATGCAGGTCTCACAAAGATAGCAATGATGGGTACGGATGGGAACAGTCTCGTGACAAACGCCACAATTTTTGAATTCCTTAGTTTTTAGTACCCTTTTCTTAAGTTCTTTGTTAAATCTGTGAATACTCGTATCTGTCCCAAGAATAAGGATACAGTTTCCAATGGCGTTCATAAAGACGAAAGCTATCACTATCTTATGGGTCCTAATGGTGTCGGGTTTGTGTTTGTACAGATTTGGTAAGATTTCGAACCACGATAAACCCGTCACCGTGAATGTCATCAGAGTAAAGTAAAGCAGGCACAGGATGCTCCCCAGGGCCATCAGGCGGGTCACAATTTTGATCCCCCTCCGACATCTGCATAGTATCCGACATGCTTGGATCATCACTGGTTTCTGCAAATAGTACACATAAACAAAGTGTTCCTGTTCTACAAATAGTTGTGTGCAACAAGTTAGATCGCATTTAAATGGTAACGATTTATAGCCGCTGTTTAAACACAGTGCTAAATCGTCAGTAACCCAAATTAAATTCCTTACTTAAATCAATAGGTAAAGAAAATACGGGTACTTTAAATGTACTGTCATCAATCACGCAAAATAGTCCAATAATAGCGAGAACGTCTTCATGACAGTAACGATCAATAACACGGGTCCCTATGCCGATAACTAGACAGGACATGATACTCTTGCTTCCCTTTTATGTTTTATACAAAATGGACTGATGGCCGTAATTAAATGCTGTGTGTCATAGATTGGCTTCGAAATATTATTATATTAATTCTAGAGACAAATGAATCATCCAAAATAACAATGTGTAGCATTCTTTAATCAATTAATAGGACTGAGTCACTTTACAACATGAATATTTTTCTTTCACTTTTTACTGTCATAATTCACAGTAAAAATTCCGAAGCTGACCTGCATTTCACTTGTCATGAATAAGTAACGGGCACGAGCTTCCATCCCAAAATCACATTTCCCTTTGCGGTCAAGAGGAGGAAATTTATTATTTTTTTTTTATTATTCAGAACCAATTCAAACGTCAATGTAGACGGACGAACAGAAAATTTCGTATCTACTGAGTAGCACAAATTCCTATATATGTTAAAACATGTGTCTTCTATATTGACTAAAGCTTTTGCAATATCAATCTGTATGTACTCCTATTCTTGATTTTCACGTTTAACATTCAAGTATTACATTCATTGGAAGATTTAAAAGAGTTGCCGGTGCGCACCCTTAAAATTTTCAAATTTAAGATAAATTATTGTTTCAACTTTGAAAGATGAATGTTGGATATAGGGGCTTTTTTCTGTATTGTTGCAATACAGCGCTTTTGGGGTCTTCATCCCTAAGATTTTTCTCCCAAAGACCCTAAAATCAATTAGACGTTATAGTGTATATATTCTTATCATTAATTATGACGAGAGGAAACAGAAAAAATGTCTCCTTAAACGACTTTATCTTTGCCCTACTAAATCTCTAGAATCCAGTGGCTTTGACCCTGGGCACCCAACAGGGCTTCGCCCAGGACCCACTAGGGGGCCTTAATCTGGCCCCAAGTCCCCTAACTAGTTGCCCCCCCCCCTTTCAAATCCTAGATCGGCCCAGTAAATTCTTTAGATTATCTTATTAAAAGGTAATCCAGATGTCAAAAAACTTTGTATGTACAATTTTTTTTGGGTCAAAATACAGATAACCATGCCCTAAAGTAAAAAGCCAATGAGTTAGAAATTATTCAGGACCCAACTAGTTCGGAGTCGAAACGATATTCATCCATTCATTTAACAGCTGATGGTAGTAAACATCCGGTAACGAACACGACTTTAGTTTGTCCTATAAAATAAATGACTTAGATTGTGAGGAGAGATGTGGGTATTCGGGTATGGATCTCTTATTTGGAAAGTTGATTTCCCAATACACAGACAAGTTGTAGGGTATATAAAGGGGTACCACCGTAAATTCTGGCAAGGAAGTACTGATCATAGAGGAGTCCCTGGAAAGGTAAACGGTATTGTTTACAGTTTGAATATGCTTTGTAGAATATCTTTATAACAATATTTTTTACAAAAATATTTATATGCCACAGTCTTTCCAGGTAATCTTAACGAAAAATCAAAAGAACATGCGGTAAAAATACTGACGAAAAAATTCTAGAAACTTCTAGATCTACATTTATTGATTGGGTTCATTGATTGAAGATAAGACTAAAGAAGTTTTTATTACTTACATTATTATCATTCACTTTTATTTTTCTCATAAGGCCTGTTGTAATACAGTAATTTTAAAATTTCGTTAAATCTATATATGGCGAATCTGAGCTAAAAAATTATAATACGAGATTGAGTGTAGATATACATGATATAATGTTATTTACTTTCAAATTAAAATTTTCACCAATTTTGAACTGGAATAACCTCAGGTTTCTATAATTGAATTGACTTTAAATGTTTCTTTTATTTAAATGTGGAATTGGTAAATAAATTGGTTACTGTTTTAATTTTTTTATATTTTTGAAACGCGGTTGATTTAAATTGTGTAATTTACAGAAAAGTCCTATCTTTATATAAAGTAATAAATCAAATAGAAAGATATTTTAAATTTTGGTTATCTGAACTTATGAAAAATACACCATATATGACTTTAAGATACATATATTTTTCACAATAAACAATATGTAATTTTCCTTCCTTCTTTAACATTCTAGCCTGGCCGGGTTGTAACCTTAATTAAATCATCGGATCCAGAGGTAAGTCATTAATTCTAATTACAGCATATGTCTAATCATTATGGAAACTGGTTAAAGATTAATGTTATAGTTCTATCTATTAAGGTGAAACTCTTCTAATCACAGTATCGTATTAACAACACATTCTGCCTTTTACATTGGATCTGAATGTATGTACGCTAACAGACCATACACTGCCAAACACGAACAAACATACTGACTAAATAATAAACTGCGTACAAGTACTTTTATGTGTATTTCAAAATAAAGTGTCTTTTCAATGACAAAGCCCTTATTCTACAATATTCTGAAGTTAGCTATCATTAAACTAAATCTTGTATGTGAGTCATTTTATGTAAACTTATTTAAAATTTGAATTTCTACCAGGAACAAGTTTGGGGAGTGGCTTATCAGATTGCACCAGAAAATGCCGAGTCTGTGAGAGCTCATCTCGACCACAGGGAAAAGGGAGGTTACTCCTGTGTAACAGAGTTATTTCACCCTGATGAAGACACAGTAGAACCATTCCAGCTAACAATATATATGGCCACTGAGACCAATACCAATTATCTCGGTCCAGCACCTGTCAAAGACATTGCCAATCAAATAGTAAACTCTGTGGGACCCAGTGGCAAAAATACAGAATATCTGTTGAATCTTGCGGAGGCTGTACGAAAAATTTCTCCCCATGTTCATGACCCTCATCTATTTGAATTGGAGGCTGAAGTTTTAAAACTTTGTGAAGAGTTTTTGGAGTCATAATAGAGGTTCTTGTATGTCAGAGGATACAATCTCACATTTGTTTGAAAAATAGTTCATTTTAGGTGTAACACGTCATGATTTATATAAAGAATTTGAAAAGAATATTGATTTTGAAATATTCTTTATTTTGTTCTTCTGTGACCAGATGATACTAAAAATCCTATTTGAATAGTTTTGTTAAAAAAAAAAATGAAGATCATGTTAAAACCATGACTTCACGATTGAAACAAATTCATATATTGCACAAAGGATAAGAAACTTACAAATAATTCACTATATATAAAGGACGGATATACAAAGGAATTGAAAAAAAAAACTATATTAAATCAGACGGTATTTAGAAAATACAGAAACTATATGTATCTCTCACATTATAGATCTTTTTTCATCCATGATATTGCACTAGGATCCCATCTAACTATATCTGGTCTGTCCTTCTGAGTGGTCCCTGTGGGTGGGGGAGGAGGGGGTGGAGGGGGAGGGGCTGCAGAAGGAGGGACTACAGGTGACCCTGAGGGAGGTATGGAGGTATTTACAGAACCGCTGCTACTATCTCTCTCAGCTGTGATGTCTGGTAAAAACTTTTGCAACTGAAATTAAAGACAGAATTTTAATCATGATAATCATTTTTATCAACTTACACTAAAGCAATCAAAATTTTAAACAATTTCAAAATGAGGCATAATAGCACAATAAGTAAATAGGCATAATTCAAAATTGGGAATTACATTTCTAAATTGAGTGCATGTTTAATCATTTAAGTGATGATGGAGTCAAGAAGTAAAGAACAAAGCTACTGTTGAAAATTTGATTGAGTAAATAGCCTAGTCAGATAAGAAAACAATAGAAGATTTGATATGAGAATAAAAACTTCTATTGTATTCTTGTCAGTGTATAAAGCTATTTACTCTGTTGATAAATTTTTAATAATTATAGCTTTGTTCTTCATGTACATCATCACTAGATTATACATACACTCAATTAAAAAACAAATTATTGTAATACAGCAATATACCCATTGCATTTCAATCTCACATGATTTACACTACCACCTGCTGATTAGAACAACCCAGAATTTGAGTATTACATCCAAAAAAAAAAGCAGCATATATATAAGCTATATATTGCTATTTAAATTTTGAAATACAGGCAAATGATTAAGATACTTTATGTTAATTCTTAAGTTTTGTCATCTCTGCATTACATGTACCATTATTCCTTGAGGTGCTGTTTTTTACAATGCCAATTTTAGCACTAGCTGCCATGCTCAATATGTCTTTGAGAAAATAATTTCTCATATTCATGAAATTACAAAGTTAATTTCAATTCTGTGTTTTTGATCTGCTCTCCTAAATGGATCCAAAGCCTGAAATTGTAATAACTATCATCTGAAATCAAAGAAAACTTGGATTAATACTTACAAAACCTTCTGGTAAAATATCTGTGTTGACACCAAAGCAGACTATAGGATCACAGAATGTGTAGCCTAAATGTTTGTAGAAGTCCTGCTTGTCATGGGTGCTCAGATATATTGTTGCCAACCCTTTGCTGAAAAATAAAAAAGAAATTGAATGCAATTCTCTCACCGAAATCACCCTTGCCATTGTCACTTACAATATTCCATGCTGTGAGGAGTTATATGTACATTGTATTTTTTTTCTTTACCTCTTTGCAAATTGCTCTGTTTCAAGCATAATTTTCCTTCCATATCCCTTTCCACGTAGGCTTTTCCTGACAACAACTGCAAAAATATATTTATGGCACACATCAAAATAGTTACTGCACCAAACTTAATGTAATAGAACTGTCCTGTGTGTTTGGATATAAATTGGGCACTTAATAGCTCCAACTATTAGTGACTTTGAGTGGGTACATGAAACATGTTTTAAAAAACACTTGCAAGTATTTTACAGATAACACTATACATTATACAATGTATACATATACAGGGTGTTTCAAAATATCTGTTCTGATTACAATCTGGTATAGACATGCATCAGATTAAATCACTATATATACATTTTAAAAAAAAAAAGGGAATATTTTTTAAACGTTATTTTGTCTTATATGATATCATAAAAACACTGTAACAGTGTTGAAGTGGTGCAGTTGTACTTAAAGATGTAAAATAATAAGGAAAAGGGAACCAACCTCAACCAAAATTTACATGAGGTAGATCTCAAAAATACTCCGTTTCTTACAGAAAATACCATGCAGCCAATGAAATAACAACTGGAATCATACAACAATAATTATTCTTTAATAAAAATGTAACCTTCTTCATTTATATATCGTTTTAAGTTGGGTTATACACTTGTACTAACTTGATATCCAGTGTGCAAGTTCCTTTTTGTATAATTATATAGTGATCACGTAAAATCAAGCAAAGTATGTTACTGGCCCTGTGATTCAAAATACAACTGCACCACTTCAACACTGTTACAGTATTTTAATGATGTCATGTAAGACATAATGTTTAAAAAATATTCACAATTTTTTTAAAGATGTAAAATTGTTTTCTTTCTTCCTTAGAATAATGTTTAATCTTTAAAGATATGATTAACACTAAAGATTTTATAGGCAATTGTAATGGGGACAGATATTATGAAACACTCTGTAATGAAAGGATTTTATCTTTAAAATTTAAAAATGCCTACTTTTCTGCAAAATTAATTTAGGAAAAAAAAAACACCTGAATAAAATGATGACTCCAGAATATTGGTACATGTAATAAATTAAGGACAAACTTAATGAAGCAAATGCAGGAATTTGAAACTAATGAAATCTGTTTTTTGGGAAAAAAAAATTAATATACCTGATTCTACTAAGCACGAGTTGGGTTTTCCTTGGACTTTTGATAATCTGCTGTGAGCTACAACATTTTTCACTCCATCAAAGTCTCCTACAATAATTAAACAGGTGGGAAAACTATCACAGGATTTCTGTAGGGAGTGTAACCTACAAAAAAAAGAGAGATGTTTGTGAAACACTTATGTCCCCTCCCCCCCCCCCCCCCCCCCCAAATAATTGGAATTTTTCTAAGTCCAAGGGGCATAACTCTGTCAAAAATTGCTTGATCATACCCAAAACAGAACTTGACCTAGATATTTTTAGGATAAATCTGTATACATACCAAATTTCATTTCAGTATGTGCAACCTCTACAAAGAAAATGAACGGAAACTGCAAATAATTGGAATTTTCCTAAATCCAAGGGGCATAATTCTGTCAAAAATAGCTTGGGATCGTACCCAAAACAGAACTTGACCTACCGTACATATTCTTATGATAAATCTGTATACCAAATTTCATTTCAACATGTGCAACCTCTGCGAAGAAAATGAACAGAAAGTGCAAATAAGTCCAAGGGGCATAACTCTGTCAAAAATTCTTCAATCTTACCCAAAAACAGAAGTTGACCTAGATATTTTTATGATAAATATGTATTATATACCAAATTTCATTTCAGTATGTGCAGACTCTGCGAAGAAAATGAATGGAAACTGTTGTGGACCGACAGACAGACCAACCGACAGACAGCAGCAAAGCAATATGCCCTCCATTCTTTGAAGGGGTATGGGGGCATAAATAATTAAGAATTTAAAACATTTTCAATTAGTGACTGTGAACAGTAAAATTATATATGTTTGACACTCAATACATGTACTTGTTTTCTTTAATTAAATAAGAAAATTGACATGAAGAGGGACCCACTAAGGGCTGTCATATGAAAGTGACAAGTGGCATTGGTCTTACAATAAACCTTTAATACAAAATGTCTCTTTTGATTCATTACCATCTTACATAAATCAACAGTTAGGTCTACATCATATTCGCACCAAACTTTACTCTGTCCATTTGAAACTTTTAAATAGTCTCTTGGAAAGGTCAAGGAAAGTCCATTTTTTGATTCCTTGACACCAGAATATAGGCTCGGATCTGTGATTATGGATATTGCAAATCATAGGCTTTTTAAACCCCCACATTTTACTGAAGAAAATGCAGCTAAAACAATCTGTTTTTTCCTTAAACTTCAATATGCCAACAAAGGAATTGACACAGTTAATATAAGTAATATTCTTAATCACAAAAGGGTCCAGTCATGTATTTCACCATATTTCAAGTTAAAGACTACACCTTGTATTTCCTACAAATATACATTGACGAAGTATTGTTTTCAAACTTTTTTATTACAAGAAAACTTTACAGGGCCTGGATATCGAATATCTGACACATTTATTTAATCCTCCATCATGTGAACTTCATGTTCTTCTTCACCCTATAACTATAGTCCTGCTGGACACGTTATTACTGGTGACGTAAAAAATACAATATAGTTAATAATGAGGACCTTAGATCACTAATTTCAAAAGGTCCTAAATATAGGGAACCCGATCCTTCAACTGGCGTCGGTATTTCATAAATATTATGGATTCTGTAGAGGATTACGCCAGACGATGGGCCAGATATGAAAAAGAAGACCTTGACACTTTGTCAGAATGGATTAAATGTATCAGATGTATGATAAAATCACGCATTAAAAGATTGAGGGGCAATATGAGAACCATCTATCCTTCTGTATTCAATAATCCAGAAGTGAAAAAAGAATTAGATAGATTACATGATCAGTATGTACTGGTCCCTGCTGACAAAGAAGGTAACAACATTGTCTTTGTTTGTAAGGCTCATTATATTCAATGTATTTTAGAGGAACTGGGATTTAATTCTGCAAGTGGTAATCTAACTTATACTCATAGTTCCCTTTCTAAGGAAGAAATTCTTCAAAATCATATGTCAGTTATACTTATAGTTCCCTTTCTAAGGAAGAAATTCTTCAAAATCATATGTCAGTTTTAAATATATTTAATATTCCAAACAACCAAAATGAATTTGAATTATCATATCTATATTGGATTCCGAAACTTCATAAAAATCCTTACAAACAAAGATACATAGCGGGTTCCAGTAAATGTTCAACCAAGCCTCTTTCTTTACTCCTCACTAAGATATTAACAGTAGTGAAGGAGAAACTTCAAGAGTACAGTGCAACAATATATTCGAGAAGTGGTGTAAATCAGATGTGGATACTTAAAAATTCCAAGAAACTTTTGGAAAATTTGAAATCACAAGATTTTACCAAAATCAACAACATAAAAACTTACAACTTTTCAACTTTATACACAAGCATTCCCCACGATAAATTAAAGTCCAGGCTTTTTGATATCATTGACAGCTGCTTTTTTAATAAAAATGGAACTCATAAATTTACTCACCTTGTCATTGGTCATTTGCAAAATTATTTTGTTAAAAAACATTCTGATTGTACACACAAGTACTCTGAAGTTGACATTAAAAAGATGAGTTTCTGATTGACAATATCTATGTGGTTTTTGGAGACCAGGCTCTGGGGCCATAAAACTTAGATGAGCTCACTTTTGATCTCAGTCTCACTTTTTCGCTATATATTCCTTTTGTAAAAGAGAGACTGAGATCAAAAGTGAGCTCGTCTAAGTTTTATGGTCCCGGAGCCAGATCTTCCAACAATCTATTGGAATTCCCATGGGTACCAATTGTGCCCCGTTATTAGCAGACCTTTTTTGTATTCATATGAAGCAGAATTTGTCCAAAATCTTAGAAGTGAAAAGAAGAGAACACTTGCTGTGGCCTTCAACTCCACATTTAGATATATCGACGATGTATTGTCAATTAAAAATGGTTATTTCCATTCTTATGGTAATATGATATATCCTGGTGAGCTTGAGATAAAAGATACCACAGAGTCTAACACATCTGTTTCATATTTGGATATTTTACTTAAAAAAGACGTTAATGGTAATCTAACAACCAAGCTTTATGATAAATGTGATGACTTTAACTTTTCAATCGTCAACTTCCCTTACTTATGTAGCAATATACCTTCATCACCTGCATACAGGTTTATATCTCTCAGTTGATTCGATATGCAAGAGCATGCTCTACCTATGTACAATTTCTAAAATGAGGTAAATTATTAACAAACAAGTTGATGAAACAAGAATATCAGCAGTCTCGTTTAAAGTCATCATTTCGTAAGTTCTATTGTCGATACAATGACCTTCTCAGCAAATACAATTTATCATTGAGTCAAATGCTGACTGACGTTTTTCATACTAATTGTTAGACCATTATTTACACATTGAATTGTCAACGGATTTTCCCATTATTTCCCAATCATGACAAGGAGCACACGGTGGGTGTGACCGGTCGGCAGGGGATGCTCACTCTTCCATGGCACCTGATCCCACCTCTGATGTTTTGGAGGTCCATGTTTGCTCTGCTCCTATTTTGTATTGTTTAATGGATTTTTGAGCTTGAATACTTTTCATTATCTCCATATATTTCATTGTATTAATTAATACAGTTCATGTTTAGAACAAAAAATATGATTGTGTAGCACATAAGGAAAGTGACAAGAAACAATCACTTATATGTCTTAGAATTATTAATTATTGAAAGATTGTAGAAACATATACAGACAAATATAGAGACAAAACTATATGACCATAATATTATGCAGTCTGATTAAAATCAAACCTTCACTAGCCCCTTCTCATCTTGATTGTCTCGTGGCCCATGATATTCAACCAAATTTGGCACAGAGTGTCCTAGGGTGATGAGGATTTAAAAGAAGGGCCACAAGCTTTTTCAAGGGGGGATAATTAAGAATTAGTAGAAATTTAATGGCATCTCTTAGGAGAAGGTTTTGGTCCACAATATGGAAACATCTTTTTTAAATTATGAAATTAAAGGGGAGAATTTAAAAAAAATTTGATGATGACAAACATCGGGACCAAAGTGATTCAGGTGAATGTTGTGGCCCATAGGCATCTTGTTCATTGTTACACTGGTACAGGCACATAAAAAATCATTAATGAATCAGAATGGGTTGCTCTCTATTGAAAATGTTTACAAAAAGCTGGTTGTCCCCCTTCATTTCGAGTCGTTTTGGTTTCCTTTTGGGTTCCTCTTGGGTTCTCTTGGGTAAATCGACGCACCGTTATGGGACAATGTCTTACAATTTTAATGTGCATGAATATGTTCATTATGTTTTTTTATGTTGCCCCATACTATGGCAACACGGGAATTAACGGTTCAAAATTGTCCGATAGCATTTGAAGGCTGAAAATATTTACAGGTAAGTTACAAGGGATATAGTGAGAAGAATGAGTGTTAAGCCGACAACGGGAGATCTCTTAAGAATGTGAAATTCGTCTACATTTAACAATGTGAAAATTTTTCCACTTTTCTATGCATAATTTCATTTCCAGGTTTATTATTTTAGTGGTACTGCATTAATTTACCTTGCGTTTGTACTTCTTTTCCATTCTTCGTTTAGAATATTAGCGCATTCATTAAAATACTCTTTATTTTCATGCAATACTAGCAACTTTTCCATTGCTCAATGTAAATTACAGTCATTTCAATACAATACTACAACGACATATTATGAAGCGTTTATACAATCGAGATTGAATCTGCTGACTCTTACTCTTCAGAGTGCTTGAAGCTATGTAAGTTTTTGCCTAAACCCTGTAAGCCTTCAAACAACATCGACAATATCGATGAAAACATGGAGAAACTACCAGAACCACTGTCTGCACAAGATAAAAGGTTAATTTATTGAGTGTGAACACTTGTATATGAATTTGTCTTTGGTTTACAAAGAAAGACTACTAAACTGACCTTGTCTGTGTGATATGCATACGATAGAGGCAAGCAGAAAGTCTCAAGCTCTAAACCTAAGCATGTACAAGTCTAGATAGAACGTTCTATCGTTAAAATGATATTGTCCTACGGACCCGGTTTAACGTGTTTAGGGCTTGTCCCGAGACACAGTTAGATTATTCTAACTAGTACAAGTCCAGCACAATCTCTTGATTTGGCTATATAGCTTGAAATATCTATGTAGCGTTTTTTAAACGCTATTCAGAATAACTTGATAAATCGCAAGTATGTGACTATTCGTACTGTGATCATGGATAGTAATACTATGGGCTATTAAAAAAAACAAACATCACTGCCTTTGAACACTTTTAAGTAAAAGATGTAATTTTCTTGTTTTGGTAAGTACACCACCTTGTGTCGGTGAGGCATGGCTAAGTATGTTTACTTCACATTGTGCTGCATTATTAGCAATCAGTTCTAATCTTTTTTGACCACAATTGACCACCTTTATTGAGTTTCATTCAAGAAGTAACTGTGTGGTCACAGATCAATTGCTTTATTTAAACCCAAAACTTTTAGTACTTTGAGTACAAAGTCTCGCAGGGATACATGCAATTTGATGAGCAATTTTTTGATGCATTGTTTTTAGACAAGTTCAAAGTTTAAAAACTTTTACTGCACCTAAGTGCACAGGGATAGACATTAACTTTCAAATACACTTGCCCTTCAGGCAAGTGATCTCAAACTTTGACTTGTCTGAATACAAAACTTGGTTGACCAAAATTAGGAAAGAACTTAAGAGGAAAATTATTAATTACCATAAATGTTATGATTAGAAAAAATGTGACCAAATGCACTACTGTCAATTCAGCAAGTTTTAATTAGCTAAATGAAAATTAAAAATGTCGATGCATGCTGCATTTGTACATAAATGTATACCGCTGTACTTGTAAATTTAACCTGTTAACACACACTACCATGCAAAAATAACCCTCTGTTTCCTTTTAATAAAATGCATAACTTAAAAAATTATTTTCGGTAGGATCCTTTTGTGATTCGTGATTTTCAGAGATAACTGTGAAGCAACGTTAACGCTAAAGGAAGATAGTTGCTACGAAACATACATCTTATCTTGATCAGGATACATTGTCTTACACTGTGCTTATATTCTGTGCTTGAATAAATAATCTAATATCCTAAAAAGAAGTTAACAAAATTTTGTTAGATGTAGAGCGTATTTACTATTAAAGAAAATAACGAACCCGATTTTTAAATGAACGGTATAATCTAGAAACGCTACCAAGGAATTCCGAATTTAAAAACATTGTCAGTCAGGTGCGTGGTGGAAATCAAGTGTTCAATTTATTGTTTTATTTATAAATTAATGTAAACTAAATAAATATGTACATTTGTATGAGAAAATTTCACTTGCCTGATCGGACAAGTATGTCGACAATTTCACTTGCCCGAACTAAGAATTTACTTGCCCCGGGCAATCGGACAACTGTTAATGTCGATCCCTGGTGCATCTTTTTTCACATGGCTGAATAAATTGCACAACTGAGAAAACAAGTATGATGAAGTATAGCTAAATCAAGCTATATAGCTAAATCAAGCTTTATAGCTAAGTCAAGAGATTGGACTGGGCCTGTATGTGTGGAAAAGACAGTGTGACCATTGAGTGAGCACAGTGTGTTAAAGTGGATACTCGTATCAAAAACTTTTATATACACTTAAGATATAGATCCATCTCTTCATAACCCACATTACATTGGAAAGTTAAAGGTCAAATACATCAACTTAAGATATTGTAACATTTGTCATGTGTCAGTTGTGTTTCCAATACTAATTAAGGTGTGTAAAGAGTGGAAGTTTTTTTAATGAAAGACTTCGAAGCTATGAGAAAATTCAAGACACAATTTTTTCTTTAAGCTCTCTGCAAGAACTAAATCTTGGTCGTGCATATGTTTCTTCCTCCATTATCAATGTTAGCAAGGGATTGTGATAGCCAGTTTGGGAAATGCTTGGAATTGGAACATAAAAATTTGCTTGACCTATGAGGCTTGACCAATATGCAGATTCCATTTCCGAATTGTCTGTTCTTGCATATTAGTTTATAGAGTCTGCTACAGAAATATACATACCAGTCATACGTGTTTTAGTACATGTACTGTATACAAACTTGCAAACTGTTTTGCCTTCTGGCAGTTTTAAATGCATCAAGACACAGTTGTGATAAAGCAATAATGTTTATTGTCCTATTTGAATTCGCCCCATTTTAAATCTGCAATGGTGTGGAGGTGAAAGTAAAATTGGAGCGAAAGTTTCTGTGTATACAGTATTTGATTCAAGTTTCTTTCTCTTCAGCTCATTTGCATATCTGACAATCAGAGACAGACTACCTGTTATTTTGTCAAGAGTAGCCGACACAGTTTACAGAAAGAAAGTAGCCATAAAGGACAGTCATGGAGAGGTAGGGAAGAAAAAAACCAAATCTGTTTTGTCATTTTCATTTATAAATTGTGAATGCTGGAATGATGTTTATTGAGAATTAAAGAAATAATCAGGACAATTAAGGTAAATTGAAACATTTCTTTGTTAGGTTCAATCAGAATATACTTGATATTATACTGAAAAATGTTAAGTAACACATTAGTTTTTACTGTATAAATTTATGAAGAAGAATACATTAAGAAAATCATAGTATCATTTGACCCCAACTGTTCAAAATTTTAATTTTCTTAAATAGAGTAGTTAAGATTCTATTATTTTGTATATATTTTTTAACATATAAAGAGATAATACCAGACTTCACAACTACACAATTATATCCATTGTAATTAATGGGTGATTTGATGCTTTTAGTTGTTATTTACATGTACCAGGTATTATTCGTTTGTTAAAGCAACAAATTAAATGTTTTTTTTTTTTAAATAGTAAGTCTTCAAATTTATAATGAATATAGGTTATAAAATGTTTTCTTGCATTATTAGGATGCAACTCATGAGTTGAAATTCATTGCGGGGTGCATCTCCAAACTGCGGAATGAACTCCAGACCAACAAAGCTGTTATACCATTAAAGGACAACGCCTCAGACACTGAAGTCTGGAATGCTTCCATAGCTGCAGAAACAGACAAAGAGGGACAGGAGCCCAAGTGGTTCGTGTCCCCTTGGCTATACGTCGAGTGTTACATGTATCGTAGGATCATGGAGGCAATCAACCAATGGTAAGGCTTTCTATAATCATGGAAAACATTATTTTGCATTTTTATTTCTAGAATATTTAAAGATTACTTACTTAAAAATAACCTTTTCTGAAATCATATTATTTTTTGTCTTTAGTAAAGTGTTACATGAATTGGATCCTTTTGAGGAGCAGAAAATGAAGGCATTCACTGGCTCGGAGGAAGCTATAGAGGTTTTATTGCATTACCTGAAGGACATCACTGAGAAGATAGAAGCAGCGACTGAAGAGGACAAAGATGAATACTTCACAGAATTTTTACAGGTCACCTACTCTGTATTTCTTTTTGAAATGTTTTCAATGCTTAAGAATTATCATGATTCACATTTTATTTGTGATCTCTATGTATGTTACAAGATTTTATTGCAAAAACAAAGTATTTGTCCTTATAAAGGGAAGTAACTCTTTTATCTGTTGTCAAGGAAGGCAATAAAAGTATGATTATGTATTGCAAAAATAAAATACATAGATAAGCAGTTTACAGTGAAAAGTGCAAGTGTATTGAGTTGATATTATGACATTCATGTACCATACAGATCAAAATTAATGAAGGGGCAATTATGACTTGCCAAGTTTTTGTAATTCAAAATATTCATCTCGATGCATTACATCAGGTACTATTTTGTGAGTAATATAATTATAATAAATTGTTTATGTTTTAGATTGCATTATGGGGAAATCGTTGTGATCTCTCAATATCAGCTTCTCAGGAAAATTCCCAGACAGAATCCATTCTAGATCAACTCCACCACCTAGAGTCTAATATTCTAATTAATGACACGAAGCAAGTCTTACACTGTCTCAAATCCAACACCAGAGACAGAAACATTGATATAGTGCTGGACAATGCTGGATTTGAACTCATTACTGATCTTTGTTTAGCGGAGATTCTGTTAGCATGTGGATGGGCGGATTGTATTCGAATGCACGGGAAGGCAATGCCATGGTTTGTCTCTGATGTCACAGCAAGAGACTTTCAGTGGACGCTCGATTCTCTTTGTAAATCTTCAAGACCTGCAATGGCTTACTTTGGTAGGCAGTGGTCTCAGCGGTTAGAAAACAGTTCTTGGAAGCTCACCTGTGAAGATTTCTGGACAACCCCTTATGATTTCGCTGAAATGAAAACTCATGCATCTAGTCTGTATGAAAGTTTTAGAGACACAAAAATAATATTTTTCAAAGGGGACTTGAATTACAGGAAACTTCTTGGGGATTTGAATTGGAATCCAACCACACCATTTGAGGTCACTCTTAGAGGTTTTCATCCAGCTCCTCTGTGTGCTCTAAGGGCCTGTAAAGCTGACCTGATTGCAGGATTGGCCCCTGGTCAGAAAGAAACAGTAGAGAAACAGGACAAGAAATGGATGATAAATGGAAATTGGTCCGTTATATCATTCTGTGGGAAATCAAACCAATGATTAAAGTTTTTACTATTTGCCATATTTTTTATTTTTCTACAGCTAAAATTATTTGTTATATTAAATAAAATTTTATTCCTTTTGTATAAATTATTCCAATTATAGAATTGTTACCACTGTGAAATAAATTTTTGCTTCATGGATTATCAAGTTTGTGGCATTCTGGAATGTCCTCTTTATAAGGGGATGTTGGAGGCTTTTCTAGCATTCAAAAGATTTTCATTAGATCATCAGTCACAAGTAGAAACCTATTTCCATAGCAATGTTTGTCATCATTCATGAAAATTACAAGTTTGATGACAAATCAAGGGTCTTAATTGAATAAAAAACCACTTTGGGTAAGACAAACATGCATGTGTCTTGAGTGAAAGAAAAATGTTCTTTTCCAAAGAAAGATCATTCAGTAAAAAATATTGACTTACTGGATCAAACTAATATGTGTCTTCAAGTAATGTGTAGCTATCAATTTGTTCTGAATGTAGCTTTTGAGAAAGGAAGAAGCAGGAATGGAAAGTTTATTTAAGTAGAAATATGTCCATAGGACATGAATGCCTTGCCCAGGGTTCATTAAGCGACATGAAATGTTCCCTTCTTTGTTTAAGATTAAGGTAAATGAGGTCAAGGTTAAGGTCAGAAAATCATGACACAGTTGAAGATCTCATAAGATCACAAATTTTTATTAGTTTATGATGTTTGATGAAAATATCGTGAATATTTTCTTTGAAATTGAGTTTTAAACATAATAATTAGTAAAGTCAAAGGTCATAGAGAAGGTGAAGGGAAAAAATGTACACAGTTGATAACTTCTCACCAATATGTATCAGTTTAGACAAAAATATCTTGAGTATTTCTTTGAAAGTCAGCTAACACAAATTTAAGAATAGTAAGGTCAAGGTCCTAGAGAAGGTCAAGGCCCAAAAACGCTGATGCAGTTGAATAGCTCTTAACAATATGTAACTGCATGAGTTTGATAAATATATCTTGAATACAGTGTAGTTTCTTATATACTGAGCTGAATGCAAATTTAAGAAAATTGAGGTCAAGATCAAAGGAAAGGTCAAGGTAAAAAAAAATTGATGAAGTTGAATAGCTCCCACTAATAAGTATCAGAATATGAAATTTGATTAAAAAATATCTTGAATATTTCAATTTTAAATTTAGCTAAACGTAAATTTGAAAAAGAGTGAGGTCAAGTTCATAGAAAAGGTCAAGGACCAAATATCGAGAATATTTTCTTTGAAACTGAGCTAAACACAAGAGGTCAAATGGAAAGTCAAGGTCAAAATTGTTGATGCAGTTGAATAGCTCTATAAAAGTGTATAGTAAAATATCTTCTAAAGGTTACTGTTTGTCAAATTAATATGTAAGCATCAGATTTATCATAGAATTCTGTGGTTCATATATACACCATCAGGGTGTGAAGGCTTTGCACAGAGACATATGGAAAAAAACCATATCGAAATGTTCATAGAACAACAACGCAACAAAACATATTACATGTATTATGTCTGGACCTCCCCCCTTTTTTTCCTCGGGTTTTCAGTTTTCAAATTTGTATAGCAAACTAAGAAAATATGACAACAACAACCCTCCACTTGGAAAACACGGATCCCTGGAAAAATTGTAAGGAGAGTGATATATATATACCCCCGGGTATGAAGGAAAGCCCCCCCCCCCCCCCAAGAAATAGGTTTTTCGAATTTGGACAGGTTTATGTACTTCTGTTTTACTTGTCAGAAATTTCTGAGTTTGGACTTTTATTAAGTAGGTATGGAACACACACACCGTCCCCCCGGAAGGAAATTCTAGGATCTGCGTACGATCGAGTTTTATTTCGCATATATATGTGGTTTAAGCTGCATGCCATTGACATTTTTGTAAATTAGTTAACACATTTCGTCGTTGTATCAAACTGATTATGCGATACATTTTGCTGTGTTATATTAGCGTTATATTATACTGTGGTTGCAATATTTTTCGTCGACTACCATTTTTTGTTCATGGTTGAAGCAAGACCGCGAAATCAGGTGATAATGAACAAAAATTGTACTAATTATAGAATAGGATGAGGCAGCTGTCCATGGATGAACTCGTATATCGAAATTTAAATTTACCATTAAATTTAATCCCCACGAAAATTAATGAAACGACAGAATTTTTCAGCTTATTGAAATTTTGCAATATAACTTATTTCTGTTCTCCTACGAAAATAAGTTAAAGAGGTTCTCTTACAAAAAGATTTATCTTTCAACAAATTGTAACCATTCCAGAATGTTTCTTGTAAAGTGCATACTTTGAGCTGCATTTAGATGTTATTCTCGGCCAAATTCTACACGCTATATATATCTATTCCAGTTGCTGATATAGAGGGGGACAAATAGCGCATTAATTTCACCGGTTCTGCAAATATCAGGCATCGATTAGTGAGAGTGGGTAATATTCACGGAGCATCTATTAAATTGATTGTTTTCTTGGAAAGATACAAGAATTCCATTACGAACACTTTTACAAACGATCGGGGTTGATACAGGCTCGGAATGCATTGCAGCAAATTAGATTTGGCCGAATAAGATATTGAAATATTGCTATGCTGAGAAAAGAGATACTTTGGAAAAGACGGAAATGTTTGGGTATGGAAGGGGGGAGGGTTGCTGGGTTGATTAATCCCCAGTCTTCACAAACGTTGACTGTGCCAATTCATCACAAAAGAGAACAAGTTTCACAGAAGGACTTGTTGAACCGACTTTGCAGCATGGTTTTTCCGTGTTTTGGGTTAACACGATTCAATGCACAATTAATGGGATACTCTTCTATATACATCGATATATACAAAAGTATATATACATGTTTTTCAATTTCAGCAAATATACCTACTGCATGTGTGTTGTATTACCACTACAATACAGTTCAAACTTTCTACGGCCATAGTTTCGACAAATGTTCCGAAACATCGATACAAAACCCCATAACAAGAGGCCCATTAACCAAACGCTCATCTGAGTGGCCCTTCTGTTCTTCATCCGCAGATTTTTTTCCCTATATATTTTTATGTAAAATTAGGATCACATATTGTGCCCCTTTCTATCACCCAGAGGTCATGATTTGGAAAAAAAATGAATACACACTACCTGAGGATGCTTCCATATCAATATGACTAATCCTGGACTTGCTGTTCTTGAGAAGACTTTTCCTATATAGTATACAGTTAAAGTATATCATTGTGGGAGTTAGCAAGATTCCAGTTCCCCAAGGCCAGGACTATTTCCCGAGGCGAAGCCGAGGGAAATATTCCTGGTCGAGGGGAACTCGAATCTTGCAAACTCCCGCAATGATATACTTTTAATTGTTTTATTATACCGATACAAACGTAATTAAAGTTTAGAGGATCCAGATAGCGTGATTTCAAAGCCGGGATTAGCTCACTGAACGAACGCACGGGGATTAGTCCATTCACATATCATACCAATGTAAAAGAAAAATATAGAAGATTACGGATAACCCCGGGAATTAGCTTTCGAAGCAGGGATTAGCTCACTTGACTAACACACGGGGATTAGTCCATTCGATTTCTAGGGAATTAGTCACATCTAACGATCTAATGTTATATAGGAAAAAAATCAGAAGAGGTATAATAATCCTGTATAAACGCCCACTTTGGACCCATTCCACCCCAGGGGTCATAATTTGAACAAACTTGAATCTAAACTACCTGAGGATGTCTCAATATAAATATGACTAATAATAGCTTTGCTGTTCGATCTTGAGAAGAAGATTTTAAAAGATTTTTCCTATATTTTTTTTAATGTAGAACATTGAACCTTCATTGTAGCCCCACCCAAACCCCAGGGGTCATGATTTGAACAAATTTGAATCTACACTACCTGAGGTATTTCCATATAAATATGACTTATCATGGCTTAATTTGCTGTTCTAGAGAAGATTTCTCCTATTTAAAAATTTGATCGCCATTTGTGGCCCTACCTTACCCCAATGGGTCATGATTTGAACGAAATTGAATCTACACCGCCTAAGAATGCTTCCATATAAAATTGATTGCTGTTCTTGAGAAGATTTTAAAAAAAAATTCCTTTCATATTCCCATATATAACTGCGATCTTTTATTGTAGTCCCACTCTACCCCCGGGGACATGATTTGAATAAACTTAAATTTACACTACCTGAGAATGCATTCATATGAATATGACTAATCATGACTTTACTGTTCTTGAGAAGAAGAATGATGTAAAGATTTTTAATTTTCCTATGTATTCCCATGTTAAAATCTGATCGCTCATAGTGACCCCAACCTACCCTCAGGGGTCATGATTTGTACACACTTGAATTTTACTCTATGTCAGGAAGCTTTTACCTAAGTTTCATCTTTTCTGGCCTAGTGGTTCTTGAGAAGAAGATTTTTTAATGACCCCACCCACTTTTTACTTTTACTTATTTCTCATTGGAAGAGAGTATGGTCCTTCGTTTGAAAAAAAGGAACATCCTTTACCCATGAACTGTGTGTCAAGTTTGGTTGAAGTTAACCCGGTGGTTCTGGAGAAGAAGAGTTTACGACAACGACGACAGACAAACGTCGATCAGAAGTTCGGCAACTAAATACCAAACGTAGTCTTAAAGCCAAGCAAGTAAATTTGTGAAAAACGTGTCCAAATGCTGGCAATTAATATTGTCAACATGAAATACTTGCAGGAGGACAAAAAGAAACAAAAATTGGAATACGCTTTTAATAATGCATTCGTAGAGCCAATCTGAAGCCGATAGTCATAGAGAATAATTAGCATACATTCTATTGGTTAGCGTCATAATTTGATTTACTTCCCTTCTGAAAAAAGGGATAGTGTTCTGCTAGTAACTTCATCAATACTATTCATTCTGGTAAACTGATTCCAATACTTCTCCCTAGCCAGTACCATCATAAGAAAAGATAAAGAAGCCATTAAAAATAAATACGTCATCTGTTTATTCTTTCTTATAAAAAAGCATAAATATATTGGCTGTTGCCAGTCCACCCGCATATCCCATAACGCCCCGCTTTAACCACTTCCATGATCCACGAAAAGTCCGTCTTGTCATTTCGGCAATCTGAAATAAAACGGATGTCACATTTCAATTGCTTTCATGATGAGGAAGTTATTAAAAATATTGCATAAAAAAGCATTGGTATTGAATTATTATCAATAATTTCAAAAAGTACTGCAAATATTCCACTGGCGATCAATTGTAATAGAAATTCTATAGGTCCAAAAATATAACAGCATTAATATCTATATGCAAAAATCTCACAGCCTCCGCTGGATGAAATAATCAGTGTTCTAAGCTTTTACCTTACAATACAACATGCACATATATATATCTGAGAATGTTAGTAGATACGGAAGTCATATTACTAACACTGACCAAGAGCAGCAAAGAAAACTCAGCAAAATGTTAATCTAATTTATAACAATATTTTTAATTTTCTCGCCATTTTCGACAATTATTTATCATTATAATAATAAGTTTTTTTTCAACAGCCTGGACCACGATTTATGGTATACTTATAAACTCTAAGCATTCTGCTCATTCTGCTATGAATTATTGTAAAGGTCATGCATTATTTGAAATGAATGACTGAACTAGCATTGTCAGTTAACAGAAGAAAAAAAATCAGTTCAAAGAAATGACATTTTAAACAACATTCAGTAGGAGAAAAAAAATCAAACTCTTGGGGACATGCATATGTAGATTCAGATATAAAAATCTAGATAACGTTAAACTTGTGTGGGAAGATGTTATTGATTTTATCATGAAAATTTTAGTCAAGGGATTCCCATTCATGATATACAATACAAAAATACCACGACACTAAATAAGAAGGGAGTATGGAACAAAGATTCATGACATTTTCCCGATGAAAATAAAGCAGCTATTTTTTTTATACAAAATTAAGGCAAACTACATCACATGCAAAATCACCAAAACTTTACCGAAATTTTCCAACGGCGTCGATTGTCACAATGCAGAAAAAGAACAAAATAAACAATATCAGAGTATTTATAGACGAAGCTATTTTACAAAGAAAAGTACACCACTGAAATAGCTTGTTTGCATACTTAGAGCATTAACGATTTTTTTTACCAGAACCCAGCTGCCTCTCAGCAACCCCAGCTCACAGAAGGTTCGTGATCAAAACATTATCTTATACTATCGCAATACACCATAACAGCGCACAATAATAATAATAAAATTGCAATAAATAAATCAGATATTATAGCCGATATTTCGGTTTGACAACCATGTATTTTTTCATAAATCTTTCTTGTTTTCTCTTTGTCATAACTTGCAACTGTTGAAGGCGAGTCACAAGGTTTATCCTATGCGACTAGCAGAGGGTCTTCGTTAACTTTGCCAAATAAACTAGTGCAACAGGATCCTTAATTTGCTAGACATACGAACTCATTAATGCGATAGTCTTCTTCTCAGGATGGGGCAACTGTACTTACTCTACACATTAACTGACTTGGATATTTTAGGGGTGACCTTGGAACGTGAGTACCTTGTAGACCCATCTTGTACACCAATAACAAAACACTGAGTTTTATAACCTCAAATGAACCCGCGCTTCAATATTAAGCCTTGCCAAGGTTATGGAGATTTTCTGAATACATCATGATATGTATCTGTCGAACAACAAGCCATGCAAAGAATACCCTGTCGGTTTAGAAAAAGTAAGATCCTCTGCCGTGAGTAAAGAAGCGCCATGAGCAATCACGAACGCTTTCCCTACAGACGATACAATCTTTCTGAGTCCTTTGTAAACATGCATCTATAAAAAGAATTAATAGATGCTTGTTAAATTTCCGCTGCATCATACAATATTGTTTATATAATTATATCAACACCACCGATAAAATCGCTTGTATTGGATAACTGTACTTCCTGAACAGTTACACGTACGGTAATAGGCTTCCAAAGGATGTAAAGGGAAAATACATTGCAAGTATTCACTATATCAAGGGTTGTACGTGGTGCTGAAGTATGTTTACACTTTCCACTGATGCTAATAAAAACACCTCTCTGTCAATGGTAAGCAACTTCTTCAAAAGGCTTGAATGCAAAACTTTGGCAACAATAAAAAATACTGACATAAATATATACATTGAACACAGTGCGGGAAATACTTAACAGAACTGCGTACATTTCAGATATTGGATAATTATATACATATAGCGATATGGGATTAATAAATACATTTTACACCATATTTAAGAGGTTCTGAATAGTTTTGGTACTGACTTGGACCTCTGATAACAAGTATATAAGTACATCTTAACTCAAACATGACCATTGTCATTTCATTCCTTAAATTCAGCGAAATTTTCTTTGATTGGTTTGCATCGCAGACGTCAAACATGAGAGTCTACGCAACACTTTCAAGAGATGTACCTTTTTACGTCGCTTTGTTTTTCTCGACTTCTTTCCACTGAAATCTTTTGCATTGTGGAACATTGACTTTGGCTCTGATTGCGCAAGCTGGAAGTCTTCTTCTTCGGAAGACTCGTTCTCGTCATCAAGTCTCGAATACCTCCTCTGCGTGTAACTATGTACAACGTCCTTGACATCGCGTGGAACCAAATGAATGCCTTCATTCACATCGTCTTTTGGTCCTCGTAGCACTTTATTCTTATAATGACTACGCCCTACAGATACATCAAGTTTTACATCAGTATCACCATCATAGTTTTTCTGATTTGATTCTTTCCTCTCAGAGGATGATTTTTGTTTCTCTGGGAAGTTGTGTACTTCCACATGGTCAATAATTGCGCATGTGTCTGTGTGTGGCGTATTGCACTCTACTGTCCATTGTTCGTCACACTCGCTCTCGTCAGAGGAATTTTCAATACAAGATTCTTTACCATTTTCATCAAACTGTTCATAATTTCTTCTGCGTAGAAAATTTAATATTGTAAAGTTTATGGCAGATGAGTAATCTCGAATTCGTTGCCACATTTTACAGAATATTATATATCCGTCATTATGTAGGACGATCGTCTGCTAGCCACCATATAAACTTTCCACAAACTTTGAACCACAAAGTGTATCACCCGACGTTTAAATAAACAAGTACATTGTCGGCTGTCCAAGATAATTAGTGTATATTCCTACCTATTCAGTTGAACAAACACAGTAATAACACAGTAGCTCCATTTTGATTTAGAAATATCCTTTTTTAAAAAGAATCAGTATCTCCTTGTTGAAAAACAATCTATTCGCGCACTATCTGCTGACTGACGGCTACGTGCTTGCACATTATTGTTTGTCAACAATCCACAACGGTACGCACTTAAATCGATTTCGAACCCTAGGTCACTTATCTACATCTTTTCAATTAACTGACATGGACACATCTCCGACAAGAGACAAAATTCTACTTTCTATCCATTACTTTTGCTGTGTGGTGCCAGCTCGCAGAGGCTGTTTCCAGTGCTGCACTCCTACATCTAAAACTGTATTATCTTGAATACATGCCAAAACCCATCGGATCCGACTGAGCTATTTCGAGTGATTCGCTGAATGAATAGCTCGGAATTTAAGTAAGAGTACTCAATAATGACCGTGCATATGACACCTCCCCGTGGATTAAACATATTATGTAATCCTAATTATTATACTACTGTAAGAAGTGTTGCTGATAAGATGAATTAATTAAACTGAGCTTTACTACAGGATTTGGCAGATTCAACAATTAAAAGAACCCAATCCACCGTAAAATTAGTAGACTCTCATTCGTCAAACATGAATAAATATTCAAAACATGTCACACAATATAACATCGACTTATAATTATTGTTTTCGAAAGTAAAACTAACAAATAAAGTGTCAGTGCGACTCAGTGAGAGGTCTCGGGAACATCTGCGGCTCAATTTCATTGTAAATTCACTCCATCTCCTACAGTTTCGGCTGTACTTTTAAAAGAAATCTGAACTTGGACATTTTTTTGTCAATTTCCTGAAAAGTTTGAAACAATCAAAACATATGCATGTACGAAATAATTTGTTGACCTTTAATTTTTGTCTTTCATAATCAAAATCTTTTATTTCTTTGGACACATAATCTGCACTTTCGCACGTTGCTGACAAACACAACCAGATGACATAAAGTTTTTGAAATTTACTGCCTATCTTATGTTTGTTCGGTCTGACGTACATCACTGATTACTGAAAGACCCAACTATTGATGCATGGAGAAAAACTGGAGTTGATTTGAAATAGCATAAACAGTGACCATCATGCATAGACTTTAAATGTCATAATATATATGCTATGTTAATATTGGAGTTTAGGCCTAGAATTTATGTCAATTTTACATTTCTGGGTTTTTTGTTTTTTTTTTAAATTTGATTTCAGCTACATGATGACTACAATACAAGACTTCGTGATATATCCTGTTTTTTTTTTTTTCCATTACGCTCAGGAAAAGGAAAAAGGAATTTAATTGAAGGGGAGGGAGGCAAATTACTTTTTTTCTTTTTCCCACCATACTTACTCCTGAGAAATATCCATATCATAACTAAGTATTGTAACCATTGTAACTACAAATTGTACTGCGGCCATAACAACAAAGGATTTTAAAATATATTGGGAAATCCTTCTTCTTTCCGTTATTATAAAAATTGCCCACTTTAAATAAAAATATAAAGTAAAAAACTTCTTTCATTTGAATCAGATAAAAATGCAAACTAAAGCACTACAAGAAAATTAACTATTAAGGGATACCTCATCTTCCAGCAATAGCTGCTACTCCATTTTAATTAACAGGACATATTTTAGGCAATACACATGTACCATTCTTAAATATTCCACAAGATATTGTATTCTTAGTAACTGATGCAACATTTTTCATCCGAGTTCACATTGATTTTCAGAATCTCACTTATAAAGCATTGTGCACACTACATTCTCCAATTTTTCTTGTATTCATTGTTTAAATCTTTCCATAAACAGCTGAGCCTTTTATCTGGAGACTCCTATTGAATTAATGATGCATCTGGATTCCAGAAACATACTTTTTATAATTGGTACTACATGTAAAATAAAACTGTAAATTTCATTGCACACACAAATTGTTTGGGAGGTGAACTGTGCAGGTTACCCAGGTTTGGCTGTAGCAAATACATACAAATGACAAAGGAAATGTTACTTGATTGTCATCAAAATATTTCAATTAAGAGCAACCTCTCTGTAAACAAGAGTAAATCTGATATCCAACAGCATATCTGAGTCTGGAAAAATAGCTTCTATAAATACCTATCAACTGTTATTTTAATGTATAACTCAAAAATTGTACTGAAAAATCAAAGACCACAAAATTCTTCAAAGATTTATTGTGACTTCTTCACAACAGATGTTTACAGCAACATATATATTTAAAATAATAACTAGTCTTGTTAAGACTTTCCTGCCCTTGGCATCACATAGGCCCTTTCAAACACATTGTAGATCATATAAACCAAACCCAATACACTGACAAAGATGGTGTACTGTTTACCATAGGGGCTTCTGTTATGAGTGTAATCAGTTGCTGGTTGCTAAAAAATAAACAAATTCAATTAAATCAAACCTTAAAAAAAAAGTTTATCAAGATATACAAGTGCATGTACTAAATGGCACCATTGGCTGGTTCATGAATATTGGCATGATATGATTTATGAAAATAAAATGCAGAGAATTATGCACTAATAAAGCACTAATTCATAATTGTGCTAAGAGTCCCTGGTCTATCTATATCAACATCTAAATAAGCTAAAATCAGAGGCAGCCTTTTTAACCTTATATAACTGGTACCGATACATGGCACCATTCCCAATGACAGAAAAAAAAGTTAATTTTTCTCAATTTTGAGATTGAAATTTCCTAATTCAACTGCCGAGGAACAGAATTCTTCTCATATGTCGTATGAGTTGACTAAATTTTTCACTTCCTCTTAAATCAAAAGAAGAAATCAGTCGTTATATAGTGGGACGAATGTTGTAGACAGCCTAGTGTCGTACATCTTGACCACTTAAAAGCATGAAAATAAGGGACATTAATATGTAAAAGAATGAATACTTTTTTTTTAATGTGGATTAAAAAGTAATGAGGTTAGAATAAATGCAAAATAAATCTCATTTGTTTATGCTAGATTTCTTGATTGATTCAGTACTGACCCATTCCCAATGGTTAGAAAAATATTGCTTAGAGGATGTACTTAAAGATTTTTATCATAATATTGGCTGAAGAAAGATAAATAAAACTTAGGTTGGATGGAACATGAAACTTGTGATGGACAGCACCAATGATAAATAATAGATATGAACAATCACCACACTGAAAATACAACAAAACTATTGATTGTGCAACTTAAATTCCTACCAAGTAGTATTTCATCCTTTTGACTACAAGGTTCTCATAGCTGAATGGGCTGCCTGGTTTACTTTTAGGGACCAGGAATCTAGGCTCCATATCCTGAACATCCCTCCTGATGGCAGAGGTGGCGAAACCTCGCCGCAGTACACGCATTCCCTGAAAAGTACCAATGAAGCTGCTAATAAAAGGACATCTACCAGAAAAATAATATTTTGAAGTTCTTGCCATGAATGTATTTCTATTGAGTAGTAATAATCAGGTTGGAACCAATTACCCAATGGGATATAATATCCCAAATTTTGATATAAATTGACAATGCAACAAAAAAATATTTTGGATCTAAATATCCTAAATCTGCATAATTGTACATTGAATGAATAACCTTTGGCAAGCAGGTTTTCCTGTAACTCAACTGACAAAAGTTTATGAGATTGAAGTTTGGGATCTTCTGAGGGACCAATCTCCTAAACAGTGGGGACTGGGGTAATCTCGGTTTAGATTCAGCTCGGCTAGATATTTGGTCTGATGCCTCCACTGAATCTCAGTGGAGGTGTCAGACCAAATATCTAGCCAAGCTGAGTCTCCGCTAAGATTTAGGGACTAGGAATAAAGAAGAACATGTTAACCTCTTAATTAAGTTGTTGCTTTCAAAGTACATTGTAGATAGAACATTCTATCGTTTAAATGATATTGTCCTACGGACCCGGTTTAACGATAGAATTCGTTCTGTGTATTTGCAATGTTGCAAAATAAACACGGGCGATAACTCGAACTCTGTGCATTTTCTATGAACAATCCAGAGAGTTCCGAATGTCAACATGACGTTAAATATGAAGCGAGGAAAAAATGTTGAGAAAATGAGTTGAATTTTCATATTTATATGGATTATTTTTTAGGTTAAATGGCATATACAATCTCAAAAAGGTTTGTTATGATTAATTTGGTAGTTATTTTCAGTGCAACTCCTTTTGTATTCTTCAAAATCATTTTGGAGTGGATCCACTCCGATTTGCTACATTGCAAGTATATGGGACGTATTCTAACTGTGGTGAGGGTTTGTCCCGAGACACAGTTAGATTATTCTAACTAAGTACATTGATGCGAATTTACACTATTTATAGCTGAAAGAAAATTCTTCATTTTTTACATTGTAAATTTATATCCCAGTTTGGTATATTTTATCCAAATGGGGCTATTATGCAATGGGTCCCAACCTGATAATAGGAAAGACTTCAAAAATCACTTGAGGGTAGCATTTTAATGATCTTTTTAATATCAGGAAGACTCAAAAAGCAAACTAAATATGTTTTCTTCATGCGGATTTATTATGAAGTAGAACATAAAGTAAGTACTGAACAGTTAAGGAGTATGCAAATCGTATCTTTTCAAATGTAATTCGAGGAAATTCGGTCACAAAGCTCTAGCATACGAAAACTGTTTAAATAGATTCAAGTATTTTCTTTAAATTGACCATCTGAAAGAACTACATTAACGCTTTGGAAATAATGATTTCACAAGACCAATTAGTTTACCTTCATTGTGTTCTATCTCCCAACTTCCAGACACACAAATTTTGTCAAGGTTGGAAGGGAAAGACAACTCTTGCAACTCTCGAAAAATCTCGCAAGGAAATCACGTAGCAAGTGCGCTTCCTGTGTGTGTGTTGTGACTTGTTTTCATGTTGCTATGCAGGGCTAATGGGAACGAAAAATATATGACAACAGTGCTGCAACGAGAGGAAAAGTGATTTATAAGATAATATATCAAGAAAATGGCAAGTTATCTCAGGGACGAAGACCGCCAAGGTCTTCCATCAATACGAAAACACGGATTTTTAGATACACAACCTTCTCCAAGAAGAATAACGACAATAGAACATGACATCGTTCATACAATCGGACCAACATCACCGGTATCTAGAATACTGGCATCTGAATCCACTCTTCATCATGCTAGACCACAATCCCCAAATCGCCGACAGATGGCAGAGGTAAATTTTGTTATGATTTGTAATTATCATATAATTATAATTAAATTATATGATATTAAAATAAATTAAATGGTATGTCACAGGATAGGACATTTTTGTTGACCAAGTTGACCCAGGTCATACAGCAAATGTGCTATGGAGATTCAGTGTATGTTTGTTAATCGAACTGTCATATTTGATGACTACTATATACTAGAAAGTCTATATATGTATATACATAAATATACATGATGCTGAAAAATGATTGAGGAAAGTATTGTGTATGGAAAAGCCAATCAATGATCTAATCTAGGAAATGTTGCCAAGGTTAGATCATCTGAAGATCTTGATCTTCAATGGTCAGTGGCGAATGCTATTGAAACCTGCGTACAAGCTAAGGCAAAAGTTAAACAGTAAACTGAGTGGTTTAATGCAGGTTTGATTGCTAGTGGCCAGATAGCTCAGTTGTGCACCTGTCTTGTGAATCACAGGGCCTGGTTTCCAATCCTGGTCTGGTTTGTCACAATTTTCTCCTTTCCTGCTTCACAACATTTAATTATGACCTAATGAGTAAACAAACAGACGGTACTCAAATGCATTCAAGTGGTCATTTAGAAGAATATCAATATGATCAAAGCAGGTCAAAGTTTGCATGTGTACTATAACAATAATACATGTACTACAATGGTGTAGAATGTATAATATTAGTTTTATTGACTAGATAATCCCAAAATTCATGACTTAAATTCATCATTTTCTTGAAAATATCTTATTTTTGTGGTAAGTGATTGGATTTAATTTTTTTCTTTTTAATACAGCTCTTGGTAAAAATGAGTTTTATCTCAAATTAACCAACTAGATCGTCACATTAGGATTGGTGTGAACACTTAACATGGAAACAATATGCCACTGTATTAGCACACACTACAAAATATCACATTGCGTATTGATTCCTATCGGAAGCATTAAATTATTATTTATTTACATGCCACTGAACTTTCTCATGATGCAGACAGAGTGTTGATTGGAATGATTGCACTGTTCCATTAAAAATTTATTTTATCTGATACTGAGTATTATATTGCCAAGTTTATGCATCAATAAATATAAAGTAAAAAGGGAAAAAAGGCTCATTTATTTTTAAATTCTGCATTTTAGATATTAGATTGTTTGAATAAAACTGTATGTATCAATCATTAGAATATAAACATTGAATTTCATGATTTGATTTGCAGATGCAAGAACAAATTAGGTTATTGAAAGAAGAAAATCAGAAAAAAGATGCTCTAGTTCAACAGTTGTCAAGGTAATGTATTCATTTATATTCCTAAGTTTTTGTCAAAAAAAAAGAAAGAAGAGAAAAAAAGTGCCAAGTATATAATTTTGAATAATTTGAGCGGTTATTAAATCAAGTACCTACAATGAACAAAGCATATGTTATTTTTTTTCCAGCATGGATGCAATACCCAAAGTTCAAATAAGATCTTCAGCTGACACACTAAGAGTGAGTTAAATAATTGTTTTCTATTGGTGCATTATTCTGTATAAAGTACATGTAGTAATTGAAACCTTTTGAATTGATATGTGATGTTACATGAACTGCAACATTTAAGGGTAGAGTGATCCACAGATATCAATATGCAAGCTGAAATCAATAAAAACTTTTAGATAAAATATACTAGTACTACAGTAAAACTCGTTTAGTACGAACACGGATATAGCAAATTCACGGATCCCCAGCTACATAAATTTAAGGAATTTCTTATACAGATATAACGAATTACTGATACAGCGAAGTAATTTCACAGGTCCCAGTGACTTTGTTATAACCGAGTTTTACTGTATATATAAATAGGAAGCATTACACATATACAGTGAAACCTGTCTACTCCAACATGCATTTGGAGACAGATTTTATGTCGGAATAGTCAGCACAGTGTAAAGAACATAAAAAATAGGAAAATAGGAATGAAAATAAATGTCGGAATTCAAAGTGAAATGGATACCACAGGTGTCAGATAAGATAGTTTTCACTGTACATGTATAACTATTCAATTGTACTTTTTGAAATTAAAAAAAAACTCTGAGAATTTTGAAAAACTAGAATTTAGAATGGCCACTTGAATATGAGCATTTTACTGCATCAGATAAATATAGGAGAGTATATATAAAGTTCCTTCCAGACAATTTTGATCCTTTTTAAAATAGAATTCCCAAACTCTTGTAGCATGACACAATTTATCTCGGAGACCGACATGCTGTAGAAACTGCAAGGAGTGAATTAGCAGCCATTCAAGTCAAAAATGATAAACTTATCATACAGGTAATATTTTTTCCAGAATTGCCTTTCTTTAAGGGGTGGGGGATGAAGGAAGGATAATTTACTAAAGTATTAAAAGGAAGAAGAATTGCTGTTATCAATTCATATTTCATGCTACATTAAAACTGATTAATTAATTAATTGATGCAAGAATTATTAATATGATTATGCATTCATCGCAGATACGAGATTATGAAGCTCAGTTAGAGGCAAAAGAAATCAAGATTAGAGAACTGAAGTCCTTATATGAAACAAGCAAAGAAAATGAGGCGAAGCTTACAAAAATGTTAGAGTCACATAGGCAGCAGATCATAGAACTTGAGGGTAAAGCCGGGTCTTACGAGACCGCTGTAGGACGGAGCGAGTTCACAGTGGTCGAACTACAGCGCCAAATCCGAGAGGGAAATGACAAAATTCTCGATTTGGAATCAAGAATCAGGTACTTTCAGGAGTTGTCTTTCTTTAGACAGATTTCTGATATGAATTTAAAAGGGGCCTTTTATTTTCAGACATTTTGCCACAAAATATTTATGGAATATTGAATAATGATATTGATTTTCAAATCTGAGTAAAACATTTATATTTAATTTGAAATCTATTAATTTGAAAAAAAAATGTTTCAGGAAACACCTTGAGGAGAGGGAGAGGATTGAGATGGAAATCCAGACAATAGAGAAAAAGTACACAGAGCTCATCACTCAGCTGACAAGTATCCTCGCTGTAGATGACATGTCTAGCTCTACATTCACTGTGGAGGAAATTGTCAGAAAGGCAAGTTTGATGAAGCTAGCATTGAAGACACTCGCCTGTTTCCTCTGTATTTATTAATAACAAAGGATATCAGCTCGTGGACCATTTAGAATAGATAGATGTTCTTTAATCCTAATTTTTCTGTTAAATGTAGATCAGAACTTAATTTTTTATAAATTAAAAGTCAAAGTTTAAAAAATACTGTATATGCTCAATTCAAAGTCAGTCTTCCCCTCCTTTGGAAAAAACAATCATCCACTTATTGAGTTAGAAAACAGAGTTATTCCCCTTATCCACAAATATTGTATCTTAAAAATGTAATTATTTTCATAAATCAAAACCATTAACGTATCATTTTGTAGATGACTGATCTGGTGCAAGAAAATGCTTTGCTAAAGGGTAAAATTGTGACATTGAATGAAACATTAAACAGCACACAGTTAGAGAGCAAAGCTAGCAGGGAAACTATCATGAGACTAGTGTCAGAGGTTGGCAAGGAGCAAAAGGTTGCCACAAGGTTCACATCAGAGATAGACAATCTCAGACTGGTGAGATTTGAGCTCAATTTCTTTGACAATGTTTCTAATTGCTGTATCAAAGCTCTCAGATATAATGAGGAAAACAATTTGATAGAATGTTTACCTTGATTTATTTTTGATGAAAGGAACGAGATACAGCACTAACAGAGAAGAGGAATATGGAGCGTGAAATGGCGATGATGTCGGAGAGACTCGATGCCAACCAGAGAGCTCTAGAGGCAGCGAGGGCAGAACTCGAGTTGAAACATTCCAGACTCAGCACTCTGGATCGTGAATACAGAATTAATGCAGAGGATGTCAGAAAGATTCAAACCGAGGCTCATCTCTTCCGGGAGCAAGTTGCTTCTGTCTTGTCTTCTGTTGATGATAGATGTGACATTTCAAGTGACTTCATTTTGAACCGAATCAAGACTGTTCTCCAGGACAACCGAGATCTGGTTGTGGTAAGTTGGCCAAAGATTTTCATAGGAAATAAGCTAAATTTTGCTTACATAACATTTACTTGCATCTCTTAATTTTGATTAAATCATATGTTGAAAGTTTTTTTTTTAATACTGTAGAAAGTGGAATCACTTGAGGAGAGGATCAAAACTCTAACAGAACAGCTGGAGACTCAATATGAGTTACATAAGACGGCGGCTCACAGGGCTCGTAAGGCTGAGAATGATCTTCTGAGTTTGGAGGAAAGACTACGCAGTGCAGAGGGAGAATTGGCAGCAGGAGATGTTCTGAGGGACGAGTTCAAGTCAGACAAAGGAAAGGTAAGGATGGAAAGATTTTTTAACCTCATTTTTAGCAGTAACTTTTCCTTTGAATGTGCTGTTTGTTATCCCTCTTTTCACACATATAAAATTTTGCTTTAATGCTAATGATCTCAAAAAAATGGCTAATTTATAGTTTAAATGCACAGAGTTTCAGTATACCTTGCAGGTAAAATCTGACAGAAATGGATCTTGAACTTGACAATTTTATAAAGGAATAAAATTCATTTATCCCAGTGAGAGTTATTTCTCTTGTCAGAGGGTCAATGAACCTTAAGTTTGCATTTGTTTCGGTATATTGAGTCCAGA